CATTAGAGCGCAACTGCACACCACAGCAGTTTGAATCCTGTGTCAGGGATGAAGGGGTTACTGTATCTTTGGTCAGAATCACATTTTGAAAAACATCTCAAAGACCAAATCCTATCGGTTCAATAACCCCGCATATAGGATCACATAGATCTACTGGTCAAAAACAGTGCACATTTTGTAAAAAAGTTGGGTCTAAATCCTCTTTAATCATACTGCACTCGTGCCAATTCACGCAATTTTTTTTTGGGTTTGCAACAAAAACCACCCAAAGCAATTTTTTGATAAAACGATAAAAGCACACAGAGTCAACAAAGAGTGTTTGTGCTTCGATTCCGCAGAGTTACGTGCCATATTTCTACTACGACGTTCACACAGATAATACGATAAATTGTGTTGATCGGGGAAAATGGGCAGTAGAGATTCTAATTGGGCACGTATTGGTAGTATTAAGATGGTCGTGGTTTTTGGTTTGAGGTTTAGAGTCAAGGACGTCAATGGTTTACTGGTGGTCTTTGATATCGGAAATTTATGAATTTATGCACATGTGATGTGTTCGAAACGGTTTTATCGAAAAACGGGTGGTAGTCGGAAAGGAAGATCTTTGAAACAGGAACACAAAAAGCACAAAGTTTCTCAAAATTCCGTTCATATAAGGCCCTCGTGGTGTTAAACTTGTGGGTTGGAGGTGCCACCAGCTAAGTTATGAGCTATGAGATGAGCTATGAGATGAGCTACGGACTGAGCTATGACCTGAGCTATAAACTGACCCATAAGCTGAGTTATGAGATGAGCTACGCTGTACACCATCATCCGCACCCTAACTCCAAAAAATTAAAATTTCAATAATAATATTTTCAGCCAGAACCAGCGGAGTGCTTCTCGTCGCCGGAGTCGGATCATTCTTCGCGTATCGAGTTGCCTCGAATCTCCTCGGAAACCGTTTCGTTTGGGAATGTCTGGATGCACGACACATCGATCAGTTGCCCACTGCCGATCGACGACTTCTCTATTCATTTGTAAGTATTTGATTTTCAAATAGAATTGCATACCAAGAAAGAGACAACAATGGATAACCGAATTAGTGTGAGAAGTGTCAGTTCGGATTAATCTGGGTGCGGTTTCGTTTGTTGCAAGAAAATGTATCAAAGAACTTTCAAAAAATGAACTGGGTTATCATCGAGAAATTGATTACTGTAGAATCCATAAAAGTTTGTCTTGAACCTCATGGAAAAGGTTACTGTAGGCGTCTAAATTTGGTTTTCGTAAATCCTGTAATAGAAGAGCAGTCATACTGTCAAATTTGAGTTATTTTTTTCTTGGCTCCTATGCAAGATAAAATAGGTCAACTGATAAAATGCTTGTGATATTATGACAAACAGTTTATCAGTTGACAATTTTTGCATATCTTTAATAGGAACCAATATAAATACCTCAAACTTGGCAGTATGAGGACTCTTCTATTACAGGTCTCACATTAACCCAGAGATGTTTATTACTTCCCACAAATAACTACATAGGGTTATAATTCCCGAAACTCGATTTTTTTAAAAGAGCAGTAATTCTGAATCCAGTATTCCTCTGATTCTAGATCCTTTAAATTTTCCTCTCCACCCACAACACCCGGTGGCCCGCATCTCATAATTGATGTGACACCTTTGCAAGATTTCCCGACGGGTGCTTTACACTATTCAGCACACTTTTGAAAATCCTGTCAACTTATAATTGTCAACTCGTTACAGAACGAAGCGGACGAAGATGAAGAAGATGCGGAAGATCAAGAGAACGAGGTGGACCCGGTAACCGGCGAGAGACGCAGACGACGAAGAGACAGTGAAGGATCGAGGATATCTGCTGGACAGGTCAGTGCGAAGAGGGAGCATGAAACCGAGATTGTCAATAAAAAACATCATAAAAATCAAGAAAGAAAGAAAAAGAAGCCGTAAAACGAAGCGTAAAGCAAATGTTTCGAATAGAAAGAAGAATAACTACGAATCGTAAATCTATCGTCGCCTCTTCAAACACTCTTCTTTGCAAACAATTATATAGTTTCAGGTCTCGATCGGACGGTTGAATCGAATACGAAGGTCCACGAGGACGCCACGGGGATTGCTGGGAAGTCTGCAAGAGACGCCGAGTAAAAGAGGAGCTGGAATTGTGAGCAGACAATCGTCAAGGCATTCTGTGGCCTCTGGTGAGTATATCTAGATCACTGTAGCTAGATGAAAACCATTTTCAGCTCACTCCGTCGCCTCGATCCCGTTCTCCTCCAACTCATCCGTCAAATCCGCTTCTTTTCGAATAGTTTGGGAAGGTTCTCAACCCACATGGGATGATTTTGACATTCCAAGTACTTCCGCTGGCATTCCAGCCATCACTGGCCAACCGAGTGTACTCAGTCGTCTAGGCCACGTGGCATCCACATCTAGCATGCGAGATGGACAGTCTGTCGGCGATTTGTGTAGCGTATTTAATGATGTAAGTTGTGATTCAAGTTTTTGAAAATTTTAACCAATTGAAAGCTTCTGTAGGTGATGAGCGTTACGTCGTTGGCAGAAGGAAGCGACGATCCGTTGTTGATGGATGAGGACTATAGAGACGAGGAGGACGATGAATCCGGAGGGTTATTATGGAGAAAATGTACAGCTAACAACACAAAATATATGTATCAAAGTATTGCAATGGAGACGAGTGAGGCTGGATCAGACGACGGTGGATCGCCGAAAAAGAGACAGTTTTTGGATTTGTGAGTTATTTGTTTTTTGAGGTTACTGTATTTACCGTCAAGTTTGAGCTCAGTTATCTCGTTTCCTGTGCGAGATATCAAAAATGTGTCAACTGATAAAATGTTTGTTATATTATGATTATCAATTTATCAGTTGACAACGTTTCCATCTCTTTAACAGCAACCGAGATAAATTGACACAAAGTTGAAGCCTCTACTAATACAGGTGTTACGGTAGCTTCAATATTATTTCTCTTACAGAGGAATCGACGACGACGATGAGAAAACTGAGCAATTGACACTTCTTTCACCTCCAGACTCAGAAACAGCCATGTCTAACTCGAAGAGTCGATCGATGTACGATTCGGCGATTGGTGCCGAGATTTCGAGCAGCGAGGAAGGTTCGACGTGTCCGAAAAGGTTTGGTCCCTAAAAATCCTCAAAAAGGCCTAGAAAAAAAACATCCGTATAGTGAAAAATTTTACGACAGAGATGTTTCGTTATAGAAAATTGAGAGCTGAAAATAATTAAAAAAGCAGCCAGTAAAAGATAGATGAGTATCTATATATTATTGTTATGAGATGCACGTCATTCTAAAAGAAAAAGCAGATAAACTGGGTCAACTTACCATAGTTGCAAGCGGGCTGGCTGATAACTTGTCTCTGAAACGAGATGTTCAGACGGTTTCGGTACCAACTGATAGATCTCAACAGGGCTCATCACGCCTATATTATTTGAGCCGGATTCCGGTCCGATAACATGTCGAAAAATGTGCTTGAATGACAATAAATCTGATTTTTGTCGAATTGGTCCAAAATTGTCATTGAAACACATTTTTTGACATTTTATCGGACCGGGATCTGGCTCGAATGATATATACGTGATTCGCCCTGTCGAGATCTATCATTTGGTACCTAAACCATCTGAAAAACGAATCTGGAAACAAATTAGAGTAAACCTCAAAAAGGACAATTTTTGTTATAAAATGTCTTCAATCCCCAGTATCTTTTGAATTTTCCCAAATACCAAACCCATCAAACCCACTATAATCGGGTACAAAGTCTCTTGCAAAAATCTGCAAAATCGGATCTCCCCCCTCTCTTATCCCTTTGTTGCGTCATGTTTTGGTTACCTTGAATTGACACAGGAAATTAAGGAGAGATTTGTGTTGAATCAAAAGGAGGATCAGTGGGTTGCAATGTAGAATCTCACCTGGTAACCACGTCAGAAGCTAGTAATCCTAGCCTTTTTTGCAAAAATTGGAATCCTTAACGGACTCAGAAACGATAAACGGAGAATGAAGAACATCATAAATTATTCATTTACGTATTTTCAAGAATCGAATTGAAAAAAATTTCAGACTGTATGTACTCCGAGAAACCGACAACATGTCGATTGCGGCTTCATCTTGCGCTTCACTGGAATGGTGTGATGATATCGATCGAAACGCTGCGAGTCGTATAGGTTTCGATGAAGAAAAATCATCTCCACTCCGATTAAAAAGAGCCAATCTAGACTGGGACCTGAAATCTGAAGTCGTGCCACGAGCACTTTCAGTAACGTCTTCATCAGTGGTTACCCGGGAAATCGAGCCAAAGTTTGCTCCGAAGTCATCAAGAGATTTGATGGTGATGGCTTGTGAGATGTTTCAGCCGTACTCTCCGCCATTTCGGGTAAGAATGATTTCATAATTACCTGATTTAACGAAGCTAATTAGTGAAAATTGGCCTCATTAGAGTAAGTTTCACAAAATTAGAAAAAATATATTTATAAAATAAGTCTGCAACATTGATCTTTTTGTAGCCAATTACATTTCTATTTCTAGATTATTTACTACAGTAATCCAAAATTTGAATTCCCAAGACATACCGTAAAACCTCTAATAGAAAGGCCCCTATCTTTCGCTTTTGAGCCAATTTAACTAGGTTTCTGTGAAAGATATCAAAAAGTTGTCAACTGATAAATCGGTAATCATAATATCACAAAAATTTTATCAGTTGACACATTTTGGATATCTCTCATAGATGCCAAGTTAAATCAGCTCAAATTTAGCAGTATGGGGGCCCTTCTATTACAGGTTTTACGGTATCTCTACAAAACCCGATAGTTATTACAGGACCTCCAAACCATCTACCATAGGCGTCGTCTGAAGAGAATCGCGATTCCAAGTCTTCCGGAATCTCCAGGTTCATGTGTTTCACTCTTCATGAGATCCGCCCTTTATCACAAATGCTCACTTCTTCGAGACGCCACGTGGACATCCATTGAGAAGGTAATATTTTAGGACCAAAAAGGCCTTTTGGTCTAGGCTACTTCCGGGTCATTAATTTCCAATTTCTGGGTTGTTTTAAAAGTCACAATGTAATTGGGGTACTTTTTGTCAAAACTGAAGAGATCAAGAGTCCTTTGAAGCAAGATGACGTGGAAGAAGCAAGAAAACTGTACTTGGGATTATCGGGATTTCTTCAGATGACGTTACAATTCGTTATTTTTAATAAGCCTATTGTTTTCGACTGGAAGCCATTCTTTGTTCTGAAAATTCTGGAAAATTGAAATTTGGAATTCGAGATTAATAACGTCGTCATCAGTTTCCGAAAATTGGAAAGCCCCTGCTGGAAATTTTCGATCTCTCCCGTCAAGTGAAATTCTGAATTATTCACGCCTTCTCGATTTTTCTCCAAGACCACACACATCGAAAAATGGAAGTCAAAAAAAAAAAGAAAAAAAGCAGAGCCTAATCTTGTTTCTTTTCCACTTGAATTGAGAAAACATGAGATTGGAGATTTATGTGTGAGGTATTTTATAAAATATCTAAATGGGCTATTTCGGGAATATCAGATTTAATAATTTTGGAGATTTCTAAGAGTTCGGAATCCACCCAAGCCGTCAACTTTGAGCTCAATTATCTCGATTCCTGTAAGAGATATCAAAAAGTTGTCTACTGATAAAACATTGTTGATTTCATGATAAATAATTTATCAGTTGACAAAGTTTTGATAGCTTTCACAGGAATTGAGATAATTGAGCTCAAAGTTTACGGTATGTGTGGGCTTTTAGTAGAGGAAACACGGAAAATTCTCATAAACCAAACGATAATTCTCATCAAAGTTCAGACCCAGAATAGATCGGTCCCTTATTATTTTCTAATTTTAGCTCCCAAAATAGTACCTTTCCAACCCATCGCGCTTGTGCCCTTCTATTTTTGAAATTTCGCCTCCCCCCTTGACCGGAAAAAATTTGGCTCGTATTCAAGTGCAGCCCACACACACACACACACACACCCAACCGAATTTGAAGAAATACAAAGTGCATGTTACTCCAACCAGATGAGGGCTCCTCCAACAACGTCACGGCTCGAAAAAAAGACTAAAAGAATAGGTGGTGATAGATTTGATTAGGAGCACAAGAAGATGATGATGAGGCTCATGTGACTCCAAAAAAAGCTAGATACCGTATTCCCTCTGATCTCCATTATCTAGGTTTCTGCAACAGATATGAAAAACTTGTCAATTGATAAAATGTTGGTGATAATTTGATGAACATTTTATCAGTTGACCACTTTTCGATATCTTTCACAGGAGCCGAGATATATGGGCTCAAAGAAGTACGGTAACTGTCCCTGAAACAGATATCTCTATAATTCTATGATTCACCAATGCAATTCCTTCTCTTCTTTCAATTTTAGCCTTCTTTTTCTCACTGCCTCTTGCAATTTCCATAATTGCTTCTTCTTCTTCTTGATTAACCTCATTCTGTGCCTCCCTGACATTGGCCGCACACAGCGGGAACTCACTTTTCCTCTTTTTGTTGCTTTTTTGGCTCTCGACCACCCAAGACGAATTTCTGACGAGAGCTCTCAGAAAAAGAAAAAGAAGATCCATCTATAATGGAATTCGTCGAGTGCTTCTCAAAGGAACGTCACACCTGTTTGTGCCACTTTTTGGGGATGACAATGGTGAGAGTGTGGGGGATTAGAAGGAGAAGAATGGACCGTGTGATTATAATACAGGACAATTAATCCAAGATTATTCGTGGAGAAGAGGGGAGGGTATGAATGGAAGGAATCAGAGGCGATTTACCTACGTTGAAGGGTGGTATTCAATGCAAAGATTTCGCGGAAAAAATGGAACCATCGGGAATTGATGGCCTATTGTTCAGGATTTTACAATAGGGTAATTGATTCGGAGTATACTGTAGAGTATGCTGTAGTGTAGTCGTCTTCAAGAACTAGAAGTTTGAATTCCTCGGATCTGAGCTGATGAGCTTCTGAAGAAAATCTGAAAACGCTGAATAGCCTGAAAGGAAGTATCCTAACACTTTAAATGAACGGGTTAAGCCAGCCGCACAGTTCCTTATCTGACTTCATCTGAAACAACCAGATTCTCTGAGCAGCGGATCTGATATCCTGAGCTCCTGAAGAATCGAAACCAACTTGTTCCATAGAAAACAAAACCAGATTTTTGCATTAACAGTCTCATCTTTATTCGAATCGAGTGTGTTTCATTAGTATCACGGTATATGTATCAGAACGATTGGGAAATGGAAAACTTTTCAATGGGATAGATTACTGTAGAGAGCATGAGAACTGGGAAACGAGTATCATAGGGGACGGTATGGGGAGATTTAGAAGAAGGTCTCTGGCATTGGGAGCTTGTTGAAGTCCAAGAAGGTGGTGAATCCCTTTGGCATATTGCAGCCATCCCTCTTGCACAGACAGCGGATGGACGTCTGCGATGGGCGGCCTGCGGCGTGGAATTGGAAGGCCTGAAAGTTTGTTATATTTTTCTGAACGGAATTTCTATAACTACTCACCTCTTGAAGACAGACATTGAGCATGGCGTGTCCTTTGTGAACAATCTGGTAGAGGTTCAAGACGTTGGTGTAGTCGTCGCTTTCCATGTCCACTCCGTTGACGTATCCTTTGTTGTAATCCTTTGGATCCGGCATGTAGGAGCACAGGTCGTAAATTGGCTCACTGAGTGTGTGCTGTCCAGAGAATTCGGTACCAGCGATGTTCTCCTCGACCGGCTCCCAGCATCGAATCTTCTTGGTCAGCTGCTCATGAGCGTCTTGGACCGTGTTCTTCGACGATGGGCGGACACTGAAGCCCGAGGTGGCTAGAGCCAAGCAAGACACCAGAATAGCAGTTTTGGAGAGCATGGGGACGGGCTCACGATAATGAAGAGTAGTGCTCAGACCGGTGTTTTTAAAGAGAGACCAAAAAATGGGCGGAGTCTCCACTTCTTGACGGAGGAAACGACAGAGAAGGAAGGGGCGGGGCGATAGATGAAAGCTCTATGATGTAGAAGGTGAAGAGGAGGGAGGTGGTATAGAAAATATGGAGATTCTACGGTTTCTGATTTCAATCTCGTGGGCATGTTGGTGATGATCTGAGCATAAGCTACAAAAAGGGCAGGAGGATCAATGAAACATTGAGATCCATTGAGATCCAAGATCTATGGAAGCAGTTCTATTTAATGTTTTGAGATAGTTTTTTGGAAAGTGCATTTGGATGATCGTTGAATTGATAGATCACAGCGCAATCGGTTCAGCATCAACTGATAAATCAAGATCTCTAGGAGGACGGTAGAACAAATGTCACATACCGTATTTCCTCGAATATATGCCCACGTCAATTTTGAGCTCAATTATCTGGGCTCCTTTAAAAGATAGAAAAAGTTGTCAACTGATAAATTGCTTATCATAATGCCACAAACATTTTATCAGTTGATACGTTTTTGATATCTCTTACAGGAGCCGAGATAATTGAGCTCAGCTCAAGGGTCCTTCTATAACAGTTTTTACGGCGAATTGTAGTTCTATCCCCTTTTTTTGTTTACAAGTTTCGTTGGTTGTTGCAATCGTAAAAAGTGTGTAATACCGAGTTACTGAAGTATTTTTGTGACAGAAAAAAGAATCCGGAGCTATTTTTCAGCTGATAAGATCTTAAAAGATATTGCTCAGCTATAGGATAGGAGCGTCCTCAACATTTGTCTAGGTATCTGCCGTCCGGTTGTTTGTTACATCATCTACAGTAACCCATCAAGTCACGAAGCTCTCATTGACGTTTTATGATCTTCTGACCATATATCTTCTGATTCTCATTAGGCCCAAATAATGATGTAAATGTAAGCTCAACCAATTGGAACACTGACTCAGGTGTCGTAATGAGGCCATGGTCGCCTGATGCTAAAAATGACTTTTCGAAAATTTGAGATTTCCCACGCAACATAATTTTATGCTTCCTAGCTCTTTTGATCTTATCACGTCCACCGAATCAGGCTCCAACATCACATGAAGGCGTTAGCCTAGGCTGACGTCTTCTGAAACATTAATAAGTGTCTTGCACTCTTAAAGAGGACATTAAATTCCAGTTCACCGGATGTCTGGTGATGTCGTGATCACGTCTTCTGGCGAAGACACATCACACAGACTTTGGAGATCAAGACCAGGAAGGTCCTCTCTGAAATTTAGAGACACACCACTCGAAAATCTGAAAGGGACACTTCTTGCTGAAAACCACCACTTCTGAAAATGACCGATTTTCTGAAGATTCTAAAGATCAGATGGGATCTTTTGTAGCTATTCCAGGAAGAAAGGATTCTGCAAATGTCGACGTCAATGCTTCTTGAATTGTATTCTGATGACTTTTTGCTTAGGGACGATGCTCTGACTCGATAAAATTAGACAAAGATCTCGAATCTCTTATCAGAAGAGTCTTCTGATTGCTCATACCCGGTACTACCCCAGCCAAAACAAGTGATCCCAATTTCCGACGGAAATTGGAACATGTGGGATTACTGTATAAGCCTACGCCTAGCTGAAAACAATAACAAAACAGAGCTTATGAGGAAAAATAACTACTGAAGAATGCTTATCCACGATACTGGGCGGCAAAATTAATAAACAAACATTTTATGGTAGTAGTGAGTTCTAGAACAAAAAATAAACTGACTCTGGACCCCAAAGTTTGTAGGCTAAAAATTCAAAACACTCTTTGAGGAGGGAATTCTAGCTTAATTACAAAAGTACAGTAATCCTTTTCTTCCAGCGCTTCGACAACGCAATTCACGAGTGCGACTTCATGAGCAAATGGCCTGGATATGACGCAAAGACAATGAGACTAGATTTGAAAAGGCTTCATGAGTTGGCAAGTTTTTCAGTTCCTGGTTTTGAAAATTGAGCCTAGGAATGTTATTTTGGTACAAAAAACTTGGAGCTGTGGAAGAGAAACGGAGGTGGCCGTGGCCAAGGGGGATACAGCTACAGTAACCTAAAAATATTTTTCGGATTTTTTTTCTCGATTATCGTGCGTTTTTGAACTAGACGAAAAGCAGTTAACAGTTAGAAAATCAATCCTGAAAATAAAAATATTTGTAGGTTACGGTAGTTGTCGTTGTGGGATCTTCGGCCACGACCTTTGTCTTCCATAGCTTCGATTTTCTGATACCAGAATAACAAGATCATGATCTTTAGAATTCTAAAATTCCTGGAACTTTTCTTCCCACTGACTTTTCTCACTTTTTTCCCGGAAAATTATGAATAATTTTCGAAATTCTGCTCTTCCTGAAAAATAAAGGTTGTACAGGAAATGCCAAAATTACCAGTCTGGAACATTTTGAAAAAGACAGAGGATATCCTCTTCCTGTGAAAAGGTCAGCACAGCCAAAGTACCAAAACCCCGAATTCTGGAAATTGGAAACTGAAAAAGAAGGTCAGCAGTACTGTACTTCATTTGTGACGCGAGTTCCCACGCTCTGAATGAATTCTTGTTTTTGTTCGCCTCTTCAAGAAACAACAATAGAAAGATATGTAGCATTCTTGAAACAAGCCGGGCCGGACCGCGGACCGGCTCGTAAGTTTTTTCTTCTAGAAATGATTCTAAAAGTCCTCAAAGTTATTTCGTTAATCATGATGATATTGAGATGTATGATGTTTCGTGGGTTGATCCGTAAAGAAGAACCATAAGAAAAAGGAGCTTATCCCCCATTCCGTTCCATAGATCAACTCAATTTCATTCATTTTCATGTATATTTTCTTCTATTTCAGGTGTCCTCCGAATCCACATCATCCGGCCTAGAACCGGATCATCACCGAGCCTACCAAGTGTTGATTGTGTTGGAAGCCAAGAGAGCATACGACGAGCGGCTGGCAGGACTCTTCTGCGAGGACTGGTTCGATGTGGACAGCCCTGCAGACGTATTCAGAATTCTAACGACACGTGGCGATGACGAATTGCCATCAAAGGTAAAATCATCTTTATTGAAAGGACGAGATGACGTTGGAAATGAAGAAGACATTAGTGAAATTGGAACTTAAGTCGGATTATATTGTCTCATCTGGGTGGTAGAGCTCTGAGAAAGAATCGGGGGCTTATTAGGATTCACGGAGGACGCTTTAGTAAGAATTCAAGAAAAAAATTCGCGGGCTTTTTGGGAATGCCGAATGCCGTAGGGTTAGTCTCCTTGAAAGACCAAAGCTACCGTGTACCCTCTGACGTTGCTGCCACCTATTTACGGGTGTGTTCTGAGCTTTGACACTTCCAATTACCATAAGATGCTGACCTCATATGATTTTCTAGAAAACTCATTTTCTTTAAAAATCAAAATCATTGAGCAGTTCCAAAAGTAGCCTTGCAAAAATGCTCCACCTGATCAGTGAGGTTATAACACACAGAGATGACTAGAAACTATAACGTGTGCTGGATATAACTTCTTTAATGGTGTATTGCACTTTTGCAAAAAATAATGAAGGCGTTGATCTATAGATGATGTGAGAAGGATGAGACAGCATCAGACTATAGAATCTGTATAAATCTTTAGATAAAAAGCAGATGACGTTGATGCCATCTTCATTGTTATTCTGTTCGTGTCGAAGTACCATGAATCATGAGGAGCTTTGTTACAATGGACTCTATGAACACGAGCACGAATCAGAATCAGTACTAATTCGGTTGTTTTTGTTGAAATTCTGCCAGCTCATCATCAGAAGAATACTGGATGTGTACCGCACTCATCTCGATCTTCTTTTGTTCTCTTCAACTGATGAGATGAGCTATTGTTTTATCAGAATTGTACGTAGGCACATACTGATCAGAATTGTGCTAGACAAGAAGAAATTAGATTTATTAGACCGGAAGGGAGGATTGGCTAGACATGATAAGAAGAAATAGGGACTAATTTCTATGTGATATTTCTGCGCAAGCCTTAAAGGTGGGGGGACAGGAGATTTTTCGTAGTTTTTTTTTGTAGCTAGGGTATGCATTCTACCGTCACGGTGTACAACGCTTAATGGCACTCTCCGTACAGCTATTGTCCTCGCCTTCATGTATGCAATCGGGCGTGCGCTTTCTCTTTGCCCGCGTGGCTCAGTCGGTAGCGGCGCCGCACCCTCAATCATCGCCCTCACAAGTTCAACTCCTCGAGGGGCATCTTTGAACAGAATTTTGAGAACATTATTTTTTCATGTCCCCCCACCTTTAAACTATCCAGAAACTATCTAGAAATATCGGGGGCTTCGGAATTTAGGAGTTTCAAGATTTTGGAATTTTCCGATTTTCAAAAAGATCATCTCGCATTATTATCATTTTCAGATCCTCTGGAACCTCCTCTGCCGTATCAGTGGTGTCTCTATCGAGATCATCGACGCACGTGTTCTCTCCGAACGCCCCAAAATTCATCGATTCTCCTCGACAGCATCACCAAAGACGCCGTCTCTGACGTGGCTTCGTCTTGGAAAACGCCCTGTGCCATTGTTCTACATCCCAGATGATGAATAACCAATTTTATGTGCTCTTCACCCACCCAATACGGGTTATCACCCTCTTCACCCGCTCTCTATTACCTTTTTTTATAATTATCGGGTATTTTCAATTTTTGATCCTACAGTCCTTTTGTAGGAAGTTCCCAACATCTCGAGGAGCTGAGAAAATATCGAGTTTCTGTTTTCCTTTTTTTTTCAAATTTCACCTTTTCCATGTTGTGCTCCCCGGTGCTAATTCACTCCATCCCGTAGGTATTCCCCCACTTCTCGCTGGTTTAAATTCGTTTTCTCTGTATTTTTTTGCTGATAGGAGAGTAGTTTTTGTAGTGTGTTGTTTCTAGGCAATTCATGTTATCATTATTTTTTCTACTCTAAATAAATGTTTTAATTCTGGAATTTTTTTCTGTTTAAGAAATACGACAACATAAGTGAAAGCTAGAACAAGTAACAAACTGAAAACAGTCAAAATATGACCCCAATTATCTCAGTTCACCTGAAGACAAATAAACTTGAGTGAATAAAAAACGTTCGAACTTCGAAAAGAAGCTAGAAAAGTTTTTCTTCCGAAAATTCTTCTACAGTAGTCTTAAAGGCGCACACACGTTTTCGACACCGGGTTCCGACACGAGCGCTTTCAGTTTTTTATATTTAAAAGTGAGCAAGAATTCCATAAAAAACAACATATTTTGCTCGAAAAATGTACGCAGCCGCCGATGTTTCGTTAGTTGGAACTTTCGCAAAACTCGCAGACAGGTAATACTGGCTACTGAACGAATAAAACGTTCAAAATCTCAAATATTAGTTGATTAACCAAAATTTTCCAGAACTGCTGTTCCAGGAGCTTTACCGCCCCGTTTGAACGAAGATCCATCTCTTTATGGACATCTGACAAGCGGCTTAGATTTGACTATCGGTTGTGAAGGATACAGCGACACTCGCAGCCTGGATTCCAGATTTCACTCAATTTTTGATTATTTGTGCAAAACTTCTCAATTGAGCTCTTCTTTCAAGGAGGTTCTTGTTGTTTATTGTTCTCACTTTCAATGTTTGCGTTTAGACGATCGGTGCGGATTTCTTGTTGACTAGAAAATGTCTCGTCGACATTGGCCAGGCAGCTTACCGGGCGGAGAGTACCAGAATTCAAGCGATTCGAAAGAAAGGAGTGATTTTTATGTGCGAAATCCGCAAGTGGGAAATGAGCTATTTTCGAAAAAAAAGATTAAGTTTCTAGAGAGTATCCATCACAACCATTCGGCCATAAATTCGAACAATATCTCACTTTGAATGATCGCGGACTGCCACATGACAAGTATGAAAGGCTAACAAACGACGGATGCTCGAAGGCAGTTTTCCGAACTACATTTACATCTGGCAACAAGGCGATCAAAGTATTTTATGCAGCTGAAATGGACGCAATCGACGAAGAGAGAAACTTTGTGGAGTTGAAAACCACTTCTATGTCTCACGATAGATGGGTGCAGATCGCAAGTCTCAGCAACTATCTCCAATCGTTTTTCGGCAAAATTCCATATATTATCTGTGGTCGGAAACCATCCTTTGGAAATAATGTTATTTATCAGGTACAATCGGAGGGACTAGAAGAATTCAAAGACTTTTTTATTATAGGTAGACAAAATCCAAACTGCGGACATCCCGAACTATTCCGGTGTGCATTGGAAAAAAGAAGTGTGCTTCCAGCAAATTTTCAATGTTCTGAATGCAGTCAAATCAAGACTTCAACAGGATAACGAAGCGGTCGTCTTCAACTTGACGCAAGGAACCATCTACCTCGAGACAGAACGCGCTGAAAACTGTACTTTCACTGATCAAGCCTTTTTGAATTATCTCAACTAGTTGCATTTCACATTGTTAAATGTTTACTTTTATACAACATCTACCCCTAACTCTTCTTAATAAAACAAGCTAGATTCATTGTTATTTATTTATTTAATGTGATTTTCAGCTCTAATTCGAATTCTAAACTAATGCTCTACCAATCGCATTCTCTCATTTTCAGCTAAATTGTAATTTGAAAGAGAAATGTCTGTCAAAATCGACGTTAAAAGAGTAGGAACCTTCACCAAGTTGGCAGATAAGTTGGTCTCTAATACTGACTCAAATGAAAAATATCAGTGTTTCAGAACAGCAGTCCCAGGTGGCCAAGCTCCGCGTCTCAACGAAGACCCTAGCTTGTATGGAAGATTGCAAGAAGAAATGGATTTGACACTAGGATGTGAAAACTACAAAGACGACGGACACGGTGATAGATATTGTTCATTTTTCGATTATATCAAAAAAACGACTGAAAAGGGATCTTCGATGAAAGAAGCGATTGGCGCAGATTTTGTGTCGAATCGAAGAAATCTCATTGTAATCGCACAGTCTGCATATAAAATCGAACCAATGGAAATTCAAGCATTTCGCCAGAATGGAGTAATTTTTCTGTGTGATAAAGCCGAAGATTTGTCAGTGCTAATAAAAAAAATGGGTTTTAGTTCATTTAATTTCAGAGAAGAAGAAGTTTCATGGCCACAAGGTCACAAATTCGAGAGATATCTTACATTGAATGAAGAAGGCAAGCCACATGACAAGTACGAAGAGTTGCACACCGAGGAACGCTTCAAGCTAGTCTTGCGAACCACTTTGAAAACAACTGCTAAACCGCCTATCAAAGTGTTTTATGCAGCTGAAATTGATGCTGTTGATAGCAGTGGGTTACAACTTGCGAATAAGTTAATCCTGAAAGTTTCAAATAATTCCAGAAGGAGAGTATGTTGAGATAAAAACAACTGGACTGCGTCACGATATGTGGCTCGAGAGAAACAGTCTAAAGAACTATCTTCAATCAGCGCTTGCAAATATTTCATACATTATTTATGGTAAAAAGGCGAGAGGAAGATGGAATCACATTTACAGAGTACTACATTACAATTATGCATGTAAATTCCTTATATTGTTTTTCAGGTCGACAAAGTGTTCACTGAGACAATTCCAAGTGATCGTGTCAACTGGAAGAAAGATGTGTGCTTCGAGCAACTTTTCAATGTTCTCGACAAGATCAAATCGAAGCTTGAATACGATGACGAGGCTCTCGTGTTGAAAAAGACCGAAGAAGGATTGTTCTTCGAGCCTGAATGCTCCAAAAATTGTATTTTCATGGATTCAGACTTTCTGGAACACTTTGCATAACTTCCATAATTTTATTGTTACCCCCTTTAATAAAACATGTAACATCAATCCGTAGTTGTCAGTTGTCAGTTTATATTTGAAGAGTTCACCAAAAAAAAACAAAAGACAGAGATAAGATAAGATTACAGTAGCCGGCCGGCATGCATTGGTTCTGTAGTCTGATTGTGCTCCTGATGAACGACGGCAGTGTTGACTTGAATCACTGGGACTCCTGGACTGGCACGTGGACGGCGATTTCGTTTCAGAATTTGCTTATTGCACAAATCCGCGGGCCGCTGGACTCCGTTTTTTCGGAAGTAGAGAGAGCAGCCACTGAAAGATTGAAATTTGATTTAAAAAAACATAAAAATTTATTACGGCTAAGCAAAAAAGAACAGAGCTGTGGACAAGAAACGCGGTGGTTGTGGCGGAAGGTCCTACAACGACCATTACCGTAATCAAGAAATAATTATTTTTCAGGTTTTTTTTCTTGTTTTTTTTCGGTTTGTCTGCTATTTTCCTCGCAATAATATCGAGATAATGAAGAAAATATTTTCAGGTAGTTGTCGTTGTGGGACCGTCGACCACGGCCACCGGCCAGGCAATCCTTTCACTCTTAAACCTTTACATTTTTCTACTTTTTTGAATAAAAACAACAGAAAATTTGACGAAAGTCAGTGAAAAACGAGAAAAAAAACCTGAAAATTAACTATTCCTAGGTTACGGTAGTTGTCGTTGTGGGACCTACGACCGTGGCCACCGGTGTTTCTCTTACAAGGCTCTGACTTATTTGGACAAGAATCGTATTCTCAAACGTTTTTTTTTCGGTGTCATCAACTTTAAAATTAGTCTTCATGTTGAAATTTTGAAATTTGAAAATTATGAAATTCAAAAATGCGAAACTCACTTGCACTCAATGGCTCCAGAATCGGTTCGTCTCCAAAGTGTGGTCTGTCTAGTTCCACAGCTGGGATTTGAGCAAACTGAGTTGTGATGGAAAGTAGATGGCTGCAAAATTCAATCCCTACTCTACATAGGAATTTTCAAAAAAACTCACTTTTCTAATAACTGAAGACTTTCCAGTACTTTTCTTCTCCTTCACCTGCATTACCAAATTTTCCTGTGCCATGTAGTTTTGTCCAAACTGGGGATACTGTAGATAGTTTTGGTTCATGGACATGTCGAAACTTCCGAACATTGGGTTGACAGGAACCACGGGAGCAGTAGGAGCAACATAAGGGGGAACTGCTGAAATATTGTTGAAAAGGGAAATAAAGAGAAAATGAAACTTACCAAAATATTGTCCAAAATCCTCATAGAGAGGGTCCATCATGTATTGGGATCCAGTCGGTTCGTACATAGTTGGAGTATGGACTGGAGATGGCTTACCATGGTCCTCCGAAAAAAGCATTTCATGGGCCACAATGTTTCCATCTTTATCCATAACTCCATAGGTATAAGGAGCAAGAGGTGGGGTTGAAGAGGAGGAGGATGCAGAAGAGGATGAGGAAGAAATTGGATACATTATTTGGAGATAATGAATCTAATCGTTTTTTATTCTTGTTACGATACGACCGTCGTCTTAGGGGCTGAGCTATGGTCCGCCTTTTTTTGGGGAAAGGGGGTGGAGCAGAGGAGGGGTACTGTGAGGAAGGTCCTTGTGTAGGTAGGTTACTGTAGCCTTTGATGTTACCGACAGGGTACACTGAAAGCCAAAAGAAACCCCGATGTACCGGATCTAGCGCTCATAAAGTATTCAAACAAATCGGTTTTTAAAAATGGTATACAGTATCTTTCGTCGGCATGTAGTACCAGCCAAAATTTTAATAATTCCGGAAGTTTTTTGTTTAAAAAAGGGATGTAAAGAAATCTAGTGGAACTTGAAGGATGAGACTGGAAAATTTCTGATCTACAAAGCAAGAACAGAGCTTCAATTTTGTAGTTAGCAATACAAACTCATGGGATTGCCATTTCTGAAAGTCTTGTCATTTGTTTGGGTACAAGCGGTGCATCTCATTTGAGTAAACTTGGATGAATAAAAATCTGAAATTGTCCAGTAGATCTGAAAGTGTTCAGATTTATTCTATGAATTTTACTACCGAAAAACCAGTAATATAAGGTTCCAAATTTTAGCTCAATTATCTCAATTCTTATGCAAGGTATCAAAAATGTGTAAACTGACAATATACTTCTGATATCATGTTAAACAATTCATTAGTTGACAACTTTTTGTATCTTTGAGAGGAACCGAGAACAATTGTGTCCATGAACTATAACTCCAGACTCAAAACATAAAAATGAACAAATTACCGTGGATGCTCTAATAGAAGCTCCGCCCTTTGAACTTACTTATCTCGGTTACTGGAAGACGTATCGAAAATTGTCAACTGGTAAATTGTAGATCATAATATCAGAAGTATTTTGCCAGTTGACACATTTTTGATATCTTTTTGAAGGAGCCGAGATAATGGAGCCCAAACTTGACAGTGTAGGGGGGGGGGGGGCGTTCTATTACAGGTCTTACGGTAATTTGGAAATGAGCAAAAGGTCATAAAAACCAGAATTCCTACAGAATGAAACAGTAATACTGACCTGACATAGAGCCGCTTGAAATCAAATCTTATCGAAATGTTCCGAATCTTTATGAGATAATAACTAGATGACTTTTTATCAAAATGGTTTTATCTTCCTTTTTAAGGTTCTTGTATGGCAATCTTACTGTGACTACCGTAAACACTCTAATACATACTTGTAAAAATCCGGGTCGGCCCGTCAAAGCCCGGGCCTGAGGAAGTTTTCAAGGCCCAAGGCGCGGAATCAAATTTTTGAGCCAAATTTTGAGCTCTCAATATAATTTTCTCCATTTTTTCGTTTTTTTGGATTGTTTGTCTGTTTGATCGAAAAAGATCGAAAAAACTCGAAAAAAATCACATAAGGGTCCCCCCTTATGTGATTTTTGAAATTTTCAAAACTTGTGAAATGACAGGCCCGTCAAGCCGGGCCTCCGAAATTTGGGAAAAAGCCCGGCCCGTTACAAGTAGGCTCTAATAGAAGGTCACTCTATACTTGCACTTCGAGCTCAATTATCTAAGTTCCTTCAAAACGTAGCAAAAATGTGTTAACTGATAAAATATTGGTGATGTTATGAAAAACATTTTATCGATTGACAAAATTTTGATATCTTTCACAGACATCGAGATAATTGTGCTGAAAATTGACAGTCGGGGCTTATATTAAAGGAAATACCTTTTCGAATTCATACTTCAAATCATAAACATTTTCAATCATCTGCAATTAAAAACTTTACTTGAAATTCATATAACCCACTTTCTCCTTTTCGTTTAGCAAGACATACTCCGTTTACGACCCCTTGAGCCCTTGTGCGTCTTCACAACGTCTACATTGTTCGATCCATCAAGGTGTTCTATCTTATCATCTTTTTATTCTTTCTCATTCTTTTCTTTAAAAAGTCTATTTACAACCTGACACATGTGGAGGAATTGAAACATTATAGCGTATTCAAAAGTTGTCTTTGATAAGGAAAAAAAATGTTCGAGATGAGTCATGACTACATATTTCATGGGTTATTCCGAGAATGGAGTTATCAAGCGTTATCAGAATGGAGTTATAAAAGTTATCAAGCGCACAGGGAACTGCAGAAAGGGGTTGGGGGTAGCTTGCCTGGGCAACTCCTTCACTCTTCCACTTTTCGCTCTGCCTATTCAATAATGCCGGTCAAAATCGATATTGAACATCTGGGAACTTTAAAGAAGAATCGAGATCGGTGAGCTTACCAGAAATTGAAATCATTACGTTGAATCCAGCGATTTGAAGAACCGCCGAACTTGATCATCAACCGAGTCGTCTAAATGAAGATCGTACACGATATGGAAAACTCAGTCAACGAAATTAGATGAATTTGAATTTGGGATGCGAAGGCTTCAGGGATGAAGGAGGTGGTGATCTTTATTTTTCTCTCTTCGACTATATCAGACAGACTGCATCGCCCGGGAATTCCCTCAAAGAGGTTAAAACCTTTCTCCTAGAACTTCCATTTATCGTTTTTTTAGGCGATCGGTGCAGATTTCATATCAACTCGTAGGAACTTGGTTACATTGTCCGCATCAGCATTCCCTGGAAAGCCTTTCCAGATCCGTGCACTTCGAAAAGATGGAGTGATTTTCATATGTGACCGATCATCAGAGCAAGAAACTATTAACAATTATGCAGGAGGTTATAAGTTCGAGCAGTACATGACTTTGAATGAGAACGGACACCCTCATGATGACGATGAGCCGGTTTCAAATGCAGAGTGTGTCAAATCAGTTCTTCGAACAACATTTGAATCAGGAGGAAAAGAGATGAAAGTGTTTTATGCTGCGGAGCTGGATGCAGTAGACAGAGGTATAGTACTGGGTTAATATATTAAGTGGAAAATGGTAAATTTCGGGTGTCTGAAAACATGAGCGATTATTAACCAAAAAAAAGGACTTCTAAATTTTAACTTCCAGCCAATTTATCTCGGTTTCTGTCAAAGATATGTATAAAAAAATTGCCAACTGATAAATTGTTCATCATAACATCACAAACATTTTATCAGTAGTCACATTTTTGATATCTTGTATAGGAACCGAGATAATTGAGCTCAAAGTACACGACTTCTATAACGGGTTTCCCGTTCTATCCGTTTATTAATCAACTAAAAATTTTGACTTCAGAGGAAAACTTGGTTGAGTTCAAATCGACAAACCTTGGACATCAAAATTGGCTTGAGAGACTCAGTCGTAATCATTACTTGCAATCTTATTTTGGAAACGTTTCTTATATAATCAAAGGGTCAACAACAAGAGAGAAGATTGTTTTCCAGGTTAGGTTTAAATTCTTCACAAAACATCTAGCTAAATACTCCAGCTGGATAAAATTCTTGTCGACGAAATCCCTAAAATGGAAGTAAACTGGGATCCGGAGACATGTTTCGTAAAATTGTTCGAAATCCTGGAAGAAGTCAAAACGAGACTTGAAAATGACGATGAAGCAGTCATTATCAGAAGTGATGGGGTGAACATCTATTACGAAGAAGAAGATGCTAACAACTGCAATTTTGTAGATCCCGAATTTTTGAGAAACTTCTATTAACAATTTCTATTTTCTATTAGAATCAATATTTTTGAGAATATATTTTCACTTTTCAATATGAGAGATAAATGATGATGATTCAGCGTTCTCTGTTTGCTAAGTGTGCCTTGAAACAATTTTTTGTAAAAACTAATGCATTCGTCTTCTTCAAGATTTCTTGCTCAGTCCTAACTTCGCGGTGTCCCATCTCCTGTATTCGCTCAAAACCTCCTCGGAGGAACATTGTATGCTCCAAAAATGCCGGTAAAAGTCGATGTGAAGATAATTGGAACCTATAAAAAGCTGAAAGACAAGTGAGTTTGATTAGAGAAATCTGTAACAGAAGGACAAAATTTGAGATTTATCTCAATTCCTATGCGAGAAATTTGAAAAAAAAAAAATCAAATTTGAGATTTATCTCAATTCCTATGCGAGAAATTTGAAAAAAAAAAATCAAATTTGAGATTTATCTCAATTCCTATGCGAGATACAAAAAATGTGTCCACTGACAAAACACTTTTGACATTATGATAAACAATTTATCAGTCGAAAACTTACAGGAGCCGATATAAATTGGCTTAAAGATTAAAGCTAGAAGGTATTTCAGATCTGCGGAAGTTGGAGGTCTCCCGCGTCTCCTGAATGAAGATCCACATCGTTTTGGTCTTCTGGAAGAAACGGATCAAATGGATCTAAAGAAGGGATGGGAAGAGTTTAACGATGAAGGATACGGAGACACTTTCGATTCTCTGTTTGACTACATTCGAAAAACTTCAAAAAAGCGGACTTCTTTGGAAAAGGTATTCTTTTATGGCAAACATCTAGAATACGGTTGAATTCTATTCAGACCAACCAATTTCATATTATTTCAGGCTCTCGGGACGGATTTTGTCTTAACTCGTCGAATTTTGCTGTTGTTTGCTAAAAAATCAGTTTACAAAACCTTCTATGTAATTCGAGCTGTTAGGAGAAATGGTGTTATTTTCCTTTGCGATGAAGTTTCTGAAAACAAAGGTCCAAGTGTGATGCGAGTTTATGGACACAAGTTTGAGCAATACATGACTTTGAATCGTGTTGGAGAGCCTTATGATGAAGATGCACCAGTTGTTAACTCGGAATACTGTAGAGCAGTTTTTCAAACATCTCTAGCATGTGGAAATGAAGAGATCAAAGTAATGTACTCTGAAGTAGTTAAGGCAGAAGACAAAGGGAGTAATCGTGTTCAGATATTTTTGTGAGCATTTCGTTTCAGAAGGAAAGGTGGTCGCCATCAACGAAACCAGTTTGGATCTAAAAACATGGCTCTATAAGCGTAGCCTGGGCGTATATCTGCAGTCGTATTTCGGAGGTTCATCGTACATTGTCAAAGGGACTACAAACAATGATAACGTCGTCTATAAGGTATGTTGAAATCAAATATTTTGGAATCATGTGTTCTTTTCATTTCTAGTTTGAATATGTCATTTGGTAAGCTGGGAGATGAAAAAAACAATTGAAAATTTCAAAAATGATCCCAAACTGACAGGTGAATTTTCAACAATAAATATCTATAGCTTTTCAGGTCGACAAAATCCCAACTGAGGAAATTCCAAAAATGAACGTATTCTGGAAACCACAGGCATGTTTCGAAAAGGTGTTCGACATCCTCCAAGAAATCAAAACTAGACTGGAAAATGACGACGATGCGATTGTTATCAGAAGCGTCGGATGGGACATCTCCTACGAACCAGAAGATGCCAGAAAATGCGATTTTGTGGACCCAGAGTTCCTGAGAAAATTCCATTAACCTTTTCTTATTTGTTTACTGTTCAATTTTCAATTTAGAAATTAAGAGCTAAATAAATTATTCATCATTTTCCTAGATATGGAGATATGGATCATGACTCGAAAATACCATGCCTCACTTGTTTAAATATAATACATTACCTATTTTTTGAATGATTTCATAATCGGAGGACTTGTTTTGCATGACGCCTGCCAGGTTAGAATACGTTGCCTTGCTCAGGATAGAATTTTTCAGCGGATTTAGTTGATCTCTATAAAAACCATGTATGGAGGTTAGACACTTACTTCATTCGAATTACGCCGTTAACTGTTGATATTAAAAGAATTGGAACTTACAAAAAATTGCAAGATAAGTGAGTTAAATTTTTTTAAACAATTTTCAAAGCCTCTCTAATAGAAGGGCATTCCTAGAGGGTCTTTGAAAACGTTTACGTCCCCCTCCAAATTGTGTTGTCAGAAATGAAAAATCCGGTGCGTTTTCAGTGGAAAATATTCCGGAAATCTCCTTTTTGCTCAATTTTTGGTAAGATCGATAGATATTCTTGAATTTTAAGTGTTTGGAAAAATATAAGTGCTACCCCTAATCAAAGGGCCTCAGTAATAGAAGCGTCTTCCGGAGTTTCCTAGGAACAATAATAGTACCCGACCCTTCTAATACACATTTTACGGTAATAATCTGAATTTAGATCTGTGGTTATTGGTGCTTTGCCAAGTTTGCTAAATGAAGATTCTTGTCGATTTGGTTGGCTGAAAGAGAAGGATCGGATAGATCTAAGAAAAGGATGTGAACAATTCAAAGATGATGGATATGGAGATTTGTTTCACTCCTTTTTTTGAATGCATCCTCAAAGAAGAAATCAAAACGTGACTTGAAAATGACGATGAAACAGTCATTATCAGAAGTGATGGGGGGAACATCCCCTACGAAGATGAAAATGCTAGCAACTGCAATTTTGTAGATCCCGAATTTTTGAGACATTTCTATCAATAATTTATATTTTCTTTTAGAATCAACCAGTCGGTTTGAGCCCCCTATCGGGGGCTCAACCTCTTGGCTTTCGTCCACTGTATCTTACACTTGAATTTCTAATGTCTAGATTTTCCACTTTCCGAGTGCCCGAAACTTCCAAGTATTTCGATTTTTAAATGTTGGATGTTACTAATATGGGAATTTCTAGATAACGTGATTTCTCCAATTTCTGTTCTTGAGATACTTTCATTGAGTTTTGTGTAAAGAGTTGAAAATAAAGAATTGTTCCTTTTAAAACGTACGGAAACTCTTCATTTGTTCACAATACTGGACGTACCAGTGGAATAGCAATTAAAAGAGACAAAACAGAGTGTTGGGGATGAGCAAAAGGAAAATCTTACGAACGGAAAAAAATGGGTTGAATGGGGAACAAAGTAGAAAGAAAGCCAAAACTAAAACAACACACGATGATCTGTAAGAAAACACCAGAGAAGCTGTTTTCGTTGGAAAAGAAACAATAAAGATAACTTGGGTTTATAAAGTAGTAAAAGAAAATTGGATGGGAAAAGAAGGGTGCAAAAAACTGAAAGAGGATAACTTTGAAAAGGGAAGAACTATCAGTAATGCAAAAGGTGGGAAATGGTATGCAGGTCTGTTATCAACGTGGTATAGCAATACTCTGAACGAGTTAGGGTACTGTTAGCCGTTGAACAGATCGTGGTGAAGAAAAGCTATTTGAAAAGATAATAGAAAAGAGAAGATTGGTTATGGTAGACATGGATATAAGAAACATGGGGGTGGTGGTAACAATTTAATACGGAAAAATTGATTCAAAAATGTTGGATTGGTGATTAGGCATGCAATGTCGAAAAGTCCCAGGAGGCGCTCAGTTGATGATAACTGTTTGTCCCATGAGCTCGGTGAGAAGACGGGAAGCAGCGGCCTTTGAAACCTGGAAATACTTTTATTAGCCTAAAAACGATAAACGAGAATAATCATACCTCAATCTTTGTTGGCTCGGTTTGGCACTCAACATTCTTTTTCACAATTGGCTCTGTAGCAATGCTAGCGTGCTGTATTTGCTTGGTAAGCTGTTGCATAGCTTGGAAATGGGAGTGGTGCAGCTTTGGGCCGTGTCCATGTCCCTGGGCTTGTCCGTGATTCTGGAACTAACAAAAATTGAAGAAAATGGAGGGCAATGAGGTAGAGTTAGTTTTGTGAATATCGGCTGGGATAATCAATTGATTTCATCTCTTTTTGATCCATTTTTACTGAACTTACCGCAAGGCCGAGTGCGACCAGCCAAGATGGAGGCTGCTGTAGAGCTTGCTCTGCGGCTAACCGCGCCTAAATTTAATATGCCAGAGTAAAATTACAAATAACTGAAAAAAAACAAGCAAGGGAGAAGACAGTTTTCTAAGCACATGCTGCTGTTTCATGCTCGGTGAATTTTCCTTAGTGCGCCATATTTTTGAATAAAAAAGGTGATGAAATGAACGGATATGTTTTAGAACAACCTACAGAACGAACCACCGATAATGATAGAACCCTTATATTTTCCCGAAAGATACCATGGATAAGCGCTGGCGTATCCAAAAATGACTATCTTATCTTCCAGAATATATAAAGGTCCTTTTGTGAAAGGTGAAGCTGTGTGCAATAAATTATTACCAATTGACTCACATCGTCTGAGTCCGGAGTGTGAGACAAAGATCCGTCGATTGGCTCCGATGGTGGCTGGGAGTGCATCAGAGGTGGACCGTTTTGGTTCATTTGATGGAGGAACGGCATTTGCACGAACGGCGGGTACTGCATCCGCATCTGTTGCTTTGATAATATTGATTTAATATATTTTAAAACAGCGTTAATTAGTATACTATGATTACGAAACGGTGCTTTTGTTAGCTGCGAGTGCTTAAAGAAAGAATTTAATGAATACCTGCGGTGGGAATTGATTGTTGAGTCCCGGTGGCATGACCATCATCGGTGGTTGCTGTCGCACTTGTTGCCATTGTGCAGTGGCGGCTGAAGCTTCGAGGGAGTGAACCGGGGTGAGGAATGGAGGCTGAAATTTATTGATTCAATTATAAAGGTGAATTTTCTGAACTTACAGATCCAAGAACTTGCGTCCATTCGCCCAGCGTATGATAGTTTTGCTCGTTCTCTGTTTTCAACTGAAGCTCGGGTGTGAAATAACCGGCTTGCAACCAAAAGTTCATATCCTTTGACATATACGGTCCTGAAAATGTGTATTGCGAAGAGATGACGGATTTCTGAACAACATACCATAGTTTTCCTTGTCTGGTCCCAAATAGTACCACTTCGTATCCACGGCTGGGCCATTGTTTCCACTCTTGTGCATTTCGACAACGGCGTGTGGGTTTTCACTAGCGTTCTAACCTGAGAAAGTCGGATTAAGATACATATTAAGAAAAAAGAATAAAGAAAGATGGATATTAAATAAAGGCATAAAGGACCTTCGAGATGGTTTTAAAAATATAAATGAAACAACAGAAATCATTTATGAGGTGAAATATGAGATCAAGGGGAAGGAAATAAAGAAATGCGAAATCAATCTTCATCAAACCACCGGTCTTCATCGTCTTGGTCTCGAATTGGATCGGGTAGTCTGCCCTGTTCGCAGTCGGAGTAGTCATAGAATCTGGAACTTGGAAAAAATATTGATTTCAAAGTACGCCGGTGACTCATCAAGGGAAAAATTGATTGACCGCCTCTCGCGACACTAAGGAAAAAACTTTCACACTCACTCTTTGTCCTTTCCGGCCAGAAACTTTTCCTTCATGAATGATTCGAATTCGTGTCGGAGGACATCCTTCGTGTCATCTTCTCCGATATCGTTATACTGCTCGACTTCCTGGAATTGTCAGTTGATAACGAATGAAAACTCTTCGAAATTACTACCTGTGCAAGCCGTTCCATTTTCTCTCGCATCTTTTCAACTTCATCCTCAACGGGCTCGTCATCTTCTTCTTCCGGAACAAATTCATGGCTTGCCACGTGATTCATGAACCTGCTAATGTGGTCCTTTCCTCCATCTTCTTGTCGTGGACCTTCCCATTCCTTCGCTTGAAGTTTCCGCCTTTCAGCAATTTCAGACATTTCCTCGAAGCGAACCATGTAACTGGACCATGAGGATTCAGATGCATCTCTGGTAACTGTCGGTCGAAGAAACTCCATGTGTTCTGGAAACAAGTTTCAATTTGCTTTTTTCCCTCAATTTCCTAATACCTTCACCGAGGAACTTTCCGATCATTGCGTCGAAAAGATACGGTTCTCGTTCCCTCATCTTGGTATCAGAGAAGTAATCGCCAGCTTTTAATAGCGTTTGCATAGCATTGTAACGCATGTTCCGCTTCTGGAAATTCGAAAGAATCCGAAGAACTGATTTTTGTTCGCAAACCTGCTTCTCACTGATTCCAGAACGTCGACGAATCCGTTTCATTATTTCCTGAACCACACAATCATCATTATCAGCAAAAATATCGCAATCTACAGGTTCGAGGTAATTTTGATACCTAGAAATTGTAGCTTACAAATGACATCGAAGGAAGCAAATTGTTAAACAAACCTATCTAGAAAAATCGGCAACTTCGAAGCGGAAAGATCTTCTAAAATCTTCAGCTTTTGTTCATCTGTCAGTTCTTTCTCATCTCGTTGCTGATTTTTGAAGAAAGCGTCGTTGTCTGCGATAATTCGTGAGAAAATGCTTTCCATCTGAAAGCAAATAGGTGAATTTTAAAGGGTTTCGATGGAAAAAAGGTAAGAAGTCAGGCCAAAATTGTTGGGAACAATTATGAATTGAAACGATAGCAGACTGAAAACCAAAAAAAGTAGCCAGAAGCGCTGAAACATCTCATTTCTCAAGGCGGTTTCTAGATTTTGGACTGAGAATACGAATTTACGCGGGCCCCGCCTACTTTTGCAATACGCACGCACCCTTTTCGCAACGGTGCGGCGCGCAGTTAACATTTTCTGGCTTTACATTTACACGTCTACAATCTCTTTCTGAAGCTCTAAACCTTTCGAGATGACCTGTTTTGTGACAGTCGGAACCACATTATTTGAAGACTTGATTAACAAAGTAAGTATTAAAACACTTTTTCATTTCAAAATCTCTAGAAGTTTTTAGGTATTGTCAGAGGATTGTTTGACAAATCTCAAAAAGATTGGAGTGAAAAAAGTTCGTCTCCAAATCGGAAAGGGAAATTTTGAACAGGAAGTAGTGGACCGTGTCTTCGGAGGTGTTGCGGCAGATGAAGGTTCGGCTAGCTTGGAAGGACTTGAGATTGATTATTATCGCTTCAAGCCTTCCATCAGTGAGGACATGGCAGACGCATTTGTAAGTTCATTCAGTTTGAAGACAAACTAAAGAAAGATTTTCACATATATCATAAAAACTGTATTTCCAGGTTGTAATCGGACATGCAGGCGCTGGAACATGCTTAGAAGTATTGGCTCTTCATCTGCCATTCATCACAGTAACCAACGACAAGCTGATGGATAATCACCAAGCCGAACTTGCCATTCAGCTTTCCGACGATGGATATCTTCTTCAATGCACACCGACGACTCTCCCTGAAATGATCCTCAAGGAGGAGCTATTCTCTCTTCGCCAATTCGCAGCTCCTAACAAGAAATTTTTGGCAGAGCATATCAAAGAGATGGTTGGAATCAAGAGTGAATCTTAATTGTATTAATAGTGTAACTTGTACTGTACATAAAGTATAATTTATTAAATCATCAGTTAATAAAATGCATGAACTTGTGCAACAATGCGGCTTTTGTTGAATCGGTCAGCGAAGAATTCTGGTAAAAGTGTCAATGCCTCGAGCTCTTCCTTTGTCTCAATCGATGTGAGTGTTACACGAAGAAGCTTGTGCAGGTTGTGATTGTCAGCAAACACAATTTTCTGAATGGTTTTGACCCTTGGAGTCTGAAGAAGAAACTCTTCACACTTATGAGTTACTGCTGCCATAAGATATTTGCCAGCTAACTCAAAGTATACAGCAATCTTTTCAACTGTAACCAAACATTAAAATACATATATACATTCTACTACATTTGTCAACCTGTGATTTCAGTTTAATTGGGATAAATCAAACTGAGAAATTGGGAAAAATCTGAGAAGCTGACAACTCGAATTGGTATAATTGATTCTGATTTCTCCTTGAAATCAGAGATGAAAAGTTTGTCGAAAAACTCCGAGTGAATTGAAAGGAACTGAAAAAATGGTTTTCAAATGTTTATCAAGAAAGTTTCACCGATTTGTTCACATGCATTTGGTTTCCTTCAACTTCTAATGTCGCATCAGTAATGTGCGATTATTCGAAATTCGAAATAATATTCATTGAGGAAGAGAATGCATAAACGGGAGTCGTCTCGAATGCGAACTCGATAGTGCATCCCATCTGCCTGTTTCCCTGTCGCTGATTAAAAATTTGTCTCTGATTTTGATTTTGGTTAGTCTGGATACTAGTAATGACATCTTCTGCTTTTTGCAAATTTCTGATTCCTATCGATTGTCCAGAGAATTCAGAGAATCAACCTGCTTATGTGCGACTAATTTATCATCAAAAAGAAGTCTAAATTCGATTTTTCCAATGAATCATTGATGATTACCACGAAAAACTGAATCAGCAAATTTCGAATCTTATTGTTTAAAAAAGTAGTGAAAATTGAAACTGATGACACCTGAAAATCTAGTCACAGAGGACTAAAACTCAAAAATTAATTCAGGCTCCACACGTGTTGGTTCCAGAAGTCATATCAAACTGAATACATTCACAGACACCCTCTATAAATAAACACCACGGATAATTGATTTAAATCCCGAAACAACTTCCTCTTCAATGCTTTTCGCGAGTTTCTGAACTTTTCTGTTTCTTCGGAAATCTCCTTTTAAAACCTACCATTTTGAGCACTAGGCCCATTTTTCAGCAAATACAGCTGAAAGTTTTTTTTCGTTCAACCTATTATTTATACTGACTTGTTATTCATTATTTCATTCATTTTGCTTCACGACACGATTATAGTATTCTATGCAAGACGGTATTCCTAAATATGTTATAGTTCTGCATTGTTGTACTTCAATCAGTGTTCCAATCAATTTATTAGCGATTTTTTGTATCTTTACACAATCGTCGATTTCTATGAAGAAATATAAGTGGTATTTGTTGAACGTTCAGATTTGGTAAGATTGTTATACTGGTACAAAAAATCCGAGTTATTTATGAAAGAGAAACGCCGGTAGCCGTGGCCGAAGGTCCCACAACGGCAACTACCGTAACCTAAAAATATTTTAAATTTCCGGATCTATTTATTCGAGTTTTGTGCGTTTTCAGTCAATTTTTTTACTATTTTCATTTTTCGACTTGTTTGAAAAATGCAGTGAAAATCAAGAAAAAAAATCCGAAAAATAAAAATATTTTTAGGTTACGGTAGTTGCATTGTAGGATCTTCGGCCACGGCTACTGGTTCTTCTCTTCCACAGCTCCGGTTTTCTTGTATCAGCGTAATACACTAGAAGCATTTGTCCGTTTTCCAAACTTCTGATGACGTGTATAAAACAAAAGCTAACATTATAATTCCAAGTCGAAGACGTTTCTGTCTAGAACCATCAAAACCATCATTATAGGATCTTTCTAACCGACTTGATCCTTTTCGTCCTAATTGCTCCTCGTTTTTACTTTCCCCTTATTGCTGGAACCATGCACGGCTTCTTCTTCCACGTTGGAGTTCCCTACGAAGTTCAGACGATTATTGGATTCGGAACTGGCGTTGGAATGTTGTCCGCGTGTATTCAAGCAATTCAGTACCGACACAGCCAGATAGTCCCGCCAAATAGTATGCTAGCGAGGAACTCAAAAATGAGGACTACTCTTAATGGCGTCAGATATTTTTTGTTTTGCCAGGTGTCCGTTCCTGCTGTGCTCACAGAGCCAGTGAACCAGTTTGAAGCAAAGTTGAGGGTTGCTGGGGTAGGATCTTTAAATGAAGCACTAAAAGAAGAATAAACTTTCAGAAGTACCCATTTATACCGGATTTCTTCTTCGATCCAACGGTCTACCTACTCCAAGAGTCACCATTCTTTGTTTTTGTTCCCGGATCTCTTGTCCTTTCTTATGTATTCCTTGAGCTCTCTTTTTACATTCTCCAAAGTTTTTGTCAGCTCAGTAAACGAGTTTCACACATGTCCGAAAGAACGAAAAAACTACAAAGGAAGTATTTCGTGTGCATTTGTGTACAGGTACAGTAGTCTGAAATTTTTTCAGCTGTTTTTTGTTCTAGGTACTGGTTCCTTGTTTTTTCTGTATGTTTCCAATTGGTTTTCTTTGTTTTGCAATTGTCTCCGGGTATCATGTGCAATGTAAGCTTTTTTGTAAATTCGCTCCAACGCAAGTACCGTAAAAACTCAAATAGAATGACCCCCTAAATTTCAACTTTAAGCTTAATTGTCTCGGTTCCTGTAAAAGATAACACAAAGTAATCAATTGATAAAATGTTGGCAATAGAAAAATAAAAAGTTTGTCAGTTAACCACTTTTTGATATCTTTTATAGGAAATGAGATATGTGCGCTCAAAGTTTGGCGGAAGTGTGTACCGTAATAATTATAGTTTACTGTAAACGTCACCGTTAATCTCAACACGAAAGCTTTAAATTAAACTACCAAGTCGCTGAAAACTTATTTTCCAAAAAAAAGATCCGGAAAAATCATAGTGTTCTCTCTGTATAGAATACCGTAAAAACTGTAATAGAAGGGCCCCACACTGTCAAGTTTGAGCTCATTTATCTCAACTCCTATACAAGATATCAAAAAGGTTTCACCTGACAAAACTTTTCTGTTATTATGACTAACATTTTAACAGTTGACAACTTTTTTATATTTGTTGTCACGGACCGAGAAAAATGGACTCGAAGTAAAAAGTTAGGGGACCCTTCTGTTACAGGTTTTACGATAAACCGAGTTTTCAGTTTGGAACGACATGGCAGTTCTAATGTTTGGACTGCACGGAACCTTTGCAACACTAGTAATGCTACCCCTCTACCAACCATATCGAAAGTTTTGCAAATCCCTAATTTGTTGTGAATTTCGCCCGTTTTCCAAAATTCATTCTTTGGTAGTTGTACATTTGTTATCGTAAGAATGAAGGTGCAAAAATTATCTTGTGTTTTGTTTCTCGTGGGGGTTTAGGTGAAAGAAGAAAATATGTATTTTGGAAAGAGGTTGCCTAGGTGATATTAAGAATTTGAAGAAGGGCATTATTATAAGAAGTGGGAGCAAGGAGGCAGAAAGAGATAGAAGCATAGAAGCGAGTAGTGAATCAAAACACATTCATTTCTATTTTTTTTTTGGAAACCGAAGTTCGAATCTTGAAAGTTTGAGAATCTATTTTACATCTACAACTTCCATTTACATAAGTTTTTATTTACCGTAAACACTCTAATAGAACGCCACCCGAATCTTCAAATTTGAACTCATGTATCTCATTTTCTGTGAAGAAATCAAAAAATGGTTAACTAAAAAAAAAATTTGGTGATATCATGATAAACATTTTGTTAGTTGACAACTTTTTGATATCTTTCGAAAGAAGGGAGATATAGGCTCAAAGTGGACGGTCCGGGTGACGTTCTATTAGAGTTTTTACGGTAACAACTTTCTGAGCATGTACGATACCGGGCAATAAGATTATAATTTTCAGTTCTTTGGAAACTTTAAAGGTTTGTCCAATAGGTTTGAGGTGTTTCAATATCCTTTTTCATTACCACAATTGTTTGCAGTGCGCCATAGTACCATAGACATAACCATCGCCAAATCAGCTGCCCCTCAACATAGCATATTTCGCTCCAGATGTCCTTCTCTATCCTACTAGCTTTCCTCTCCAAAAAAATCAATTCTCGACACATTTCTCCTTTGTCTACATCATCTAAACGCAGCTTATTCTCTTTTCTCTCATCACGAGTATCCTCTGTCGTCTTGGAACTCCTCTGCCGGCGACGGCGGCGCGGTGGCACCTCTTCTTCTTTCTCTCCTACCGTGTTTTTTCCTCGCCCTTGCTTCTCAATCTTCAATGCACTTTTTGGTACTCTCGTCCCAGAATTCCTGCGTCTATCGCTCTTCTCACACTATTTTTCTCTTCCATTTTTTCCATGTGAAAGCGAGACGCAGATAGAGAGCATCGGGAGGTCTCTTCTTGCCGTTCTCCCTATGTATTATGTGTTTCTGCGTATCTATTAGTGTTTTTTCTTCATCCTCTTCCTCTTCTTTTTAGGTATTCATATTTTAGGTTATTTTAAGACTAAAGTTTTCAGAGAATCTCAAACATGGATGAAAGCCATTCAAGAGACCGTCCACCAGCACCACATTCTATCAAAATTCCATTTGAAATTGTGAGATTTCAATCGACACATGATCTGGGAGGAGTCGAATGGTTAGCATTTATCATTTTGTTTTTTTTATTCGATATATAGTTTTTCGAAGTTGCTCTAACATTCGTAGGGACACCGTATAACCTGTAATAGGAGGGCACCCACACTGTCAAGTTTGAGCGCAATTATCTCAATTGTCACTCATGATATCAAAAAAGTAGTCAACTGACAAAATGTTCATCATAATATCAGTGATATTTTATCAGTTGGCAACTTTTTAATATCTTGCACAGGAATCGAGATAAATTGGCTCAAACTTGGCAGTTAAACAGTCTCTCACTTGTAGGAGCTTTCAAATATTTTAAAAATCACGATTTATAGCCAGAAATTTCTGTGATCCTTGAAAAAAAGAATTTTTGACTTCTCCAAAAACAATGACCACTAGTGCAAACAATAAACATTTTCTCAAGTTTTCTCAATTCCAGGCAACTCTCGTTTCGAAAATCTCCGGTCCACCAATACAACCAACTCGAGCTGTCCACATTTTGTCTCGTAGAAGATGAACTTGTCCACGTGGAGATGGAGGTGTATGTCCCACAACTTCTACCGAATCGAATGAATTTTTGGCACGTCTTCGACACTGAACGATACTCGTTTGCAATACCATTTGGCGCCGAGAAAATGTGAGAGGGATCCTGAATAACAAAAAAATTGTCAATTGAAAATTTCAGAGATCCAAAAGATGATCCACAATTGGAGCACCTAGTTGAAGGACCATCAATTCGAATCTCAGTGAATCCAAAGATATGGAGATACAGAAATTGGCAGTTTCCATTTGCAGATGTGGTTTTGAAAGTGGGAAATGAAGAGTTGTATGTGAATAGAACGGTATGTGGCAGATTTAGGACTAGTGAGAAATCTCAAAACTTTTCAGATCCTGAGCGCTGTTAGTCGCTTCTTCAATTATATAATGCAAAGCAGTAGACTGAAACAGATGCACGATCACCAGGTTTTATATGTCAAAGGAGTTTGTTTTGATGATCTGTACGATTTGATGGGATACATTTATCATGGATGGGATTTTGATAGTAAAGGATTTTAAACCTTGACCATCTTTTTTAATTTCAAAACTCCAGCTGATCGCTCATTGCATCTTCAAAGAGTTGCTGAACAGTTTGGGATGTTTGTGGATGTTTCACCGACAAACACATTCGAAGAAAGAATCCGCTCAGAATACTTTAATCCTGATCCACGAAAAAAGAACATGACAGCTTTGGTAGAACAAAGAGCCGACAACAAGCCCATATTCTTTGGTCATGACCATTCTCCATTTCTAGAGGAAGAGCTCATAAGACTCTTTGTAAGATTTTCAAAGTCAAATTAATTATTAGAAATGATAATTTTTAGGAGGAACGAAGAAACCAAGCGGCACAAGCTTCTCCAATCTCTCCTCGTTCTGTAAGCGTGGAACCTCCTCCGGTCTATCGTGAAGCATTACAAGAATTCCAAATGGAAGTCGACGAAGATGACGTTGAGCGAGTGAGGGAAGATTCTGAATCGCTTGACTCCGAATCGAGTAGCTCTATGTCGAGTATTTATACAACACCAATGGAAGCGAGTCGATGGAATGGCTTTTGTGGAATTACTTTGACATTCAATTCTCTAGGTGTTAATAAGAGATTTCGACAAGGAACATGTTCAGTTCAATCTGCCTATGGAGCTTGGTAATTAGTCGTTTTTTTTAAAATTAAACAATGGAATTTCAGGGACTTTTATTTCTACAAATCAACTCTCAACAATGAAGATTACATGTCGTTTGGGGCATATGGCACTCAATTGGACTACTATGGAATCAGTGAAGCTGAATTTCGAATCAGAATCGATGGAGTCAACACGATCCCGTTGTTCAAAAAGTTAATTCGATTTGTCTCCGTTGATAACAATGCGATTGGATGTCCAAACTTTTTACGCTGGATTGATGTTCGGAACTATTCGGATGGTCAAGGATTCGTTGCAATTTCCGTTGAATTCAGACTCCAAAAAGCTGGAAACGGTGCTTATATAGCAAATCAGTTTTCTGGAGAAAAAGATGAGCTGGTTTCGGTGGAAGGTGAACTGATTCCAGTTAACAAGGATGTAAGCCGAAATTTTTTTTTCGGAAATCTGAATTTAATTGTGTTCAGGTACTATCAGAAGCGTCACCCGTTCTCAAGGAACTATTCAATTCGCGTTTTCCCTTTATCAAGTCGCCATTTGAAATTGAAAAAGTCAGTTGCAGACATTTTCTAATCATGTTGGAATATATTTATAACAAAAGATGCAAAATTGACGGTAAGATTTCAAGAAGTCTGCATAGTCAAAAAAATTAACTTTCAGATTATGAGTTTCATAAAATGATGTCAGTTGCACAAAGGTTCCAAATAAAAGGAATGCCAGAACAAATCATTCGAGACTACGTCCGTCTTCAGAACCTTTCAGAAAACGAAGCATACGACTTTGCTCTGTTCTTCGGGTTGGACACCATGATGGTTAGTTTGAGTTTCAGAAACTCCAAATTGTTTCATTTTCCAGATTCACTACTACAGTCAAAAAGCTGATTTGTTTTACGATAATAGAAAATCAATAATTCGACACTCACTCTGGAATAATCCTGTAAAACCTGTAATAGAAGATCTCCAACTATCTCGAGTTTAAGCTTAATTATCTCAATTCGTGTGCGAGATATCAAAAATGTGTCAACTGATAAAATGTTTGTTATATTATGATAAAAATTTGCCAGTTGATCACTTTTTGATATCGCTCATAGGAACCGAAAAAAACTGGCTTAAAGTTGAAAGTTAGTTAACATTTCGCTAGCTATTTCTGAAATTCCAATTTTTATACACTCTGTGATACAATATTTTTGATCTTTCCTTTTCTGTACATTCTTTGACCCCCCCCCCTTCTCATTCCCCTAGTTCATTCGCATCTCCAGTTCTCAGTGGAACATTTTCGCGTATCCCGTGCCATTTCGGTCCCATCTCGCTCTCCAATCCCAGTTCTGTTACAGAAAAAATTGAATCCATTATTCCAATAAAACTTCTTCGTAATCTTTCATTTTAAAGATTCCATCCGCTTCAAAAAACTGTAATTATCATCATTAATAGAATTAAAAATGACACGTAATCAAAGTAAGTTAGTCTGGACCTCAAAAGTTAAATAAGCAATACATTTTCTATATTTTCAGTTGATGCCGGTTTCAAGAATTCAGATTTTCAGACGCGTCCATGGATTCCATTGTGTGAAATTGCTAAAGGGGATGTTAGCGTTGTTTTTAAAGTGATTGATCTAGAAGGGACATCGTTAGCAGCTATGAAGGTGAAAAAATAGAACATCAAAACTTAAAAAATTCAATAATTTTATAGGTCGAAAAAATTCCTCAAAAAGAGAAAAAACTCAAAAAGAAGCATATTGAAAAGGATATTCTGGAGGTACTCCAAGAGAGTCCCCATTCTCTTCATCTTATTGCTCACTCTTATGTCAATCACATTCGAGTTACCGTAATGACTCTAGCTGGTCCTTCACTCGGAGTTATCAAGCGATTGATGAACAACAAGTTCAGTGACTCTACTATTCTTCGTCTGGCGATTCGAACTCTTCTATCTCTCAAAGATCTTCATGAACACGGCTACATTCATCGGGATTTGGAACCAGACAACATTGCGCTCTCCTACTGTAAATCTTCTCGAAGTGTTTATCTTTTGGATTTCGGACAGGCCAGAGAGTACGCAAGAATCGATAAAGGGAAATGGATCCTGAGAGCTGCTAGAGACAAAATCCCGTTTAAAGGATCCGTTCAGTATTGCTCACCCAAAATGCACGATGAGAAGGAATTGGGAAGAATCGATGATCTCTGGTCGTGGTTGTATATTTTCATGGAAATGCGCGTCTTTCTTCCATGGACTGATTCAACATTGTCTAGCTATTTTGCTTCGAGAAAACGGACTGAGCTGGAGGAGACTCTCAATTCTGATCCGTGAGTTTATCTTGGTTTATTAAAGCTTTCTAGAACTATGCTATTTCAGATTCCTGACCACCTTCCTCCCCATCGTCAAGATCATGAAAACCTCAGAGTTTGCTGATCGTCCAGATTATTTTAAAATCTACGAGATTTTGGCTGAAAAAATGATTCAAATTGGAGTCAAATGGACCGATCCTATGGACTACGACATGATCACTGCAAGACACAATTTCTTCTCAACGACTCTGATGAATGAGGAGAAGATGACCGAGGAGCAGTTGGCGGCTGCTTTCCAGGAGACCATCGTTCCAGGAGGATCTCAATATGTGATTGGTCCTAATGTTCCGTTTTATGGAGTGGAGAAGGAAAAGACAAAGGAGGAGAAGGAAAAGGAAAAAGAGAAGGACGATGAAAAGGAAAAGAAGAAAGAAAAAGAAAAGGAAAAAGAGAAAGAGGTTGAGAAGAAGAAAGAGAAGGTTGCTGAAAAACCGAAGGAAAAGGAAAAAGAAAAGCCAAAGCCGAAAGAAAAGGGGAAGAGCAGAGAAGTGATTGCGAAGGATAAAGATAGAAAGGTATATATGAAGCGATTTTTATACTATAAAGGTTCTTAAAATTTCAGATGGGATCTCAAGAGAAAACCACCGACAAATCTTCGGATGCTCCTAGCAAGAACATTGTAGAAAAGACGAGCAAGCAACAGAAGACCGCAAAGCAGGCAGTTCCCCCGCTTCCCAAAAAGAACACGAAGACCAGCTCGACAAGTTCTGCGAGCCATCAGACTCCACCGTCGGTGGCAGAAAAGCCTCCGTCATCTCTTCCATCTCATCCTCCACCACGTTCGATGAAGAAGAAGCCAGCGAGGACTCCTGCGAAACTGAAACTTAAAGCTAACTAGATCTTACTATAATTTATTGGATTTTAAAAAGGAATGAAGTATTGAGAATCATTCTTGTTTTTTGGAATTTTGTGGGGGAATGTTGAAGATCGGTACCGTCCATGTCAGAGGTGGATATCGGAAATAGAGGTTTATCGTGACAGCACTTGTGATCAGTCCGGCAATGTTGGCGATCTGAACTCAGATTGAATTTTTCTGACTATGAGGAATTCTGAAAAAGTCTTACCACAATAAATTTGTTTCCTGTAACGATTCCAAAAATGAACCACTGAGCCATGAGAGCGGCAACAGCAAACTGCATAACAGCTGGGATATATTCTGTGGTTCCCATTTTGATAGCTCGCCTCTGAAACATTCATTTTTTACTGTTATCCAACCAATAGTGACCCACAATTTCATAAATTCTACCCCCTAGTCCAAGTATCTGAGCTCCAGCTGCTATAGTTCCCATGGCAGATTCCATATGTTCCGAGTCATGTGAATCGACGTACAGGAAAGCGCATTTGATGATGAGGAGAGCGGAAATTAGTTGACCAATCAGAAACTTCTAAAATTAATAAAAAATGATGTCAAGTGAATTCGCCTTATCAGTTTTCATACAACATAAATCACATAATATGTTGTCTAGAAGAAATCATAATGACGCTTACCCTTTTAGGTTGATAGTAAGCGTAAGCGGCAATGTAACAACTGAGAACCGATATGTTCATGGAGTTGATTAGGATCTGAGTGGTGTCGTTGGTCATCCAACCGTGGCGGAGCCAGAAAGCTTGACTGGAAGTTCAATAAAATATTATAGAAGTTAAAAAATTTGAAAGCGACTACCGTATTACCTCTAATAGATAACACCGTAAAATTGGATCTCAATTATCTCGGTTCCTTCAAATGATATACAAAAAAAACTTTTCAACTGATAAATTTTTGATAATTTTATGAAAAACATTTTATCAGTTGACAAAAATTTTCTATCTTTTACAGGAATCGAGATAAATCAACTCAAAATTTAAAGTTCGGAGCAATTCTAGTACAGGTTTTAAGGTATTTAGAATATCTTCATAATAGCCTTATGTTCTAAATATCACTAAAAAACTCACATGATCATAGGAATGATCAAGACGACGGAACTGAATCCCTCAGCGGTTCCTCTTTTCCTCCAATCCAGCACCAACAAAATTGGAAGAAAAAGAAAGGAAACGGAAAAAACTCCTATCCAAACTTTGAACAATTGTAGAAACATTTGGTCAAAATGAACTCAAACCTTTAAAAATTCGATAATATAAATAGTGGAACTTTAGTCACAACTGTGTCTGTGATTTCTGAGAGAACGAGGTATGATAAGAGGGATGATAGACAGGAAGTGACAAATATTGAGAGAGAAGAAGAGAATTAGACGAATGAAAGGTGAAATGGGGGTTTACCATAGCACAAACCATAAAACTAACATCAGGCAAACTTTGAAGGCAAATTGTGCAATAATTTGTGGTTTCATGGTTAATATTGGATCATTTTTGCATCAGTTTGGGTAAGAAGCTAGTGTCATTGATGTATGTGTTTTTGAAGAAAAATATAATACAAACCAGATGGGACTGGTAGAAAAAAACATTTCTTTTGAAAAAGTCAACAAGATAAGATAGAGTAGTAAACATAAAAAACTTCATAAATCATCTAATGTGTGTCTTCTTTTTTAAACAATCGATAGTGAGAATTTATGGGCGTGGTTTCGTTTTTGGACCGATATTGTCCACGTTCTGTCGGAACTTGCCAGAAAACGGCTGAACAGTGGGCCATGGGTGAGACATGGTCAGATTTAGCGGTCTTATGCGGAAACTGACCAACCTCCGACCAGAAGTTTCCGGCAAAGTCCTAGTTGGCGTTCAGAAGGTTCAGCATTTTTTTTTCAAAAAGTATGAGAATCGTTTCAAGTGCGGCATCATCTGGTCGGATTACCTTCCCACCACGCTAATCAATCCAAATGCATTCCATTCTTCTTGTCCATGCTTCTATTTCTAGGTCACACTTCCCATCATGTTCCCCTCTTCCTCACAAACAAACACATTCGACGTCTATTTCTCTTTTCTCTAATCATTTGTACCACTATTCTGTTCTTTTTTCTCTGTTCCTCCTTTCCCCTAATACTCCTTCTCTATTAGTCTTCTCCTCATTTATTGATATTTTCTATTGGAATTTCCAAATGAAAGCAACAGTTGTCACTAATTTATTCACTAAAACAGGTCATTTAAAACCACCAGTTACAGTAGAACATGGTGGTTACACATGGTAGAGTGAGCAATTCCAAAATCAGAAGATTTTGAATTTTAAAATTCAGGACGATATCTTTGGAATACTCCGAGGTTCGCAATATTCCTGCAATCGATTTTATGCTGCAATGTGATGGGATTCAGGATGGAAAATATGTGGCGATGCGCATCGAATTTCTTAATTTTACCAAATCAACCCATCAGACCTTCTATTTTGTATTCGAACCACATAGAAATCGATTTTGCTACAGAAGGATTTGCACGTAATTTTTTTCATCTAAAATATGTGTCAAATCTTTGACTGATTCAGAGGTGTCCGTCATGTTAACTATCAAAAAGGAAAAACGGTAGCCAGTTTTCCGATAAACCGTTTCATGTGTCCAACCTCTGAGGATACAGTTTATGAAGCACCAAGCCCTCAATCGTGGATATTTTATAATTTGGTAACATGGAATGTTCTTAATGATGGACGAGTCGAGACAACACCATGCAAGATTTTGTAAGCCTTCTTTGACATAACCTAATTCATTTTGCATGTTTTCAGATATGACAAGTTTCAATATGGACTTGTGTTAGATAAAGCATTCGACACTGATACACTTGATCAGGAAACTCCTTCCTACTGGCCACATTCTTACGACGAGATGATTGAGGTGCGATGATTGCGATAATATCTTTTCATTGGTAAAATTTCAGTTTGTCGAGCCAAATTGGCCGGACATGAGCCACACTGCGATCGAGTATTTATGGGGAGAATCTACTGAATATAATAAACAAACTTGTTTTGACATGCTTGGAGCCTGCTATCATAAGTGGAGGTTCGATGGTGAGTTTGCTTTTTTTTCGGTAGTATCTTTAATAGAAGGGCCCCCTAACTTTTTACTTTGAGCCGATTTTTCACGGTACCTGTCAAAGATATAAAAAAGTTGTAAACTGATTAATTGTTTATCATACTATCAAAAACATCTTATCAGTTGACACATTTTTCATATCTTCTATAGAAATCGAGATAATCAAGCTCAAACTTGGCAGTGTGTGGGGCATTCTATTACAGATTTCACGGTCATTCGACATTCATCGAGCACTATATTTTAGATAAAAAGCTATATGAATTGAATGAGTTTGCATACAACTTGAAATTTTTTCAATTCATGGATGGCATCGGAATCGGAGGAGGCTTTGAGAAAATCTGTTCTGCAAGCACATCGCGGATATTATAAAGATTCCAAGGCCTCCGAAGCAGTGTTGTGAATCGCTCTGCATTTTGTATCATGCAGAATGGAATGTGAGAAGAATCCCGAAATCTGGAGACCTTCCAAGTATCTTTAAAATATTCATGGATCATAATATGCAGTGGTGGATTTTTGATTCGACAGTGTTTATGAATAGAAACCGTATTTTCAGGAACATGAGTTTCTTTCACTCGACGTTCAGAAATCAAACGTTTCTCTCGATTGGTGGAGTTCTAGTTGGAGACATCAAGAGAAGTTGTGTGTGTTCATTGGAAGTTTCATTGGATTCTAAGCAAGGAAAAATTACAAGGAAGTTCAGAAGACGTTTGAATAAGACACAAAATACGATCTGTTTTCCAATGTTTTGCAAAAAAGAAGACGTGAATTCAGAAGGAAACATTTTTCATGTGAATTTTGAATTTCAAGAAGTCGATGGATGGAACGATGAAGATTATCTGAATGATGTGAAAATGCCAGAACCAAATGATGTTGTTCTGAAGTTACAAGACAAGAGAATAGCTGTGAACAAAACGGTGAGATTTTGAAGTTTCTTGGGCTTCACAGGCAACTTCTGGTTGGATGTTGGTTCGGATAAGACAACTACTAAACAAACTCCGAAATCTGACCTGGCAATGACCCGCCGCACAGCCGTTTTCGGCAAGTACCAACCAGAACCTGGCCAATATCCGTGCCCCAATTAAAAATTTTTATTCCAGTTCCTCGCCCACCATGCGCAGTTTTTCTCGGGTCTGCTCTTCAATGAAAATTTCCATCAACACGATAAAGCGGAAGTTGAAATTCATTCTATTGGTTTCAAAGAAATGCTAGATTTGCTTGATGCTCTCTACCACGGAACAAAACTTTTCGATGGTGAGTTTCTTTATTTAAAAAATTCATAACCTAATTTTTTGCAGTATCTAAGTACTACCATATTCTTCAAAAATCGGATGAATGGATTTGTGAGAAAGTTAGATGTATGATGGAAAAAGCAATAAACAATACAAATTGCCAATCTGTGAATAAACAGAAATTGAGAGAGAAGTTCAAAATGAACCTTGTCGAAAAATTTTCAGAAGAGAACAAAATTGAAAAGCGAGGAATGTCTGGCGATGCTTCAGACGAACCATCACCTGATGCCAAAAAAGAACGGGTTGAGGAAAAAAATGACAAGGAAAAATTTGTATAATCAAATTGGTTTAATAAATCTTTATTGAAAAAAGAAAATCTTGATAAGTCTATCACCGCACTCGAACAAAACCATTCTCAGCTTCATGTTCTCGCCCTTTGACAAAACAAAACCACGTGGCATGTTTGTAGGCGGGAAGGACTAATAGGAGATAAAGGAGCAAGTTGATACAGACATGTTTAGTACATCCACGACATTTGAAGAACACTGCCATTGGCTGGAAATTGACTTTTTTGAAAAGAAAAACATGAATTAATTTCGTTTCGCACATTTACCATAAAACCTGTAATAGAAGAGCAACACTATCAAGTTCGAGCTCAATTGTCTCAGTTCCTACGCAAGATATAAAAATTTGTCAACTGAAAAAACACTTCTAATATTATGATGAACAATTTATTAATTGAAAACTTTTCATACCATTGACATGAACCGAGATAAATTGGCTCTAAGTTAAACAGTTAGAGGCTCGTCCAATACGTTTTACGGTAGATAAATATATTCTCAGAACTCACCGGCAACACGACCATTAAAATGATCATAACGATTCGATCATTATCTGTTTCCAGGTAAATCTGTCTTTCTTCTGGAACTCCGACCTGAACAGACACTTCTGCCATTTCCATAGTTAATATGATTTGAGTAGATGAGGCTCAGAACGAAATAAGAATAAGAAACAGGAATTCTTCCATCTTTTTTATATTTGCCATTCGTCTTGTCTAATCTTGTATTTGCTCCCTCCCCTTTCTTTTCTTAAGATCAAAATGTTGGTTTTATTTCTTTCGAATCACTTCAAATAGTCAAGAATCGGTAGTAAGAAAAATGAAGGATGTTAAATTGATGTTTGTCGTGTTCCGTGTGAACAAGAGAAACTGAGATCAGTGGGAGTTCGGAGTAAACCATAAATCAGAGATTTGCAGCAAGTTTTCAATGTTTTTAGACAAGATAACAAAATGACGAGTTGGTTATCAGTCTAATGATTCTGAATTATGTATAATCATGTGAATTCCACATTTTGTGACTTCCGAGGGAATCCTAAGACATTCAAATGAGAGTCAAATCACAAAATATTAATTTAGTTGACTTTCATTTTGTGATTCGATTTTTTGACTCCAAGTTACAGTGGTTTATGATGGATGATGTGCGTTATGAGTCAGTATATTGGTCGATGCACCATGTTATAATTAATGACGAATCCCAAATAAGTATAACATGAGAAACTGATAACGATTCTGAAAAACAACAACAACAACCGGCAACCAGATTTGGAAATTAAAAAAAACATTATCAAGCATTCAGGTTTCCAGATTGCTCATCAAAAGTGAAATTGTTTTCAAAGACTAGTACTAAGACTACCGTATTTTCTCTAATCGAAGCCCACCATATACGTCAACTTTGAGCTCAATTGTCTCGGTTCGTTCAGATTATATCCAAAAATTGTTAACTGGTAAATTATTCAATATAATATTACCAACATTTTAACAGTTGACAACTTTTTAATATCTTTCAAAGAAGTCGAGATAATTGAGCTCAACGTGAACGTATAAGAAGGGTTTTCATTAGAGCAGATATGGTATTCTGAATGTTCGGAACTTTTCAATTCATTTTACTTCACGAATCTCTATTCATTTTTTCCCAGCTTAACAAAAATAAGACCACCTAATAAATTTTTCCATTTTTACATCTTCCTTCTTTTTTGTGACCCCCCTATATCCTTCAAACGTTCCATTCCCTACAATTTGACCTAATTCCATCCAAATGTTCAATCCAAACCATCTCTTTTTCTTTTTTTTGCGCTTTTCTGTTCCCTTTTTCCTTTGCCCCATTCATTTAATCGATTGTTTCACCAACGTCCTTTCTATTAAACGACCTCCCGAAGCGGTGGCCTAGGAAGGGGGACTAGATTTCTCCTTAACAACGGCCACCATTGCACCCCTTCTTCTTATTGATATTTAGATGCAGAAAACCTTATGACATCCGTTTTTAAAATTTTTAATGGAATTTTTGAGGAATACTTTTAAGAAAAGACCAATATTAAAGTTTGCTTTTAGTTTTTTTTTCTAATTTGTAAAATTTTGAACGAATTCTCGAATTTTCAGTCCAAACATGAGTGAAGACGATAGTACTAGTGAGACAGATGACAATAGTGTTGTTACTGAGGAAAACGACGATGGTCATGTTGAAGAAAAGGAAAAGGATAGTCCTCCTCCGGTAGTATATTACAATGTTTCGAATATTCCGATTCAAATGCAACTATTCAAAACACCGTACAATCTGATGCCGGAGCAGAGAATTCCAATGTCAGAATACACCTGGTATGTCCTTTTCCTTTGAAACTCCTTACTGGGTTGCCTTAGTCACCATGGTAACGCCGGGAATCTTTCTTGGATGTGTCCCATAGCTGGTCCTAGTCGCTCCAAAATCTTTTAAAAATTAGCTTGAAATTCAACAATTTCCAGGGCGATCACTCCGTATCAACGAGAGAAGAACGGAAAAATTGGAATCGACATAGTCGTCAACTTGTTAGGGATCCAGCCTGGAGATTATATACTGGCAGAGTTCTCATTCCAACAGCCAGGAAATGTTAGGCACACTTTTGAGCATACGTTCGACATGCGAAGGAACACATTTGTATACAGAAGAGCATTGACGTAAGCCTTTATATTCTAAAAATAACTTAAAATCATGTTCTTGCAGTGTTCCATCTATCAGAACTAAAAATGGAAAGAGATCAGTTCAGTACTCACCTCACAGATTCCTTCGATGTACCGAGGACGATGAGCCAGAAGACGGTGAATATGCGTTTTACTGGAAACCAAAAATTCCAATTGCTTGGGATATGAGCAAAGAAGCTCCCACTCCAGTTGACCTGAATGAAGACTTCTTGAAAAACGTTTCAACTGCGTAAGCTATTCAGATTTTTAGCTTTTTATTCAATTCGTTTTCAGAGAGGGCAACAAATCAACATTTGTTTACTTCTTCACAACAGAGAGTGCTACGAAGTATAAATATCAGCCATTCCGTAAAAATTTGGTCTGGCCGAAAGCATCGAGAACCGCCAGATACGTTCATGGAAGATCCTTGTCACTGGATGGAAAATGGTTCAACAAATGGGCAAAGTTCAACTATTTCATGGCTAATGTGGACCTCTTGACTCCGGAAGACTTTGATGATTTTGTCGATGTACTTGGAGTTTATTACCATAGCTGGAACATTGATAGTAAGAAAAACATTAACTGAAGTTTAGAAGATTATTCCTTAAATTTCAGACAACCGCTTACAAGAAGTTGTTCGAATCGCCGAGAAGTTTGGATTCTATTACTTCGCCCAAGCAATGATTTCTGCTGGAAATGTGGATGTCTATTTCAGCTCATTGCGTTCGGTCCTTTTCGCTCCATTGACTCATCCTCTCCTGGTAAATGAATCTCAACTAAACGTTGATCAGTTTTTTCTTCTTACAGGCCACTAAAAAGGACGTTCCAACCAAAAGACTCTACGATGACACCTTTCAATTAAGCCACATTATGATCTACCACCAGTCTCGCGGTCCTCCGGTATTCAAAAATTTCAAGACCAAGAATGGAATGTTCTGGACGACGAGTCTCCATCGAAAGACGTATTCTGGTGTTGAGTACCTTTGTCTACAATTAATGCTTCATGGAAATTTCCAACCGGGAGAAACTCAATTGTGGAAAATCGAGTTCGGTAGTCAGAAGTTTTCACATGCGACAAGACTTCCTCGGAGAACTCACGAACGATATTTGAATACTGTGCAACGAACAATTTGCTTTCCAACGTGCTATTATTGGAGTGATGTGTTGAAAGAGATGGGACCGGCTGGACCATACGCTTTCACATTGAAAGTTGAGTGCATACAAATTCCCGGTTTCAATTTCGCATCCGTTTTGCAAAGTCACGGACCCAGTGGTATAACGAACGCAGAGTTGCAATGCAAGGGTGGTGATCTGATCCATGTCAACAAAGAGGTGTTCGATTTTTAGATACTCTCAATATTTATTCGGAAAATTTCAGTTTCTCCAAGACTCTTGTAAATTTTTTGAAAAATGGAAGCCAACGCCGACCAAGCCAAATCGAATGGAATTGAAGGTTCTGGAGTACGAAGAGACTGTCCATTTCCTTGATCATCTCTACCACGCATCCAAATTGTATACACGTGAGTCGAGTCAAAAAATGAATTAGCTACAAAACAGAGTATAAAAGTCTCTCTTGGTTCTCAGGTTCTTCACCGGGAGCCTTCTGCGATCAGTTTTATTTTTGAATTAACTTAAAAGTTCATCTTGGATACCAGGATAGGTACTTTATTTTTCGTTGCCGGGTTCTTTTAGTTGCTTGGTATTCAATTTTATAAATGAAAAATGAAACACACCTGAGATTACCCGAACCTAAATTTGTATCCCAACTATTTCAAAAATCTATATTCCCTCTTTCCTATTGACCCATACTTCAGCTGACACGTGGCACAAGACGTTCCGAGTGGCTCAATACACTAATTGCAAGCGCGTTGCCGATCAATTCGAGCGAGGACTCATCCGGAGTGGAACTACAAACACATCATCGATGAGATTCAACAAGGAGTTTACTCTCGAGTATTTGAAGGTTTTTGACCCATTCAAAAGTTCTATAATGTAATTGATAATATTTCCAGTTCAACATTGCAATGAAAGGAGCATTTGCACTCGACACCATTGACTTCTACTTGAACGGATGCAAAGAAGATCCTGCTCTAATGATAAACGATGATTAATCTGATTAAAACTTCACAATATAACTTTTTTTGACTAACTTTTTTCTAGCAACTCTTCTATTCATCTCTTTTTCCCTTTCAAGAGTATTTTTCTCTTTTAAATCTGAGATCTCTCACCATTTCATTCAATTCCATGCCACATGTTTTCTTGCTTTCCAGAATTCTCAAAAGCCCGTGTTGTCATCCTCTTTCCCGGACCAACATTCACACATTCTGTGTTATGAACCAAAATTTCTTTTTTCTTTCTATTATTACAATAAAGATGCATGAAAATACTTTATATCGTTAACTTCATGCATGATAAAGAAACTAAAATCACAGTTATCCCTATAATAGAAGTCCAACCAAAGGTAGGCTTCTATGAGAGGAATTCGTCGATGAGCCATCAGAATTCCACAAATAGATACCGAGAATATCACAAATAAAAAATTCACATGAGAACGACTTGATTTTTCCTGCTAAGATTGATTATTTTGAAAAGATGAGAATCATTTTAAGGACAATATTCTTCAGAGTCTACAAAATGCTTCTGAAAATTAGACTATCATTTCAAACATGCGGTCTAATAGTAAGATGTATTTATTAAAAATTAACGCAATCATTTTAAGATATATAATCAAATAGCTCCCATTGGAACTTCTGGAATCTTTCCACATGCGAATCCGCGTAAATGATAGTTTTGATAATCCACGACATCACATCTGAAATTCAGGTATCATCGCAACGTTCTATAAATAAACAAAACAAACACTGCATCATCAGCATTCCCGTTTGCAAAAAGTGTATAATAATATTGCGGAAATTTAGCCTGATTTCTTATCCAAATTTGAATGCAATTTGCCCAGGGACCATTCAGATTTCTATCGGGTTGCTGCCAGTCCCATGTGAATCCGGCGTAGTTGGTCAGGTAGCCGTCCGTGAAATCGAATTGCTCAAATTAAATTAGGCTTTTGGAACTGGAGAAAGAGAATCTCTCCATCATGAAGTTAAAAAAAAGACTAACTTGTAGAGAAGTGCCAGTACAGTACGAGTAACCCTCCCAACCATCGGTATAACACTCTGGCTTTCGGGTTCCTGATACCCAGAATCCTGCATATTCTGGATAATCTTGGCCAAGCAAAGCTATTCCAGTGTCTATAAAAATTATATTACTTTCTTAAATTTCTGAAATTTTTTCACTAGCAACGAAGTCCCGCTCGTCTATTGTCTCGAGACCAGTCAGTGTTGAACCCAAGTTTTCACAATTCGTAAGAGCTTCAGATTGAGTATAAGTGACGTCTGGTCCTCCGATAACCTGAATGCACCCGTTAGTACTGGGTCGGGTGAACTGTGTCCAGCCACTCGGGCACACCGGGATAGCTGAAAACGACATATGGTTTTGACTTATTGTCTAGGCTGTCGGATATAGGCCGCGGCTTTTTAGTAAGGGGACTTCTCGGGTGGATAGGATTCGGCGGCTTGGAGGTCCTAGTATTTACTGGTTGGCTGACAGAGTTATTTCTGAAAGAACGAACAGTTCATGACACGTCCCACTGCCGTGGCCCTGTTCCCGACAGCCTTGTTTATAGTGCATTCCTACCAGTATAGGAAAGTTGCCAAGTGTCGCCAACACTATAGTCGATGTCATAAGTATAATTTGCGATTTGGTTTGAAGCGGTCCCCTGGTTTTTTGAATTTCCAAACGTCGGTGGATTATCCCCAATTGGACATGTATTCCCACTGTTTATGGCTTTGAACGCCACCAATAATCCGCTTGATGACTCTAATTTTTCCACTTCAAAAACTTTGCTAACATCGAATAATTTGCAGTTGATGGGGCTTTCAGGAGTGTGTGCTACCTGGAGTATGTTATAAAAGTGACTACTGTACTCTTTCGAAAATCTTACAACACAACTCAGACTCTGATAACAGGCCCCAACGCATTCCTCCCATGTAGTAGAGATGTGCGAAAAGGATGCTGTGTAGTTTATAGGTTTTCCATAGGTGACTATCATAGAATTGGAATCAGAGAACGTTCTAGGCAAGAGTAATAAAACAAGAAAAAGAGCGAAGAGTGGCATGTTTAAAAAAACAATGAATGCGAAAAATCCAATCGGATGGAGCAGTCGGAAACATTTGGGAATCTCATCTTCTGTTGCCATGTTTTCATATTCGCGCGTGTTTAGAATGATGTCTGGTGCACCGAGAATGCTCCGAGAGGTCTCCGAAAGTGTTTTCATGGTTTGTAGCCAAATAATTGTGGTGAATCGGAAACAATGAAATAGTCTCATTAGTCAGAGAGACCAAATAAATGAAACAATCCATCAAACAATGTTCGGAAAAAAAGAAGCATTTAGGAAGAGCGATCACATTGCTCCATCTGGAATTTCTGCTACCTTTCCACATGCAAATCCCCTCATCTGGTACGACGCATAGTAGGACTCTTCGCATCTAAAACATACAGTATAAGCTATACAGTATTCACCGTGAAATCTGTTTAAAATCTTCAAGATTTGAACTAATTTATCTCGGTTCCTGTTAAAGATATTAAAAAGTAGTCAATTGATTAAATATTTGTCATAAAATCACAGACATTTTAACAATTGACAGATTTTGATACCTTTCACTGGAGTCATGAAATATTACCTCAAGCTTGGCAGTGACCATCTATTACAGGTATTAAGGTGTGTCAATCAATGAACTCACACCGCATCGTCAACGTTTCCATTAGCCAGAGTTTCGTTAACATTGTTTGGAAATTTGGCGGCGTTTCGAATCCACACCTGAATACAATTTTGCCATACACCGACCGTGTCTCGGTTTGGTTGATCTTGGTCCCATGTGTAGCCAGCATAATTGGTTAGGTAATTATCAGAGAAGGTGGATTGCTGAAAAGATACGAGAGCAAAATGGAATATGGTATCCCACATGAGTAACCTGCATGTCAATCCCCGTGCAGTAGGATATCGATTCTCATCCATCCGCATAACACTCGGACTTCCTCATTCCAGATACCCAGAATCCAGCGAATTGTGGATAGTCTGGACCAAGATTATCCACTCCCGCAACTAAACTATTCTGAGTGCTATTTCAAGGGTTACTGTATCAACTAACTCGCAATGAAATCCCGTTCTTCTGTAGTCTCTAATCCAGTGACTGTCAAATTAAGACTTTCACAATATGATTGAGCTTCAGGATAATTTAACATGGTGTCTGGATTGCCTATGACCTGAAAAGATTTGAATTTGGAGACAATTAACAGACTGAATGACCAAAATACACCATTTGGTAGTGGGTCGACTGAACATAGTCCAACCATCTGGACACACTGGAAGCGCTGAAATAAGTTCAAAATTATTTCCGGGAGATTATTCTAGATGTCACCGGTGTAACTCATCGTCCATGAGTTATCACCTCCGTAGCTGATTTCATATGTATAATTAGCCATATTGTTTGAAGCAACACCCTGAAAAATTAGTATTCAGAAGAAATCTAAAGAAAATATTAATAACATAATTTGATTGATTCCCAAATGTCGGAGGGTTTTCCGCAATAGCGGGACAGATATTTGTAACGACTTTGAATGCAACTAGTAATTCCTGGGACGGTGGCAGTTTTTTGAGTTGGAATACTTTATTTACATCATAAAGTTTGCAGTTTACAGGAAATTCAGACAAATGTGCCAATTGAAACGTTTGCATCTCTCTTTAATCTGTATGGTACACCGTAAAGCTGTAAAAGAAGGGTACGCCCACTGCTAAACTTGAGCTGATTCATCTCGATTCCTGTGAAAGATATCAAAGTTTTGCTAACTGACAAAATACTTATGATACTATCATGAGCAATTTATCAGTTGACCTCTTTGTGATATCTCTGACAGGTACGGTGATAAATCAAAGTTAAAAGTTAAAAGTTAGGGACCCGTCTAATACAGGTTTTACGGTGATTTTTTTTTCTAAATTACCACACAACTCGACAATATTCTACATTTCTTAACACAATCATCCCATGAATCCGTAGCAAATGTGGTGTACGAAGTATATTTAATTGGTTCTCCATAAGTTATTATCATGAAGTTTGGCTCACAATAAGCAGTCGTAGACATCAAACAAAATAGAAAAAGTGGCAAGAAAAACATGGTGGCCGCCGAAAATAATGAATTCGGGGAGGATTGTAGCCGACCAAACAATAAATGAAATTATAACTCCATATATTGATTGAAAAACCTAGACATACAGAAAACAGGAAGTAGAAGTAATTATAAAAGTAACCACTATCTTTCACGAACAACTTGTTCTTGAACAACTATACAAAATCGAAATGTTCAAAACTGCCGCTGGTTACTTTTTTCTTCAATTATCTCTTACTGGACTTGTAATCAACTTGGTTTCTTTGATTCCATTGATAAGGATGATGAAGAGAGGAGATACCCAATTTGTTTATCTAATTGCAATTATCACAACTCTCAATGCCGCGATAAGTTTGTTCATAAATTGTGTATATTTTGCTCCAACAATTATAGCCAGCGTAAGCTTTGAAAAGTTTGAAAATTAAATATAGAAAGTTTCAGCATTACATTTTTGCTGATACTGTTAACGCTTTGGGACCCATGATCATGACTAATATTGTTCAGTTTTCCTGGTACAATGGATTGTTTCTTATGATTCTAATGGTGACTAACCGAATCGTTTATTTGGTGTTGAAGAAAACTGAAATTTTCACTAAACAACGGATAATAATATTCTGTGTTTTGGCAGCCGTACTTTCTTTTTTCAAAATCCTTGTCAATGATTTTGTTATTCCCTGTTGTATGTGAGTTTCAAAAGTAGACATGACATACTTCTAAAACCAATATTGAAGCGTTTACCTGGACCACGAGAAGTATGGCTACGCGATTTACAATCCCAAAAATAAAACCGATTGGAGTGGATACATTGATTCATCCATTTCGATCCCAGTGTTCGTAGGAACTGCTTTTTGCTACATTGTGGTAGGACATACTCCCTTTAAACTAATTAAAGAACCCTTTTAGATTTACATCACTCTCCGTAACTCAGCCAAAGAAGAGATGCATCAAACCGTGGACAAGCATCAACAAAAAATGAGAGCTCGTGAACGATCAGCGGCTGTTCAGTTTGCCTACATCTCGCTTTACTATATGATCACTTATGCGACTTTACGGTTAACACCATTAATTTTCGGAGAGGATCACTTAGAGACCAATATGATTACTCCAGTTGTTTATGCATTGGATGGATGTGCGACTGGATGGGTGTTCATGTTTGTGAATGAAGAGGTCGGTTCACATCATTTGATTTGATAATTGGTTTTTTAATTTTAACAGGTTAAAAATGAAATCTTCAAAAGGATATTCAAAAGCAACCAAGTTCAATCACAAGAACCCGTTGGTAATACTGAAACTAATGTAAACGCTGCACCCGTCGCCGATAACCCTGAATGGATGATGTATAACCAGAATTTCACCTAACGATCGGAGAATCTGAAAAAAACGTATTGAATTCACCTTGTTTGGGTACGACTGTACTGACCTTTCCATTTCCATATCTTTGTCTGATCTCCGCTGAAACTGAATTGATTGTTTGATCTCGGCAGAATTTCAAGGAATTCACGTGAACGTCTTCGCAGAAGGCATACAAATTTCGGAGAGTACAACAAGAAATGTTGGGGTCATCGGGGTGCAAAGCGATTTAGAGGTACAACATCCATAATTGGAAAATGCGAAAATACTGAAGGAAAAGTAATAAGACTTCATATGTTATACCTGTTTGGCTCGACCCGAAGTCGCCTAAATATGTATTGAGAAATAACTGCAGTACAAAAATATTTGACATTCTGTCTTTTCCAGTAAAAAATCCATCAAGTCAGTTACGGAACTGCCCTTACCAGAATCCGCCAACCTCTGTTTCGATAGTCCTGCATTCTAAAGTGGACTTGACTTTTGTTTCAATGGTCATATTTTTATCTGAACTTTTTTTAAAGTTATAGCAAAACATAAATGAGGCCAAACAAATAACACATTCGATGGTTATCTGTTCTGAGTACACCTATTCTCTAGGTGCCCGCATCGTCTTCATTTTCCCTACGTCATTCTCCTCTTTTCCCGTTCCCCACTTTTTTCTATACATCTGAACAGTCTGAATACAAAACCTTTAATTTAATTTGTTTATTGATCAGGTGTAATAAAAAATTAGAGGGCAAAACATGAAAGACTCAGAAAAAATGCCCCTCACGAGGCCGATCTGAGTAGGGGAGAAGAAACCTTTCAAAGATCCCCGCGGAGATGACGAGAGTAGTTTTCGAGGCCGATCAGAGAGAAAATTTGTAGGCAAACTACGAGAATATAGGATACGGTAATTTTTCAAACAATGGCAAAAACCATACTCGTGATGGGTCGGGCCTTTGTAAAAGTTTTGAAAGCCCGGACCTTGATGGTAACACGATTTGGATATCAGTCATGTGGAGAGGAAAACAATTGAGAAAAACAACTAAAAATACAGGGTTTTGATACCGAGCCTCGAAATTGTTCTTCAGGTCGGGCCGACCAGAGTCGGTTCAATCCTTCAACAAGTAAGCGAAAACATAAATTTTGGATGAAAGAAAAGTGGAGATTTCGGCTCCGTGTCACTTCGAAACCAGTCATTTCGAAACCGGTCATTTCGAAACCGTGGTAATACATGCGAATAGATAAATTTCAGACTATAAAAACAATTTCAGGGTTTTCAAGTATGCTTTTTCTGACAGAACACATTCTGAAAATCAAAAATGTCCAAAATTTGATGCTTTCGAAAGAAGAAAAATTTTTGAGTTTTTCGATTCTCAGAATGTGTTCTATCAGAAAAATCATATTTGAAAACCTTAAAATTGGTTTTATAGTCCGAAATGTATCTATTCGCCTGTATTACCACGATTTTGGAATGACCGGTTTCGAAGTGACGCGGAGCCGTAATTTCAGAAAAAATGAGATTTAGCTAGTTCGTATCAACGAAGGTATCAGTTTGGAATTGCAAATACTTCCAATAGTTCAATAAAAGTTACATGCAGTTTACTCAAGACTAGAAATGATACAAATTGAACCTAGATATGGTTGGCCCCGATTTCGAAACCTCTAGAATATTGAATATTGAAAATTTGACAAACTAGAGATTCCGTTTTTCAATCTTTCTAATAAGTTCGGCGTCGAAAATGTAGGTTTGAAAAAATCGAAAAAACTCAGCGGTATCAGGGATGAGAACTTGGAGAATGAGAACTGCTACAAAGAATAACTTGTACGAACAAAAACTGGAAAAATGAAAACTGCTACAAACGAGAAGAACGAGACAAATGAGAACTCGTTTAACGGTTCTAATATTTGATTCAGGTTACAACTTTTCCGGGAAAATGACTTCAGAATAATCTCGTTCTTTTCAAGATTCCAAAATTAGAAAACATATTTTTTTCAGCTAGTTTTTTAGTTATAATTCCTAGCAAGTTACAGTCTCATTCCTCGTACCACCGAAAACTTATGGAAAGCAAGCAAGTCTTTTAAGGCTATTCCCTGTATACCAAAAACTTCCTACTTCTTATCTTACTTTCAGGTGTTTGATGTACTATTCCTTTCTGTACAAGATCTTTTGAACAAGATCTGCACCGAATTCTTGTCTTGCGAAAAAGACACCCCGGAATTTTCTCCAATATTTATTTTTCAGATTCAGAGATGCTATCTGCCTGTCCGGGCGTTCTGTATTCACGCCTACAGTATTCCTAATCAAGACGAATCTACAAAAAAAAAATTATAGAAAAAACGACCCTGCACCGCCTCTCTCTATCTCCTGTTCGCGCGTTTTTTATGCTGAAAAAAAACGAGCAGAATGGGGAGGAATAAAAAGGAATTCGAATAGACCGAATATGGTCATTTTCTGAATTCAGTTCATATTGTGTATTCAAGGAACAAGAATGTGTGCTGAAATCGGTAAGTTTGATTGTTTTTCAATTCTGACTCAGAATTTCTGAGAATTATTCCCTTGAAAATGAATTTCCAGCTCAAATCGGTGATGGAATCAAAACTTGTCTTGTCTGCACTATCACTGAAAACGTTCGACATCATTTCGGGTCCACAACTTGTCTTGCGTGTGCTTCGTTTTTTCGAAGAACCGTTTCTCTGAATATTCAGTACGTCTGCAAACAATCAAACAACTGTCCAGTGTCCTATGGTTATTTTTATAACTTTAATTTTTGTAGATAAACTGAACGTATTTTTCCAGCTGTTCGTAGTGGATGTCGAGCGTGTCGTTTCCAAAACTGCTTGTTCGCTGGAATGAAGTCCAAAAGTGGGTTTCTGAAATTCTTAGCACAACTAGATAATTTAATTTTAGTGGTCCGAGGAAAACGAGACATCAACAAGGTCCCAAAATACGTTCGGGAGAATATCAGTCATGGAAACGAAGTAATCGTGAGAGGTAGGCATAGAGAGTTTCAGAATACCGAATCAACAATCAGTTTTAGATTATGCAACTTCTACATTTGAATCTCTCCGGGGATTTCCACGGCGGGAAGGAATAGAAAGAGAAGAAATAGAAAAACCAATAGAAAATGAAGACGTTCTAAAACTTTTGAATATCACTGCTGATCAGCTTCTGGAGTATTATCAAGAATTGAACGAAAAGGAACCATTCCCACTGAACAAAATATCATTCGATTCCTTCTTTTCCTTAAATCAACAAAGTCTATCTGATGCCGTGTCGATCTGTAACAACTGTCCAGGATCTGATCTGTTGAACTCTGAAGACATTGGGATTCTCCTGCAGTATACTTCTTTTGCAAACTTATGGCTGGATTCGTTATGGGATCAGATTCATCTGGATGATGAGATGGGAGAGGAGAACCAGGAGGATCAGGGGATAAGGAGGTATTAGACTGAGTAAAACTAATTGATAATTTTCACATTCCAGGCTATTTACTGAATTCGTCAATCATTTCTTTGAAAACGTCGGGAACATTCTTCGCAGCTTGAATCTTGACATTGTGGAGTATGCCCTTCTAAAATCGTTGGTCATTTGGAAGCTAGGAGTTGTTGATTTCAGCACAACTCTTAAAATTGTTGCCCAAGAACACTATCTTGGGGTCACATGGGCAGTTACAGAGTATTACAAGGTTTGCATCAAAAATTTCAAATCGAGTTCCTCATGTAAATTTTTCAGAGCGAGAAAAATATGGATCAGTTCGAGATTGCCCTGAGGATTGCTGATCTAACACTGCTTCTTGGTCCTATTTTCGTAAGTTGAGAAAAAACTGCTAAAAAGAATTAAATTTTAAATTGTTTAGAACAGCTATCGTGAAATGGTCAGTTTGTACGAGAAGCTTGGAGATCACTTCGGTTCCAAGAAAATTGTGGGAGACGAGAGAATGGATCATTGAAATATAAACGGATATTAATTTATGCTTACATGACAGATAATTTAATTGTTGATACTTCATTAATAAAGTGCTTTTCTGAATGTTTCAAAATGTAAGAAATTCGAGCGTCGCCAGGAACTCCTGATCAGACCGTTACTAAAGTCGACCAAACTCCGACTTAATACGAGGTTCCGAGCTAGTAATATTTCAACTTTCAAGTTCCGACCAAAATCTGATGATGGTCTGCTATGAAGCCGTTTTTTGGCAAGTCTCGACCTGGCCAATAACCGTTCAATAGCCGAACCCATCAGTTTTTATCTAGAAGTTAGAAGCCAACAGCCGAACAGAAAATTCCAAACTCGTTAGTGACTTTCTTTTGATTGTCGTATTATCAGTATCAATATCATAGTTCACTTTGTGTGAGAGAGAAGAATGTTTATTGTTAATTAAAAAAAAAAGCAAGATCCGGTTGTGAAAAATTATGTTGTTTACAACTTAGCAGGCTCAGCCCCTATTGTTGCTCACTTGTAAAAGTTTTTTTTTCCTTTCACGTCTACATAACCGTCCAAAACTCATTGTCATAAATCGCGCCCCACTGAAAACATTTTCTTATTTACGTTGGCTGAGTATCAAACGCCCAACAAAAGCGCCAATCGCGCGTTGATTAAAAATACACCCCTCTTCGTAATTATTTAATTTAAGGCTTAAAAGTCATGTGGGGAGCAATTTCTGACCAAGCCGGACCCTTGTGTTATTATCAAAAACATTTGAAACTGAAACTTCTTTCTACGAAAAGTGTATTCTGACCTATAAATTTCAAAAAAAGTCTAAACCAATGAAAAACGACATCAAAGAAACGTCACTACTTTTTGAAACAAGAAAAAATCCAAAACGATCAGAAATCCGATATACGATCTTAAAAATCAAAGATTTTCTATTCAGGTCATTTTTCGGCAATGATCAACATCATTTTTCGTATTTGTGTCTTTTAAAAACTGAAGAAAATATTGCCCAAATGGAATCCAATTAGGAATAGCTTCAAGAAAATGTTCTCTGATTCAGCAGAACACTTCCTTGTTCTAGATTATCATCATAACTCAAAGTAGTTGATCTGGTTGGTTTATTCGTTTGCAAATATCAGAAGAAAAATCAGCACATTTTGAAGAAACAATCAAATCTCAAGTTATAAGCTCGATTCTATCTTGGGGCTGCACGGAGGAAGTATCGATGAAGCAGATCTTTGTAATGCTGGAGAAGGACGGGCGGTACTCGCTTTGTGTCCATTTAACATCTGGAAAATATAGGGGATCATTGAAACAAAGTTGGGTTGTTGGAATTGGGACGACATATTTTTGTTTGTTCTCGAAAAATAGAGGATATTTTATTTAGAATGTGTCTTGACAGAATTGAGGGGTCACTGACCATTGAAACGATTTATTTTTTGTTCTAGTTCTTTCCTCATCACTTACCAATCGATCCCTTAAACCAAACATTCTTCTGATAGTATTCCGATATCTACAGGAGAATAAAACACAAAGTAAACATCTCGTTGAAGCATTGAATGCGAATATCCATTTGATTCCCACTCTGGCGTACTGTTTATAGTCTCTGAACACTTTAGAGTTTTAGAAAGTTTTCAAATCTTCCAAACTCACAGGTTCCTTCCCCAGGTCACCAGCTCTAGAATGAAAATTATCGAATAGCAAAGTTGAATAAAAAATTCGAAAATCGAAATGATCGTCACCAGAATCGTCGTTTTCTCATTTCGCTTCTGATGTGGATTTACAGTTGTGGAACCATTTTTGCTCTTTTTCAATTTTCGAATTTCCATCAATAAGAATATAATCAAAATTGGGTACAAAACACAGGGAAGAATATGTGAAAAAAATCCATTGGAAAGGAAAAATAGAACAGCGAACACTCCATTTCCAAATGTATAGAGATCAGATACAATTAGTCGATACTCGTAAATTTCCGTAGTTGATAAGGATTCACATCTAAAATTCTAAGCATTTGGAAAAAAAATCAGAAAAAAAAACAAGAAATTTGTATCTTACCCAGGCTGTGGGGTCCATACTCCTAACTCTTCAATTTGATCTTTGAAATAATAGGATAACGAAATAACAAAACTTCCAACGAAGCTGAAGAATATCAGAATCCATCCGAAACCTGGAGCTGAGATCATTTGGAATCGATTATCGCTGATTTTTCGTAAAACAACTACTCGAACCAATGCGAATAGAAGACATAGCCAGCCAGATAGACGTGCCATGTTATCAGCAGTTGATAGAACGATTCGGTTGAAATAGATTTGAAGAACGGATGGAGGAACGGGACTGGAATTTTTTAGTATTGCAGGAATGCGTATGAAAGGAGGGAGGGGACATGCAAAAAAAATTGGTGTTTCAACGTATTGTTCATATAAGCCTCTCAAATATTGAAGGTGCGGCGCCGCTACCGACTGAGCCACGCGAGAGAAGCTAGATGTGCGCAGAGTGAACAGAAAGCATTGTACACCGTTACATCAGAATGTAAACCCTAGCTTCAAAAAAACTTCGAAAAGTGTTCTATCCCCCTCCTTCAATTTCCACTAATGTGTGTTTTTTTTTTTAAAGATTTTGTCTCAATTCCAAATAGCCATGGAAACTTACCACTTCTGCCACTGCAGCCAAAACTCTTCCAACTTTATCTTCAACGGAATCGTCATTGAATACAACTCGGATAGGCATACTCCAATTAACAAAACATAAATCGAAGCGGTCCGCATATATTTTCTTGTTAGAACTATCAAATGAAATGAATTGATAATAAAGCTGAAGAAGCAAATTGTGTATTCATGGTCCGACAGAAACGAAAACACAACATTCGGTCTGATGTTGAACATTCTTGAGTGCAGTGAGTCCAGGTCAAACTTATTGGTGGTTTGATGTCATATTCTCTTGAAGTTTGAGCTTCTATGAAGAGGGCCGACCTTCTGGCAGAATGGAGAAAATTGAATTTTCTAACAGAGTAACGGGTGAAAATGAGAAAACGAGAAGAGAGAGAGGGAGAGAGGGAATGGAATTGGTGGTTTTGCGTAATTCTTCAAAACATTGATGGAGAGAGGAATGGGTAAAATAAATGTAATCATGGCAAAAAATACGTCTGGAATTCGAAAGGGAGGTCGAGGTATGCGTTGTTCGGGTGGCTTTTCGGAAATAGATTTAAGGAATTAAGGAACGATAGATTAGTAAGAACTTGTTTTCTTGGAACAATTGCACAATTAGTCATTTTGGTTTAAAATCAGAATTTCGATTCTCAGAATCAAAAAAACATCGAAAATCAATTCTTGGAAAAGTTTAGCTGATCAGGCTTAAAAATGTTCAACACTTTTGCGGAATCAAAGTTCGGAACTCAGAATAGTACAAAAAATGATCAATAGGCTTAATCAAGATTTTTTCAATTTTTCACATCTGAAAACATAAAAAAAGATGTAATCATTCCACTAAATAACAAAAAAGTTGATTTGAACTTTTTGACCCCCGATTAAATTAGCTTCGTTTCATAATGTGCTAGAAGTCAGTTGGGAAGTGAAATTGCTCAATAATTACTTTCATTATTATTTTTCAGGAAAGCACTGTAAAAATAGTGGTTTTGATTTTTGAAAAATTGTGAAATTATGAGATTTACCATATGCACGATATATGAGCTCAATGTAGGTGGTTTGGGAAGCCTTATACATATTTGAGTTTCTATGGTATATCAGTTTTTGGTATTTTGAGAAAGTACCTATAAATCTTGGGACAGTGGGAAATAGTTGAAAATTCAGGTCACTCGGATCTAGATCACCCGGATCAAGGCCACCCGGACCCAGGTCACCCGGACCCAGGTCAACCGGACCCAGGTCACCCGGACCCAGGTCACCCGGATCAAGGTCACCCGGATCCAGGTCACCCGGATCAATGTCACCCGGACCCAGGTCACCCGGATCCAGGTCACCCGGATCCAGGTCAACCGGATCCAGGTCACCCGGATCCAGGTCACCCGGATCAAGGTCAACCGGATCCAGGTCACCCGGATCCAGGTCACCCGGACCCAGGTCAACCGGACCCAGGTCACCCGGATCCAGGTCACCCGGATCCAGGTCACCCGGACCCACGTCACCCGGATCCATGACACCCAGAACCTAGGATCGAGGACCCCGGATTTCCGGAATCCCGGATCCAGGACTACCGGTCCACTTCTCCAGGCTCTTCTCTCGGGAGCCCAGAGAAGGCGAGAACTGATTCTTCCCTCCATTTCCCTCTTCCTTTATAGTAATCTCCCTGAGGTCAATGGGCCAACTAGGGTCGTGAGTTTTTGAAACAATTTTTTCCATCACGTTTAAATATCACTTTAATTTTTTCTTTTGAAATCTATGCACTTCTTTTAAAAAATCGCACATTTGAACCTAATTATCTCGTTTCCTGTTTGAGATATCAACAAGTGGTCAACTGTCAAAATATTTCTAATATCATTCTTATATAAATGAATGAAGTTGCGTCTCTTTCTCGATCTGTCCGAACACGTTGAAAAAGTTGGAATAAAATATAAATTTACGTGACCCTTTGAATAAGACAGAGGAGCGAAGCGACGAACAGTAAAATTTATAAATTAAATCGCGCCGAAGGCGCACCAGCCAACTGTTTGAAACGCCGGAGGCGCGGCAAACAGGCTGGTTATGATTAACATTTAATCAATTGACAATATTTTTATATCTTTTGAAAAAACCGAGAAATATGAGCACAAAGTAGACGTTCTAAAGTAGAGTTTGGGAAGCGTTATACATATTAGAGTGTATGGTATATCAGTTATTGGTAATTTGAAAAGTACCTATAAATCTTGGACAGTGGGAATTAGTTTAAAATTTGTCTTTATTCTGAGAAGTTCAGATGAATAGCATGGATGATCCCATAATTTTTTTTTTCATTTTCCTCAAAAATTCAGAGTGAATATGCTCCTTATTACTTGTGGAGATCCCACATGCAATTTTTTTCCTGTTCTGTACTGTACCAGATTGGTTAATTATATTTTTCACTTTTTTACAGGGCTGAATCAGTTTCCCATTATTCAATCTCAAATTGACATGAAATCTCTTTTTGCAAAATATCCCACAATGATAAAAATTTTGCCGAAACCCTCGGGGAATCCCTCTCTGATTTCTGAGAACATTCTGAGTTCATCGTCTCTTTATAAAATCATTATGTATAAATTTATGACAATTAGAAGATTAATGATGATAAGACACAAAAGAGACCGGTTTCCTCCAAATCAGCTGTCTCTTTTGATTTTGTACTCTCTACTCTGGCCACACGGTCTCCAATGACGCCAATGGTTTTCGGTTCAGAAAATTTTAAAAATGCAGAAGCACGGTGCTCGATGTGTGATCTTCAATCAAAAAACTTCAAAACAGCTCCTCCAGAATTCCAAAAATTTCTCTCCCATCGTTGTTCCACATTCTCGTCAATTCACTGGCAACAGCAGAATCGAAAACAGTTGATAAGCGATGAAAGTATTTAAAGAGTTCATTTGATGAAAAAACACAGAAAATTTTTTGCCTCACAGTGTTTACTCTTATTGTTTCATAGTTGTTTTCAGATATGACGAATATAGTCACATTTTGGTTTTTATGTGTTAACGTAGCAGGGTGGGGTACTCAGAGTTGATCAAACAAATCTATCAATGGTAGAATATAAAAATTCGTGATCCATAGAAGATATCCTGCGTTTTTTTGAACCTGGTATTGTTTTCCAATTGGTTTAATTTTAAATCTGTTCAATCTCATTGTGATCTTTGCTTTCAAAGTGTTGATTGAATCTGCAGTTTTGGATTTTCATAACAATTGAATGCTGAGAATTTTTGGAATTTCGTTATTTTGGAACTTTTAGAGTTTTCGAAAATTTGGTGTTTTCTTAATTTTTGAATTTTCAGACATCAGTATCTTCAGATTTTCGGATCTCCAGATTATTTAAATTTTTCAAAATTTCGGATATTTGTTGGATTTCGGGACTTTTAGAATACAAAACTATTAGAATTTCGAAAATTTTGGTTTTCCAGAAATGTCGGATTTTTTTGAAATTTCAGGTTATTAGAGGACATGTTATGAAAATCTCCAAAACCCAGAACCTGTACGAAAAATCACTTAATCACAAAAATCAGATATCCACTTGGTTCCAAACCTGAATCATAACGAATTTCAAATCGGAAGCGGGCGGAGCTTCCACACATATAACTATGATGATGTGAGATTGGGGGAGAAAACGATCGACGAATCGAACAAATCGACCTTCGGTCCATCATCCATCACGTCTTCTACCCCCTACCTGCCATGTCCATTTCATATCAACCTGTTCCACATTGTCTCATATTTACCAACTTTTTGATTCTTTTTTTCCGAGAATGATCTATGCATTTTTCTCTCGTTCTCTTCCTTTCGGGTCAATTGTTCCTTTATTTTTTCGTTGAATGTCCTATTCCAGAGAAAATGACAGTGGGAAAAACTTCACCAGAGACTCAAAAGGGAATAGTCGTGCCGATTCCAAGTAAAGAACTTCCAACCGGTGAGTATTGCTTTTTTTGAGAAATTGAAATAACAAAAAATAGTTCTAAACATTATCATCATGTGAACTCATTATCATGTGAGCCCTAGCCAACAACAAAAAACAGATTTACATACATAGTTGATCTTGTGACCTAAATTCAACCTCGTACGATTGTATGACGTTTTGTCAGGTTGATAGTAATTATCAGAAAAAAAAGAAGATATGAAAGTTGAAAGATTATATCGTCACCGGAAGTTTTATTTTTGGCATGAGACAGAAATAGATAAAAGCTTAATTGTAATAGTGATCATAGTGAGACACTCTATCAGAACCCAACCAGTTAACTTTGAGCTCATATATCTCAATTACTGTGAAAGATATCAAACAATGGCCAACTGATTAAATGTTTATCATAATATCACAAACATTTTGTTAGTTAATTTTTGATATCTGTTATAGAAACCGAGATAGTTGAGCTCAAATGTGACATTTTTTCGATAACTTCAAATGGAAAATGGTCGAAGTTGAATCCCTGAAAATTATTCTAAGATTGATCGAAAAATTTTCAAGAACATCGAACAAGTCTAAATTCATATGTATAATTGGCTAAAAATTTAAGTAAAAAAGATCTCGAAAAATTGTCAACTAGAAGACGCTAATTGTAAGAGAAGTCCCCGTATTCGGCCCCTTAGAGCTCACTTATCTCAGTTCTCAAAGTACAAGGACGGAGTTGGCGCCTATAAATATTGTATACTTTTTCTGAGTTTTTCCGAAAACTTGTAATCATCAGCTCGACTTCATCCTCTACTACAAAATCTGATTAATCGATTTTTCCAGCGAAACCAGGATGTGTGCGCTACCTTGTCCTCATCTCCACAATGCTCTGCCTCACCTCCCTCATGTCGAATGTCGTCTGTTTCAACTTCACCGTTCTCTGTATGCCAGGAACTGGAGAAAGTCAAGAACTCTCTGGAAACCACACTCATTTTATTGGATACACACGTCAAGAGAAAACAATTCTGTTGAGTACTGTAGCTATTGGAGCCGTTTGTGGAGTACTTCCTGTTATCATTGGAATCACTAAGATTGGGCTGAAAAATGTGTTCTTCGCTTCTGGAATGTTGGCTACTGTATCGACGTTCTTAATTCCCATCCTGGCTCCTCTTCACTTTTATATGTTTGTCATTTTGAGATTCTTACAGGTACAGTAGTCACAAAAAAGATTAAATTTTCATTATCATAATTCAGGGTCTTTCCTATGCAACTTGCTTCCCGGCAGTCGGAGCAATCACCTCTTCTTGGGCATCATTGGCTCAGCAAGGACTTTTTATCGCGGCTCTAACTACATTCGGACAGACTTCCTCGATTTTCTCTATGCCTGTTGCTGGAGAACTTTGCTCGTCGGCATTTGGATGGAAAGCTGTTTTCTATCTTCATGCTTTGATTTCTTTCGCAGTTTTCATAATTTGGTTCGCAATTTTCACTGATTCACCAGGTAATTTTCCAAGAGAAACTTTTGTATTAGTGTTACTACCAAGTTGATTTTCCAGAAGACAACAAATTTGTTCGACCAGCTGAACTAGCAGAAATTGAATTTAACAAATCCGAAGAAGCAATTCATGATCACACCCATAAGACCCCATACCTCGAAATCGCGACCACCCCATCAGTATGGGGAATCTGGATTGGTGCATTTGGAGATCTGATCGCAGTTCAACTCATCCACATCTACTCTCCAGTTTTCCTTCATGATGTGGGGGGTTATTCATTTGAGAAGACCGGCTTCGCAGCTGCAGTCCCAGTACTCTTCCAATTCTTGGTCAAGATGTTCGCCGGACATTCCAGTGATAAGATTCACGGAATCTCTGAAACAACAAAGATCCGAATTTACAACACGATTGCTCTTGGTGCCAGTGCAGTATTCCTGGTTGCTTTAGGATTTGTAAAACAAGGACAAGGAGTGCTGGGGTTGGTTTTAATGACTCTCGCGACCGGAATGTTCGGTTTCAACGGAGGAGGTTTTAGTAAAGTGAGAGATTTACAAAATTGAGTTTGAATATTGATCGGAAACTTTTCAGTGTTCTGCTCTAGTCTCTCGTCAGTACAACCACTTCGTCATGGCGATTCATCAAATTCTCATATGTTTCTCTATGATCGTCTGCCCTCTTATTGTCTCTTCGATTCTTAAACAAGGAACTGTCGCCGAGTGGAGAATCGTCTTCTTCGTTCACGCCGCCATTCTTCTCATCTGCAATGCTATCTTCTGTTGGTTGGCAACTGCGAAACCTGCTCCATGGACAGATAGAACCATCAAACATTCGGCCACAAAAAATACTCCTCTTTATCAGACTAAAGTTTAATTATATTTCTCTATCACATTCCTCTGCATCTCATCAATCACTTCATACTGATAACACTCTTCTTTCATTATTGTTTTTTTTCAAATTCCTTTCGGGTACATTGTCTTCTTTCGTTGAATAATTAATTGAACTCAATGAATACTATACAAATACTATAATCTTTATTCAAATAAAAAAGATAACTATGCATCAGAATCCGATTCCGAGTCGGAATTGGAATCAGAATCTTCTTCAGAAGTAGAACTAGTAGATTCAGAATCATACTTTTCTTCTGGTTCGTCATTCTCTTTAGGGTCCACCCCCGTTCCCAATTTGCCTGTCAGAAAATTCATTGCCGCAGGAGGGAGTTTAGGATCCATGGACCACCAGAGTGTCAATTCTTCCACACTTTTCTCGTTGATCTTCTCACACTGAAATTTTTTTCTTTTTTATTCATAAAAAGTGATCCTTAAATACCAAAACTCGATCCAAATTGTGAAAAACTGCCAAATCAAAGAAGTCCGTCTCATCGACGTCCTTTCTCAACAGAAAGTTTTCGCACTCTCTCATCAGCTTTTTCACACCAAAGAGGTCTCCCATCATCAACAATTGACTGACATTTTCAGCTGAAAATTATTGCTGTAAACTATTTTTTGGTACAAAAAGTATCCGAACGTCCCACAACAACAACTACCAAAACTCAAAAATATTTTTTTTACAGATTTATCATCTCGATTTTTGTGCGGTTTCAGTCAATTTTTCACTATTTAATCTTCCTATTTTCCGACTTTTTTTTTTGGGAAAAATAACAAAAACTCGCCGAAAAGCAGTGAAAAACGAGAAAATAAAACCTGAAAATAAACCTATATCTAGGTTAAGGTAGTTGTCGCTTTGGGAGCTTCGACCACGGCAACCGGTGTTTCTCTTCCTCAGCTCTTTTTCGGTACCATAATATACATAATAGTAGGCAAAATCCTACCACAAATCTTAATCGGCGCCATATGAATGTACTGAAGAAAAATGTGGAAGGCGTTCAAGTCAACAGCGGCAATGGGGATCTCTCCCATCTTGCTCTCGTTGAAGTTTCCATAGAACATTGCTTGGAAGTATTGAGAGTGGATGGATAGAATCTGAATACTGTAACCGTTCTCGTGGGGTCAAAAAGCTATTTTTATTATTATTCTGGTACAAGAAATCGGAGCCGTGGACGAAAAAGGCTGGTGGCCGTGGCCTAGTAAGAATATGTTCATTTTCCCCCATCTATTATCTCTGCTTTCAGTCAAATTTCCACTATCTGAAGGAAAAAATTAAGATTAAAAATCCAGAAAAAAGATATTTTAGGTTACGGTAGTTCTCGTTTTGGGACCTTCCGCCAAAGCTACTGGCGTTTCTTTTCCACAACTCCTTTTTTTGGTACCAGAATTACGACAATTCTATTGATACCTGCTTCGAGACGTGGAATTTCTTCTGAGCTACAACCAAAACTATGTCGGTGTCAGAGCCACGTGGCACTGAGAAATCAATGAAGTCTCCGGAATAGAGATCGTCGATCTTGCTGATGCCGATGTTGATTTGAAACATAACCTTTCCGTCTTGAACAAAGCCATTTTTCTCATTGACTTTATCGAAAGTGTGTTCCCAATTGTTCCCCTCGTCCTTCTTATCAAATGGAACGTCAAATCCAGACGCTGTCTGTGCATTCTTATCCCCTTCCTGATGCTGTAGACGAACGAGAACATCTGCGTGCACGGCTCACTCGTAAAACTTCGAGAGGCACGATTCACTGGGTTCACAGTTTAGCGCAACGGAAAGTGTCTCCTCCTTCTTCTCAACGATGAACTCCCATCTCGTTGTTCCACAGAAACCCAAATCGATTTTTTCGATGGGTTCCATCAATGGCACTGTGCAGAAATCCATTTTCAATCCTTTCGGATAGAAATCTGAGCCGAAATGTTGTCTTATTATCAACAAATAGAAACAACTCACTATTCATTTGTTTGCTTTGATTATTTTTGAATCTCCAAAACATGTTTCCAATAACTAGCGATCTCTATTTCACATTATCCCTCTCCGGCTGTTCAATCTTCTATGTGGAGACACGAAAGCCACGTGCTGCTATAAACTAATTTACTCGGGACTCGGTGGGCACAAAGAGGTTGGAAAATATTTTTTTAAAAGTTCTAAACCAGAAACTATCCTCAACTGAAGCGTTGTTGGCGCGACAGTTAGGCTATTACAACAAAAAGCGATAAAAAGTGATACAGATTATAAGACAATAGACTGGAGCATATTATTATCATTTCTTGGAATTGGCAACATATCGACTTGGTGCTTTAGATTGTCTGCTAGAAGAAGTCCAGTATGTTTTCTCAGGAACGGATGATGACTCGGAGGATAGCTTCGACATTTTTGCAGCTGTAGATTTTCTGTAAAAGTATTTGCTTGAATTATGTCGATTATTGATTTTTACTGACTGGTTTGGTTGCCTCGCTCTTGTGGGTACTCTTCTACGGCGTTTGGAAGCTGAACTTGAAGCTTTTGATTTGCTTTGATCAGCTGTAGCAGGTGACGCGTTGTTCTTGTCGACTTTATTATCCTTGCTAATCATTTATTGTCTAAAAACTGTTCTACTGAAATACTACTGAATTTTAGTGACCGAGTTGAATCTATTTATTTTGCAAGAAAACCATTTTTGCAATATTTATGAAAAAAATTATTAGAACATTGTAGAAACATCTCTGCTGCTCAACATCATTCTGGGTGCTTGCTTCTCCTTCCTCGTCAATTTCAGAAACTTTGCAATAATAATTCTTCGAATTGATGATGTCCCAACAAAATAGATGAAGAAGCAAGTCAGAGCTACAGACCCAGCACGGCCGTAGTAGATCACACGTCGAGTGAATGCAGGTAGAGCGTCATATTGTTCCTAAACACAACGATATTGTGGTCAAAAAACAGAAAAATTACTCACACTGAAAATGTCTGTTAGCACTTCTGTAATCTCATATATCAGAAGAAAAGTGGTTGACGAGATTGACTGAATCAACAGCGTCTTTTCATGACTCTGGCGGGCATTGAGTTCTGAACACTTGTATTGGGATTTCTGAGAAAAATTAGAAAAAATCACTTGTATTAGATTGGGTTCGGAACTTCCGTCTACGTAGAGAAATATAGAGAATCAGAAGGAAGTTAAGAACGAGGCAAACCACGGGGATAAGTCCTGTGTAGGTGTCAAATATGTATGTGATCTGAAAAAAAAACTCGACAATTGAAACTAAAAAATTGCTATAACGCTCACAAAATGTCCATCCGGATCGCATTTTGTGGAATAATCGAAAGTGTAAAACGAATAATTGACAGCGCATCCGGAGAAAAAGGGTATCAACAGGAGGACTAATAAAACTATCTGAAACATATTTAAAAATTCGGATTTTTGTATTTAGACAATCAGCTTGCCGCTAGTGTCAAACAATAGAACCACAACTTTTGATCAGTGAAAGCTCGTCCGAATGGGAAAAATATAACATATATTCGTTCTATTATCATTAATACTGTCAAAAGTAACGGATATGTGTAGACATGGTAATCAAAAATAGTTAGATATTCTCCAAGATTGTTGTAGATCCCTTAACATATAAACTTTTACATGACATTTTTTGGTTTCTCACACACATTTATACGCTTTTTTGCTAACGAAGTATGGAAAAATGTCACTGTAAAACTCGACAAAACAAACACCTAAATTACACATGACCATGATATAAATGTAGACAATTGGTATTCGATCTGAAAATTTACGTTTGTGTTCACTATAATTTTTCAGCTCTGACCTTTCTGCTTGTAGCTGTAAATCGACACAAACAACAGTAGTAGAAAACATAGCGCAGCAAAAATAAATAGAAGATACATAATATAAAAAATAACAACCGGCATTTGTGAGGAAAGAATGTGTGAAATAGGGCTAACAATAATGACTTATCGCTCAATATATTCAATTTCCCTGGCATATTCACCTCAATCGTAGAATTAATCAGATTCTGGAAACCGATTGGGATTGAGATGGAAAGGTGACACGTATTAGTCTGGACTCTATTATGGCGTTAGGCGCACTGAGATCAGAAAAAAGGGATTTCATTAGTTCAATTAGAGTAGACTACACTTTAGAACCTATAGGTCCCTTTCAACTTCGAGCGAATTTAATTTCGGTTCTTGTCAAAGATATGAAAAATTTGTTAACTGAAAATTTGTTCAGCATAGTATCACAAACATTTTATCATTTGAGACATTTTTGATGACTTGCATACGATCCAATGAAAAATAGACCAAACTTAAAAGCGTGGGGCCCTTCTATTACAGGTATAACGGTAACTGATAATATTTCATAACTTGATTTTATTACTAAAAAGTTCATGTGGTTCAGGAAGTCATTTCATAATTCAATATAATCGTTGGGCTGGAAACGGATTGAAAAATTTTTTTGCCTCCGGGCATAAGAAGACGAAAAAGTCATAAATTCTAGTGATTACTTATTGTTTCTGAAGCTAATCATTTACTATAATTAATCCCATTAATTTTTTACCATTACAAATAAAGCTATATGCAGAAAATTCTCTAATAGAAGCCCACACCACACTTGCACTTTGATCCAATTTCTCTCGGTTCCTATGAGAGATATCGAAATTTGTTAACTGCATACTTGTAACGGGCTGGGCCTATTCTCTCAGAAGCCATAAGAACTGCTAAAAATAAGGGAAAACAATAAACTAGGTCATCAATGAGCGTAACATACACACCTACATTTTGGTAAAACCCTGAAGACTAAAAATCAGTGATAATATTTATCAAAACTTAAAGATCCTACAATTGTATCTTGATTTTGTCATTAAAACAGGTACAACGTCGTTGCAAAGCATCATTCCGTTTTCCACAAAGTTGCAGAAAATCATAAGATAAATGTAAACTGTTGGTATGCTTTCTGAAAAAAAGGCTTTTTGCAAAATTCCATTAGGATCACAACTTTTCCATTTGTAAGTTTTTATTGCATAGAAAAAGAAAGCCAAGAATAGCCAAGAAAATATCAAAATGGTTGAATAGATGATGTGAAGAGCAGGAATAATTTTTGAATAGGAGCCGAAATTCTGAAGATATTTATTTGCACAAAATGAGCATTTGATTACGGCTACCGGTAATTCTACGAAATTTCCTTTTGCGTTCCAGACACAAATTCGATTCAGCACAGACGCCAAAACAAGGAAAAATAAGATATCCAGAAGGCATTTTTATGTGTTCTGATGTGCTTGGTAATTGCGATGATTCGAGATCACAGAAAACACTTTGGTAAAAAAATATTGTAAAAATTCGGTCATAGGCATTTTTATGTGTTCTGATGTGCTTTTTATGTGTTCTGAAGGGTCCCTTCAAAATGTGTTGTTTGAAAATAAAAGTTTCCATACGTTTTCAGTATTAAAGATTTCAGTTTAAAAAAAAAATATATATATATATATCGAACGTTCCACAATTTCAGATAAATTTGTTGCAACTTGGGCAACTTGAGCCAATTCGGACCTTCCAGGAGGTACCTTGGAAGAATAGAAAATACGGTTTCTCATTTTTTGTACTTCTCAAATTTTAATTTTCAGTCATTGTCTATTAAAAATAATCGCACGAGTGAACGAGTAAAAAACCTGCGTCTCTACAGCACCTCTACAGGTTTGGAGACTCTTTACACGTTTTTTTACTCGTCCACTCGTGCGATTATTTTGAATAGACAATAAGCGTACCCAAACCAATAACCAACAGTTCACCACTCATTACATCATTAACCAACTGACCCATTGTCATAAACAATCTACGAAATATCTAGAAATCTTCCTGATTTCATCAACAACTGTTTTTGCTTCCTCCCCCCGCATCAACATTCCACTGGTCAGTGGTACTGGTCGTCACCATTAGTTCCGGACCAGTGGACTGAGTTGGAATTGAAGTCAAAACATGTAGTCTGACTTCATAAGGAACTGCAACCGTGCAACCTTTACCGAGAACCTTCTCACGACATTCTCGGAATTTCTAGACTCGTGCTTCTGGAACTTTCGTCTGCATTTTGTAGTTGAAACCAAAACTTCAGTCTTCTTCAAAAATGTCTCCTACTATCAACTCTTATGAAGATATTCTTGCAGGATCTATTGTGTCTGTGGTAAGTCTAGTATAACTAAACAGATATCATAAAGGTTTATAGATCTGCACAATTGGGAATGTAATGATGGTCCTTGTGATCATCGGAAGCACTCGCATACCTTCGATGAAATCTTCCTTCGGAATGTTGACCATCAATCAAAATTTTGCTGAAATCGTTCCGTGCACTACTGGTTTCACTGTGTTCTTCTTTGGTTATGCACTGTAAAAAATTCCATCAAAATGAGAAAAACTGGAAAATGTTTCAGGGGGTTGAAAACCATGATTGAATACAGTTATCTGGTTGGTGGATCAGCTATCACAATGCTGATGATCATTCTTGTCGGTTTCCTGCTCATCTCGTTGAACAGACTCTGCGCTATTATATTTCCAATTGCATACAACACCATATTTAAGTAAGTTTAAAACTACTGTAACCACTCTAATAGGAAACCCCCTAAACCGTCAATTTTGAGCCAATAGAGTGGCGAATGAGTGTCACTCTATACTTTTGCTCATAACTTTGCTCAAACTTGTCCAATCATTGAAAACTTTTTTGTTAACTGTAGCTGGGTTTTCAACAAAATGTTGTATAAATTTTTTAAAACTCAATCAATTTTGTGTCTTCTGAATTATCACAGTCGTGACGATGACTCCAGAAGAAAACAAAAATTTCCGTCAGAATTTTTTAAAAGATTGGCTTTGTGATGAAAAATGTTTGGTATAAATCAAATAAATACCAGAAAAAATTTGAAGCGGTTTGGAACACTTGCTCTGGAGATGTGCTCACTCGAGCATAAAAGGTATGGTTCTGGAGTTTGGCTATAACTCGACTCAAAATAGTCTAAAATTGTTCACGTTTTGAGCGAATGTGTGTCTTAAGTTGTTCTACAATATACATAAAAAACTTTGCATTTTGAGAACAACAATTTTTCATAATTTTCTCATTTTTATGTACCGAAGACAAGCTATGTATTATGAGGAAAAATGTTTGTTCCCAAAATACAAACTTTTTATGTATATTGTAGAGCAGTTTAAGACACACATTCTCTCAAAATTTGAGCAAATTTGGATTTATCTGATCTACATCAAACATTTTTCATCACAAAGCCAATCTTTAAAAAAAGTCTGACGGAAAATTGTTTTTCTTCTGGAGTCATCGTCACGTTTGTGAAGATTCAGAAGACAAAAAAATTGATTGAGTTTCAAAAAACTTATGAGTTTCAAAAAACTTGACGTTTTGTTGGAAACCCAGCTACATTTAACAAAAACGTTATCAATGATTGGACAAGTTTGAGCAAAGTTATGAGCGAAAGTATAGAGTGACACTTACTAACGTTCGCCACTGTATATCTCACTGATAAGAATTGAGAAAAACTGGTTTACAGTTTTTAATGAGGGAACGATCATTCTATTAGAGTTTGTACGGTATTTTAAATAATCTGAAATCATTAATCCTGCTTCAGAGGGAAATTCATATTAACTATAATAGTGATCACTTGGATTTTACCAATCTTGGTTTGCACTTATATTTTCGCCTTCCGTGAGTCTACACTTCTGAAATTGATTTAGTAGTTGACCTAAATTTCAGGTCAGTGTACTTATGCAATTGTTCATGAAGGTTGGTACTTCAACGAATACCCTAACGAGGTTATTTTATATCGAATATCCAGGGAGGATGAAAGTATTATTTCAGAAATGTGGTTCTGTAATGGCAATGTATCAAGCGATTCAAACTCCACTAGCCTTGTTCATCAGTTTCATTGACCTCACTACTCTTGTCCTGCTTATCATTTTGAGAGTGAGTGCTGAAAGCTAAAAATATGTAATGCGAATTTTCAGAACCGAATCTTTAAAACCAAAAGTTCGGAAGCGCGTCGACGAGAGATGAATTTCGCACGTCAAGTCCTCGTTCAGGGATTCGTATTCACAATGCACGGGTTCTGGTATGCATCTGGAAGAGAACTGATGCCACCAACTCTGTCAGAAAACTGGAAGATCTTCTGGACAACTTCATTCTCTTCTAATCTTCTTCACGTGTTCGACCCGTAAGCTGGTTTCCCAGAACATTTCAAGCTTCTCATGACATTCATTCAGTCATCTGGTTTCTATTTCTATTTTTCTAACGTTTTCAGAATGATCGTCTTCATTTGCAATATGGAGTTCCGTACTTGGATATTTGGGTTGAACAGAAACAAGAAAAACAAGAGAATTGTGTCAATTGTCGGATCCACTTCCATGAATTGAAAATCAGAGTTTTGAAACAGTTGACATAAACACTTCATTTACACCTGTTACTTGTATTACATTAGTTTTTGTGTTCTTCCGGCGGAAAAATACTGAAATCAGTGTTTATTGAGATTGTTTATAATTCTCTCAGTTTTGACCTACCCAGAATAACTGCAATATTCTTCATTGTTTTTGCGATAATTCTTCATTGTTTTTGGGGACTTTCTTAGAATCAATAATATTAAGAGAATGTTACTGAAAACTGCTGTAAAAGAGGCTACATGCTGGAAAATTGAGCGGACACTCATGGTGAATCAAAATGCAATAAAATGAAAAACAGAAGTTGATATTTGAAAAAAATTCCAAGGACGTCTCTGAGATCCTCGTGGGACATACATTCTAAGGTCTGATGGCTAGACAGGCTGATGATAGAACACAACTTCCTCGTTTATTGAGATCTGACTCACTGCTATGACGCTAATTAGAGGGCAATTAGACTTACTACTTTGATCCCGGCATTTTGAAGATTATAGCTACGAATCTTTGTGGAGAAAAAACAAAAACAATCAGAAAATGTTATAGTAAATCGGTTTTAACTATGTAGTGGGAGAAACAGTTTGAGGTACGGTCATTGCATATGATCCCATTGCAGTAGTTCCCACGTCCACAGTGGCCCCTTTCAATCCTATGAGTCTTCGCAAACAATCTGAAATAAAAAAAAAGTTTAACTTTGGCTCATGACGAAACTCACTGGTAATAGCATCTCGGTAGTTTTTGATTATGAAAAAATTTGGAAGGGGATCCAGAGTAGGATACAGACAAATCGTAATGGATGGTAAATCACCAAGAAATTCGATTGACGAATTGAAAAATGCAGCGGTGAAACCAGCCGACGCGGGAATGTGCATTAAGATTACTGGGATTACGGTTTGGAAGACAAGTGCGTAAAAAAGTTGAGATTGAAGCTTATGGAAAGAAGTAGAATGCGTAGCTTTCGCAATCATTTCCTTAGTTTCCCAATAGCATTTGAAACCGAAAACAATAATAAAACCAAAAGAGATTATCTAAAATCAATCTGAAAGACTATGGTATCAATCGTTGACTCACAATGGCAATTGTCATTATCAGAATACCAATTGCTGCATTCCAGTGGATATGAGGATGACAATCTGATCCAATTGGCCAAAAATACGGACCAACGTACCTAACGTCACTGATATTCTTTCCGATTTCTTTTAAAAACGTGTCACTGAAAATAGAGCAAAGTTGAAGTACATACTTCCCTCGTCACCTTATATACTGATCCGCTGCTTCATATGGAGCTATCATGGCAAGAGGAACCCAAAACCAGAAAGCCCCAAAAAATAGTGGAAAAATGAGCAAAATTATTACTGTTTGTGCATCATACTGTTTAACCAAAATGTGCCTAAAAATAGATGTTGCGAGTCAACTTGAGACATTTGATACCAAGAAGCTCACCCGCTCAGAACAAGGTATCTATAAATGAAATGGACTGCAAATATAGCCATTGAGATTCCGAAAAATACGCAAAACAATTTTCCAAATGAAGCTAACATGTAGTCTGGCACAAGTACTTGATCCTCAAATGTCACTACCACAAACATGGCATCCAAAGTGAAAATACCCTAAATTTTAGGTATTTTGGTCATAGTCTATTTCAAATGGAACCTAACCGGTACAGCTAGTGCATCCACAATTGCGTAGACAATTTCGAATATCGAAATATAGATCATAAGATATTTGTACTTGCCTACTTTTCGATGGGATTTGAAAATGATGAGAAAAATGAGAAGAAGGTTGTTGAAAACTGCAACAAGAGCTGCAACACGTTGAATGATTGTATGAACAGTCTGCATTGTTTGAGATACTGAAACTGATTATGAAAAAGAATAATATATGCGACTAGTGTAATCTCCAGGGTTTATCAAGATTTTCGAAGAATTGAAAAAAAAAAGAGTCGGTTAACAGTGATAATTTTCCTAATTTTCCAGGCCTCATGAGGGTTATCATTATCTTTCCGTATGAATAAAAACAAACTACAAATTAGAAGTGATGGCATTTTAATAACCTAGACATGCTTGTTGTAGCCGGAAGACAAACTTAGCGATTTGGGAGTTTCTCGATTATAAAACAATTTCCAATCAGAGTGTTTTTATATAATGAGTTCAGTCTATAGATTCTAGGGTTCAAATGGAATTGAACTTGAAAACTATGACGCTCCTCCATAATCCTCCACTTCCAAAAGACATCTGACAATGAAAGGCATAATGGCTGAATGGTTTTTTTTTTCAAAGTTCTACATGTCCCTGAAATGTTGAATTGCCAATGGTATTTGTCATTTCACATTTTCGATAAGCTTCATTCTGTGAGAGGAAATGCTGGAAAAAAGGATCACTTAACTTCTAACTTGCAGCCAACTTTTTTTTCGGTTTCTGTTGAAGATAATATATTATGAAAAAGTTGTCAAATAGATAAGTTGTTTATCATAGAACCAAAAATATAAAGGAAAGGACCATATCAATACTAATGAGGTCCTCAGATGATGACTAAAAATGATGACCTCGGCTACTGGACATCTTCGTCTGGAACTCACGTCATCCAACTACCTGGAGCTTCATGTCAAGTATCAGTGCTCAAACAATTTTTCTCAATATAGGAGTCACCAGAATCGTCAGTTTTCACCCGAAAGTTGAGCAGGAATCACTTGAAGTCACTTTCTCCCAACGAGGAGGATATTCGCAAATCAACGTCTACAGCCTGAATGCTGCTGGAGAGATAGCTCAACAGACGATTCTCTTTTCTGATATCGTACTCATGGTTCAATCTGTTTTCGAATGTGATGATGGATTCATTGGAGAAACTTGCCAAGATATTTCCACCACCTTCACCACAACCACGACGACTGAAGAAACAACGACTGCCGCCACCCAAGGAACCACTTCATCTTCTGAATTGCCAACTGCCAGCGCTTTCACCGCCTCAGTGTCCACTGATATCATAATCTGCTTTAGTTTTTCTGTATTTTCCGTGGTGCTGCTTATTCTAATAGTGTCCATGTATCTCCGACGTCGCCAACAACACATCTACATCCAACCTCATACTCCAGTCAAGAAGACCCACATCGATCTCGTGGATTCCGGAATCTACTCCACAGAAAGCAATCGATACACTGGCTCTCCACATCTTCAATGTTAGATTTAATTTTTTCGATTATCTTATTTTATTTTCATTGTTGTATTTATGTACCCATTCTTCGATTAATAAAATTGTAAAAATTGAAAGTGTGCTGTTAGATTCAACGATAACGGGTTCAATAGTATTACATCAGCAATGAGAAGGAATATTTATTACAGTGATTACTCGTAGGGCGCAACCGTAGAAATCGAAATGTGCAGAAAACATAATGGGGAAAAACTGCACTAGATATTATTCGTACTCTTCTTCTTCTTCTTCTTGTTCTTCTTCCTCTTTACATGGACAAAATTATCCACCACATAATCTTCCAAATTGTAAAACTTCTTCTCCTTTTCAATCTCTCTATCCTCCACAACATCAATTCCTTCAACTTCATCTTCTGATAAATCCTTGTATCTAATATCCAAAGCATTCATATCCTGCTTTCTCTTCCTTTCCCAATAGGTTGGTGGAGCCCCTGAATGCATAACTGCTGAGAAAGGGATTCAAATCATATGAAACTTACATCTGGAAGAATGACAATTGTCTCTTCCGAATTCCTTCCTGAAGATGTCCATGTAGTTGTCTGGAGACTTGATCAAATGATAAGCAACTACAGTTCTCTTTTCCTTCTCAAGATTAGCAATCTTCTCATTCTTGATTCTTTCCGATTCCTCCTTATTCGAAGCCCTGTTCTGAGCTAAGAAGCTGTGTGGATGGTGCCCTTTTCCAGAATTTACAGTGGTCTTCTTATAGGCTGGTCTTCCCGAAACATATGAGTCTAACTCATGCATAACTTGTATCTTGTAGTCATCCCAGTAAAAATCATAGTTAAACCTCTCTGAAAATATTTTGATTAGTTTGAAAATCTGCAACAAGCAAACGTACTTGGCCAATCAACCATTCTCATGGCAACTCTTTCCAACAACATAACGTCTTCTCCCTTGTGTAAGTTCTGCATCTGTCCCAGTAATTCAATTGAATCTAATTCTTCAATAGTCCAATTCTTTCTCTTGTTCATTGAGTACACCACAAATGGGTTCAAGTCACTGCTCATCACAGTTCTGTCATACTTTTCCCAGTATCTGTTAGTGAATTGATTCTCTCCAGTCCATACATGATAAGTCTTCATGATTCCTGACTTATCCTTCAAATGAGCCAACTGATGATCTGCATTGCGGTTCCTGTCATGGTTTTGTGATTGGCTTGGGCGGGCGGTCTTTGAGCTGGAAAGGAATGATAAGAGGTTATGAGCAGAACCAGAACCCGACCAATTTGAAACCAGTTAGAAGTAAAGTTCTTCGTACATTATTTTTCAGTACCCTCAAGTTGTTCAGTTTTCTAAACAGAAGTCATTTCCTCGTTGTACTAATACATGTTCTTCTCACTAGTTTCATGACTGTCACATGACATCATTTGCCTCGTTTCGCCCCCCTGCCTACACACAAAACAACATGACCAACAAAATGACCGGAATCTTAAATGTTCCGCGGGGCTATCAAGGTCACAAGTTTGTGTGTTCTCCGTACTTTGAGCATTACAATGCTAACTATTCCACATATTTTTTCTATAATGTTTTCTTCGGGATTTTTGATCCACTAAAAAACACAATTACTATTTGTGAAAAACTCAAAAATAGGGGATCAAACATCAGAATCTAAAATAAAAACAAGCAAAAACAAGCGTAACACTCACTCACCAAAAGTATTCGTGATCCTCAGATTCCATGATGGCTAGTTTCTAGTGCTGTTTAAGTTTTAAGAAAAAATACAAGATAGAAAAACTCTCTGAAAGTTTGATATTCATAATTTTGTCTTCTATTTAAATTGCTTTCTCCGATCGTGCAAGCATTGCCAAACATTGCGAAATTTGCCTCTTGTCCCTTCCTCCTCTTTTGTTTGTGTTCTCTTTTCCGAGAGAGTGAAATGACGTGTGACAGAGAAAGATCATGAGTCAGTTGTGTTTCTTATCTGGCTGTTTTTATCGTTGGTTCTCTGAACAGTTCTATTAGTGTATGTGACATGTGGTGTATAAATACATTGACGTTTTGAATCATTTCTCAAACGGCAGAGAGAGGCGGGCGACGAAGCGACCACGATCACGTTTTGTTCGCCAACACCACTTTCGATTTCGTCCCGGTATATAAATGTTTTTGGTGACCTGAATTACAGAGGTACACTTTCAATTTTTAATTTAATTAACATCATGTTTGCTGCCCATTTTTCCCGGTTTCTTGTACCAATTCCAAGTAAGACCTGAAATAGATGCCCCACTGCCAAGTCTGAGCTCAATTATCTCGGTCCGCATTAGAGATATAAAAAAACCGCTAATTGATAAAATGTTTGTGATATTATGATAAACAATTCGTTAGTTAACAACTTTTCCATATCTTTTACATGCGCCGAGATAAATAGTCTCAAAGTTAAAAGTTAGGAGTCTTTCAATTTACGCTAACTTTGTAATGTTATTTTTAGGCTTTTCCATTTTGTTTTCCAACATTTCTCTGCTTGCATCGACATTTTTGTTTCCCTATTTGGTCGTAAACTGACTCATTTTTCTGTTTTCTCTCCTCTCTCGATAATTTCTGATTGATACTCCCAATTCCTCATTTCTTCAGAAAAACCTCAACCAAAATGAAAAGAGACGCCAAAGACCACGCTAGAAACCGTCTCATGGATTTCTACATCCGCAAAGCGCCGACCTATTCTACCATCGTTAAAATCGAGCATTTCGAGAACGATGCTCCAGCAGAGGCGAAAGATTTTGAGCCTGTTGTGGTGTACTCATTGAACAAGAAGAAAAGATGGGAGATTGATCAGGATTCTCTCAATCTGCTTTCTGGAGATGAAGACGTAAAGTCAGTGGTGATCGAAAGGGAAATTCCAGATCTTTACTATGCATGGTGTAAGTCAAACTTCATGATTCTTAAAATAAATGTCTATTTCTGAAAATCCTAGGGAGCCTCAATAATGTCCATTCCCACGACTGCGTCAACCATTCCAAACCAGTCAGTTCCAAACAAATCGATGAGGTAAAGAACGAAGAGAAAGTGATCGGATACCACATTGTTCGAGTGCCAAAGAACCACAAAAAGGTGTTCGATAACAAGTGCTTCAGATACATTGGGCTCAGATGTGAGTTGTAGCAATTCCGTAATCTTAAACGAATCTTGAATTTTTCTAGACCCAGAGTTTCTTGGCTACTCGCATCGCGATCTCCTGACTCCATTGGAATACGAATTGAAAGAAAATGAAGGTCCAGAAGACGTTGATGAAGATTCTGAAGTCGTGAAGGACGTCGGGGAAAATTCTAAACCAACGAACGTCTACAACTTGGCTGATCATTTTGTTGCCAAGAAACAAAGAAAACCAAAAGGATGGATTTCTGTGTGACTATAATTTTCTGTACAAACACTGCCTTAAATAACTGGTTATTGTGATATTTTGAATCGGGTTTAATAGACAATAAAAGTATTTACAAAGTTTTTTTTGGTTTTATCAAAATTCGAAAAGAACGTTCTTGGCTACACGACTCATGAAAGTCTTGTGAAAGTTTCAGATTCTCTAGCTTGTTGAAAAAATTGAGAAATGCTCTCTGTAACAATATTAAAGTTTTTCGTTACCACAAAATTCAATTAGAACGTTTTCAGAACTAAAATCGGTTCCTAAATGGAACAAGTGAATTCCACTCAAATCACACTTTAAATTGAAATTACTTTTGAATCCCTCATACCGTACCGTATTTTCTCTGATGAAGCATTTCGAGCTTAAATATCTCGGTTCCTATGAGACTTATCAAAAACTGTCAACCTATAATATATTCATCATAATATCATCCGTATTTTATAAGTTGTGAGATTTTTGATATCTCTTGTAGGGATCGAGATAATTAAGCTCTCAGCTTCAATTCAGGTTAAAATCTGTTTAACAGTTTAGATTTATTATGTTCAATTTAGGACATGGAAAAAAGAAAAATTGATGGAAATATTTAACAAAAACCGTATTTGTCCTAATAAACTACATTTTTGTGAAATTATAATTTATCAAGATAATTGTCCAGGACTGGAAGTCCTTCTTTGAGTCCCTTTCTCTTTCTGGTCTCCAATACAATTTGATTTGGCTTAGTGCCTGCTTCGAGAGGGTCTCCTGGAAGAATCTGCCAGTGGTCAAACACGCATTGTGGGAATGCTTGTCCTCCCGTGTTGGATCGGAGATCGGCTGTGAATCCGAAAGACTCGTTGACTGGCAAATATGCTTTGACAATGAACATTGGGGTTCCGGAGACTTGAGATTCTTCGAAGACGTGCCCCCGTCGCTTGTTCAGCACTCCGTAAATACCTGGAAAACGGAATGGTAAGATTCAGAAAGATGTGATGGAAACAAACCTCCAATGGCGGTTTCGGGACATTGAATTTCCACCAGGTAGACTGGTTCAAGGATTCGTGGTTCGGCTGTGAGAACGGAAGCGTAGAAGACTCGCCGGGCTGTTGGAATGATTTGGTCTCCTCCTCGGTGCATGGAATCTGTATGGACCGTGACGTCATGGATGTTGAATCTAACTCCCCGAAGATTCTCATCACAGAGGACTCCTTCTCGTGTTGCCCATTGGAATCCTGCGACTACAGAGTCTTTGATTTCTTTGAGATATTGAACTCCTTTGGTAACATCAAACAAAAGATTTGGTCCAGTTCCGTCTGGACCGAAGCACCAGATGTTGCGGGCTTCAGATACATCGTACTCATACTTCTCTGCAATGATCTTCGCTCGAGCTTTAGCTTCATCTCTTGCATTGATCGCTCCTTCTTCAATGTCATCAGCGAGACCATCTGGCATTGGTTGAGCCGAACAATACAGGCGATTATGCTTGTTACGGGATTTTGATAGACAAATCTGGCTGGACTGAGATTGGACTGTCTCGCGGTACGATACAACTGGGTCAGACTTTTTGATTGGTATACCAGCGTGGTCCTCCTCCAAGTCTTTGAGACAAATCTCCAAATGAAGCTCTCCAGCTCCAGCGACGATGTGTTCACCCGAGTCTTCGAAGATACACTGGACCATTGGGTCGGATTTAGCAAGACGTTTCAGTCCTTCAACAAGTTTTGGAAGATCAGCTGCGTTTTTGGCTTCAACGGCTACACGGACCACAGGAGATACGGAGAACTTCATGACTCGCATGTTATGGGCATCCTTAAACGTGGTGATGGTTCCTCCCTTTACTAGATATTGGTCGACTCCAACGAGTCCAGCAATGTTTCCTGACGGAATGTCTTCAACTGGCTCCACAGACCGACCCATCATGATAACAGTTCGTTGAATGGTTTTCTCGTAGAGATCATCTCTCTTTCCTGGAACATAGTTTGGTCCCTGGATGCGAGCTTTCATTCCGGTTGCTACTTTTCCAGAGAAGACACGTCCGAACGCATAGAAGCGTCCCTTATCATTCGGAACCATCTTTGAAACGTACATCATGAGAGGTCCATTCGGATCACAAGTCTTGATTGCTACTGCCGCCTCATCATCATGTGGTCCTTCGTAGAGCATCTCCATTCGGTATCTCTGAGCAGTCACTGGGGATGGTAAATGGAAAGTGATCATCTGAAGCATGGTGTCGCCAGCTGGTAGCCATCTTCGCATGAACGCCTTCATCAGTGGTTTTCCTTCCAGTTCCTTCTCTTCGTTGGCCAACTTGATGCCAAGCTTCTCAATAAGTTGAGCGGTCTTGTCCTTCTTGACGTTCATGATAGCATCGAAGACCATGAAAATTGGGTCGAGAACGAATTGGTTGAATCCTCGTTTGGAGTCTTCGTTTTGGATATTGCTCCATTTTTTGGTTTTCAAGTCGAAGAAACGATCTCCCCACAGATTCTTCATTAGCTTCTCCACTTGAACTCCGAACTTGTCCGCGTACATCTCGGAGAATTGTTTCAGTGTGAACGCCCACCCGTGGAGTCCAGAACCGAATCCAACGTTTCCGATTGCTGGGTCAACTAGAATAGGTCCCATCGGGCCGTCGTCGTCTCCGTACGTGGCAATGATGACGTTGATGTTCTCCACAATACGCTGAAAATTTATGAGATTCTTTTTCACATACTTCTCATAACAGTGTCTTACTCGGAAAGTTCGGAATAGCTCTTCTGCTCCGAGTTGCAGTTCAAGAAGAGCGCGATCCATCTTGTTCATGAAAAGAATTGGCTTGATTCTCTCACCAATCGCTTGACGGAGCACAGTCTCAGTTTGAACGCATACTCCAGAGACGCAATCCACAACGACAAGAGCTCCATCAGTGACTCGAAGAGCAGCGGTGACTTCCGAGGAGAAGTCAACGTGGCCAGGAGAATCAATCAAGTTGATTAAGAAACCGTTGTATTTCTCTTGAACTCCATCAACCTCTACCATTTCACATTGCTCATCTCCTTTGACAAACTCAAGATCTTTTTGGTCAAGTTTGAAGAACAGAGTGATAGCACTGGGAAAAAGGTTCAATTTGAATCCAAATGTTGTAACTTACGTAGACTTGATGGTGATACATCTCTCTTGCTCGTCCTTACGAGTGTCCGTAAATCGGGTCTCTCCGGCCTTGGCTCCAGCAATGATTCCAGCTTTCGATACAAGAGAATCGGTGAGGGTGGACTTTCCGTGATCGACATGAGCGATGACAGACATGTTGCGGATGTTTCGCTTTCGATCCATCAGTTGGCGAATCTCGTCCACGGTGAAGTTCACCTAGGGAAACAAAAAATATTTTCAGATCCAATTGAATTTCACTCACCATTTTTCGTTTCGGTTTCTTTTCTTTTCAAGAACAATAATAGACCGCTCAGGCGGACGATAGTTATGATAAAGGTCGAAACTCTGTATTACATCAGAAGTAATCTAAAATGTATTCCCTATTTTTTTTTATTTATATCAAAGTCTCCATGTGTGCAATTCTTGCAACCTCTTGTTCAATATTATGAAATCTTTCTTTTCTTCTCTTCTATGTTTGTTTTCTAGTTTTCGTATTCAGATGTCATAGTAACTAAAATGCCAGGTGGAAAAAAAGACAGCCTAAAATGTTTGAGGGGATAAATGGGAATCTTCTTTTGTGTTGTATTTGTGATTTCTAAAAGCTAACATTTGAATTGAACAAACTACAAAATTCAATTTTTTAAATGTCAAACTCGTTGTTTACATTGATGACGACTGTGTCTACAAACAAGTGATTTTTCAATTTTTGTTCCTTTGAATTGAACTCATACCGAAATAGTAAAAAAAAACAATGACGAAAAAACATTTTGTTTATTTTACAGAAGTTCCATGAATTATGTAAATTTGAAAAAAATAAGAATCCATTTATTGAAGCAATTTTTCTTTGTTCTTGGCAAGTGCTCTTTCTCGAAGCTCATTACTTGATCTTTTAACAGCCACATCCAGAATACACTCTGGCAACAGATTCATCATCTCGAACTCCAGCTGATGAGTGATATATCCAGTAGTGTCTGATGAATTTCCAATTGTGTTGAGTGCAGATTTGGCGTACGTGTCGCTATCCGGACAAAAGAATGAAGTATTGGGATTTCCAGCCATTTTGGTGGCTACCATCAATGGGGTAATGGTTTGGAAAGTGATTCCTTGGTGTCCATATTCTTTTCGGAGCGTTGCAGTGAGCCAAGAGATGTACTTCTGGAAATTAGGTATTAGAAGAACTACTTGGTTTGTTTAGTACTTTGGATGCCGAGTAGACGGACCATCCTGCCATTGGAACTGATCCAGCAGCTGAGCCAATATTCACAATAATTCCAGTTTTACGAGATACCATTTGAGAAAGGATTCCTGCCGATAGCTAAAAGTGTTTTGTTTCATTTTTTGAACTAAAATTTCAAAACTAACCAGTGTCGGTGGCAAGACGTTAACAATCGCCACATTCGCCAATGTATCTAGTCCTCCTTCCACTTTGTGAATAACATCCGGATGATCAAAGAACATGCCAACATTGTTGATCAGAATTCCAACATTCACATCATTCAACTGCGCCAAAAGTTCTTGATAATCGTTTGGAGAAGGATTTGTGAAATCATAGGTGGCATATCTGACTTCAATGTCCGAATGCTTCTCGAGAATTTCTTTTTTTGTTTGCTCCAACTTCGATTGAGTTCTGGAGACGAGATAGATGTTGAAGCCTCGTTTGGCAAGCTCGAAGCAGTACGATTTTCCGATTCCGTCGGTTGCTCCAGTCACCACTAAAATATTATAGATATTCTAGATTTCTGAGAATTTCCAAAAAGTTGAAAATAAAACAAACCTGCCCAATTGGCTCCTGCTTTTCTTTTCAAATTAATTGGTTGGCAGATGACATATGTTCCGATGATTCTCCAAACGATTTGAATAAATTGGTAGACGATATATAGTAAAACAATCGTACCAGCTCCAGTTGCAAACCATTGTATGTCCATTTTAACTGAATAAAAACACAATTTTTCGTTGGGTAAAATCCTACTACGTGCGAAAGAGAAAAGAGATAAGAGAGTAGGGAAACAAGAGACACAGATGGAGAAAGTGAAACAACATTTTTAGGGAAGAAGATCAAAAATGAGCATGAGAGAGTGAATCTATTGAGTAAGGTTTCTCAAAAGTCATTTATAAAGAGGCGGTATTTTCTTTTTAGAAATTTCTAGATTCATGTACTTCCGATCATAAACATCAGGTCGTTTTCGCGGGGGGCACTGATGATAACATTTGTGACTTTCTATGGTCAGTGGAAAAGTTTTGAAAACTCTTTTTCTATAAACTCACCCAACATAATGCGCAAAGTTACTTGAAGAAAATGAGGAAAATCCAATTTTCGCTGAAAAAAATAACAAAACACTTGTGTTCTATAGCCACGTATGGGATAACTGGTTTTATCTTGATGATGTACTCTTTTGTTTTTTAGGTCTTCTGTTTTTGTTCATCCAACCCTCTTGAAGAAAATCTTTACTGTAGTTGAACATTTATAATTGCCAAATTTGTAATAGTCTCAACTCTCAAAGTCTCAAGGATATAATCAGTTTTTCAAAAAAACATTCCAAGGTTGTTTTTAATGAATTCCCTCTTCATTCAAATTTAATTCCACTTCATTGAAGTTTGGCATGAGTTTCACCTAAGACTATCAATCAAGAATGTCTTCAGAATGCCTGCAGCCTTTTTATAGTCAAAACGTTTAGAACTATAATCTTTCAAAAGGTTTTTTGAAAATTGTAAAGCCTGTAACCTATATTAGAAGGGCCCCACACTGTCAAGTTTGAGCTCAATTATCTCGATTCCTATGCAAAATATCAAAAATGTGTCAATTCACAAAAAACTTATCATATTGTGGTGAATAATTTATCAGTTGACAACTTTCATGTAACTTTAACAGGAACTGAGAAAATTTGTCTCAAAGGTGGAAGTTAAGCTGCTCTTCAATTACAGGTTTTATGGTATTTTGAACGAACCAAAAAAAAAACAGCTACTAGTTTACACATAATTTATTTGTAAAAGTACGAATATCAAAGTAAATTCAATCGGTTCATAAAGCTATTGCGATTTCTCCTTTCTAGAAAGAACAGTTTTACGAATGCTGTCTCCTGTTTTGGAAATAAAATCGTTGAGAAGGAACTCGGGGAGAAGAGTCATCAGTTCAAGTTCCAATTGATGAGTGATGTATCCAGTTGTCTCAGATGAGTTTCCAATTGTGTTCAGTGCAGATTTGGCAAACGAATCACTGTCAGGACAGAAGAATGAAGTATCGGGATTTCCTGACATATTTGTGGACACTTTGTGTGGAGCGATGGTTTGGAAAATGATTCCTTGGTGGCCGTATTCTTTGCGGAGAATTGCAGTGAGCCAGGTGATGTACTTCTGAAGAAAAACAAATTGAAATAGGGTAATTGCTAGAAAATATGAATAACCTTTGCAGCTGAATAAATCGACATTTGTGGAATTGGAATTGCTCCCGCTCCCGATGAGATATTGACCACGATTCCAGCACGACGAGACACCATTTGTGGCAGAACTCCAGCGGAGAGCTGAAAAACGATGAATAATCAAAACCTTTTCAACATTTTTTAAAACCTACCAAAGTTGGAGGCAACGTGTTCACTGTTGTCACATCTGCCAAACTATCGATTCCTCCGGCAATTCTATGAATGATATCGGGGTACTCGAAAAACATTCCAACATTGTTGATCAATATTCCAACTTCTACTTCATTAAGTTTAGCTAGAATCTTTCGATAGTCAGCTGGAGAAGGATTTTTGAAATCAAACACTGCAATTTTCACTTCAATGTTTGCATGCTTTTGGAGAATTTCTTTTTTGGTCTGCTCAAGCTTCGACTGAGTTCTGGAGACGAGATAGATGTTGAATCCACGTTTAGCAAGCTCAAAGCAATAGGATTTTCCAATTCCGTCCGTTGCTCCAGTCACCACTAAGACAAAACGTTTTCTTATTGCAAGGAGATGCTCAGAAACAAACCTGCCCAGTTAGCTCCTGCTTGTTTCTTCAAATCAATTGGTTTGCAAAAGACATATGGTCCCAGAATTCTAAGCAAAATATTGATAAACTTATAGGCGATAAACAAAAGAGCAATAACGCCAGCTCCAGTAACACAGCAGACCATCTTGATGAGAGTAAAATCAAATTGTTTGGGTGGAGAAGAACAACAACTTGGGGAAAGAAACGGGTCAATGTCAGGAGAGAGAATAGGGAGGCAGAAGACGCAGATAGAGAAACAAGGAGACAAACATAAACATCTGTGACTTTTTGTGTCCGACAGCAAAAATGAAGATGGACTTTGATAGGTGTGTTTACCAGGAGGGAGTTGTATCTAGCACACCAAAGATTTTCTGAAGTTGCAGAACAAATTGTTTTATGGTTGATTTTAAAAAAAATTATTCCAAAGAAAACCTAGTTTTCCACATTAGCAATATTGGCAGTAACTGATTTGATTCTTTTCAGTTTCTTCTGTGCAGACTTCCGTTTGCTAGTTGTTACAGAGTCTGAAAATATGCACAAACTCCAACTTCCATTCGTTCCGATTATTCCGCGCCAATTGAGAGACTCATCGCCATTGTCAGTTATATAATAGTTAGGCCCAACATACGTAATTTCTTCAATGACCAGATCCTTCCCGGAAAGGAAGTGATCGCTATAATCTATTTTTTATATTTTCTCGCAAACGTTTTCTAAACATACCTCAATAGTATATTTGATGACTTATTAGGATTGAGCGTTATGAGAACTACAGTAATCCACAAAGTTCCATACAAAAGAGGGCATACCAACCAGAAGAATATTTTCGAACAAGAGAACGTTTTGACATAGGGGTTTCTGAAATCGAAGGTTAGCTGCTGAACAATTTTCAGAGATACTACCCAGTAATAACAAGATATCGATAAATGAAATGGAGAGCAAATAGTGCCATAGACATTCCAAACATTCCACAAAACAGAGCATCTGCAATGTAAATGAACCATAATGGAAGGTTCATTCGATCAGTTCGAACCACCACCAGAAATACAGTACTGTGACTGAAGAAGTCCTGAAATATTTATTCAATGTTAACAACTCCAGTTTACAATTTGAAACTTGCTGGTTGAATCAAAACATTTAGAAATGCAAAAGCAGTTTCAAACACTGAAATGTAGCATAAAAGGTACTTGTACATTCCGATTTCTTTTGGTGACTTGTGGCACACCAACTGCAGAAGAATCGCATTTATGCCAAGAGACAATGGGGCTCCGATCTTCTGGGTGAGGACTGGAACCATACCAAAAGCAACCATGGCTGTATGAATAGAGTTACTGAGAAAGAAGACCTTATTATTATTTGTGACAGAGTCTTATAGTCGGTGGATCCCATTGGGACATTGCGTCGACATGGCATTTCTGTTGTTTTCGACTGAAAGGGATTTCCTTGGACACACACATCGTTTATGGTTTGTTTTCAATAGATTCTGGTGTCTAGCAAGTACAAAATCTTTATTAGTTTCAAGGAAATCTAATTGGGTCAAATATGAATATGGTGCTCTTTCCATGCGGGCACTTCAGCAGGTGCTGGTTCCGAACGGATTTTCTTTATCCTCAGAACTTCCAGTAGATATTTTTCCAGTCTTAAAAATGTTTTCTATTTTAATTGAGGTACTGTAACATACTTCATTATCGGTAATTCAAACAGACAGCTCCAGAAGAAAGCAAAAGTGAAAGTTAGAATTGTGGCCGGCAAGATGTAATAGACATACTGGAACATTCTGAATTTCACTTGCAAAAAGATGACTTACGACAACTTACGACTTGCCACGTGGATACAAAATGAAGTGGTTTAGCACCGACATTCAAAAAGTAGTAAACTATCATAAGGTGGACAATATATGCAGAGTAGGATAACCGACCAAGTGGCTGCCAGATGGGATGGTTCATGAAGTTTCCGATGGGACCTGAACGTTTATATAATTGATTATTTCTCTGTAATTGATTATTTCTGTAGTTTGACAGGTACGGAAATGACATGTACAGCTCCCTTTCCCATCTCATTCGCAGCTTATGACACATTTCAATCTCAACACTTATTTTTGCCTACGAAACATAATCCGATTATCTCTTCATCAAAAGAAGTAATCAAACAAGAGAAATTTCCGATTGAGAACCTAATGTCAAACTTTGATTTATTTGTTTCTATTTGAGACTTTCGAACTTTTGATCAATCTACTGTCTATACATAGATTCATACCTGCCCATCCACGATGGCATGCCACGATGATGTATCCAACAGATGTTGCCCAGAAGAATCGAGAAAAATTGTAATAGGAAGCTTTTACATATGACCTGAAAATCCATTTTTTCTTTGAACCCTCTATGTTTGGAGTACTTCTCTAACTGATGTTTTCCCTCATCATATCCCTTATTTGCTATCAAAAAACAAAAGGGAAGCACAAAAGAGATCCCCATAAAGAACACTTTTCTATAGAGTTGAAGTTTTGATGTTCCCGGATTTTTAGCTAGATAATATCCAACAAGAATTCCAATGAGGTATGGTGGGCATCGAATCCATGGTTTTTGATAGATGTAGAAGTTGAACTTGCCGGAAGCGCTGAAATTACAAGAAATTGAAAATTATTGATTGTATGTTTACTCTGAATGGAATGAGTCAGCTGGTAGATCAAATTTTAGGTACAGAATATACACAGTCAGAATACTTCCGGCGCATCCGATTATAGAAAGAACTATTCCGAAAATTGGCTTCCAAGACAGACCAATCAGTAGGATAGGCGCTATTAAGTATAATTGGGTATCCACGGCAAGGTACCAACTTGGACCATAACACTGAAACGTTCGAGAGATTAGAAAGATAATTTCTAAAATTATCAAATTACCGGATTCTCTCCATCGTCAAAATTATTAATATAAATCAAGTTCCGCCACCATGATGCTTTACAAGCCTCCACTTGGAGAACAGTGAAATCTGAAAATTTTTTAATTTCAGGAAAGTTTAGCTTCTGAACTAACTGAACAAAGAAGCAGCTAATGGTCCTTGTATATAAAGAGAGTATACTGTATAGAAGCCGATGAAGATCATATATGGAGGAGTCAAACGAATGAATCGATGAACGTAAAAGAGAATCCACGTGGAAGGAGATCTTAAGATTTTGGAGGTGGGTTTCATCTGAAGATTTATAGAGATTCAACAAAAAGAAGTATAGGCACTCACCCTAAAAAAGGAATAGGCAACAGTAATTCCAGATACTAAAAAGAAAGTGTCCACTGAGAAATTGGCGTTTATAAAGAAAGAATCGGCAAAGTAGCTGGCGAAGGATTTTATTGGCATGAGAGTGTCTGAAATAATTCCTTGTTTCAAAGAAATTTGAAAAGAAATTACCAGAAAACAAAAAATAATTAAGTACATGAGCAGAAAGTACCCATGCCATGGACAATCCTCTAATACAGTCGAGGCATTTGATATAAGAGTCTGGTTGAGGAGACACGTTGAGGATAGTAGATGCGTTGGTCCAGAAAGAACATGCGTAGAGGATACGGAAAATGGAATCTGAAGTCTTAAAGAAGTTTAAAAAAAGATACAGTATGCTCACAAGTTTTTTCAATAGACTTGGTTGTGACAGAACATACAGACTCTCGAAGATAATCCACGCTAGTAGCAAGGATAGCAATACTGATAATTACAGTCATGAATATTCTGAATAATAACATTGAATCAGCTCTAAAGCTCAAAAAAAACTCACGAAAATCCCCAAAATGATGAATCTTTGGGAACGTCTCTCTCAGAACAGAATGTGGCACATGCAGTCAATGGGAGCCCACTCAACTGATTGTAAAGATTTACAGTATCCCCGCTTCCACAAGACTTTGGCATACAGACAGCTCTTCTGAATGCTACCTGATTTCCGATATTGTTGATATTTCCGCCCGAGCAATCTGCCTAAACTTTACTCCTATAGGAAAAGAAGATAATTTTAAACTCACATTCCGTCCTGGAATCAAAACCACATAACAGTAATTAGTGTCATACTTAACACCACTTATTCGTCGACATTCTTGGTAATTACCATCGAAAATTAACTCAATTTCGAAAAACCCAGGAGATGGAATTTTACCAAACGCATCGTATTCTGAAAGTATTTCATGAAGCAACAATCGAATTATATTTCCGTACGCTGAATGGCATACATATTATCTTTCAAAGTCTTGAGCACTGGTGCAGAACAATTTTTGTACAATAAACATTCCGAGGAGGATTTTGTGATAATTTCTAGAGAGTTTATCCATGTTTTTACACTTTTTTACATTGGTTAGAAATGCCAGTATAGTTTATGAAGCCATGTATTGGATTGAAGTTGAGACTCTGAAATAATAACGGTCTGAAAATCGGAACTACAAAAAATTGACAGACCTGAACGTTATCAGAATCAAAAAGATGAAAACTTGAATCGACAAGTTTCAGACTTAGAAATAGAGAAATAAGAGAAAAATTCAGAATACGAGATGATGGGAACATGGGTTTGTTGCACTTCCACTGTGGCAATTCATTGCACCCAATTCTATCTTCTCGTCACTTTTTTTCATTCTGGGTGAACAAATAAGAATTACTGGCCGACTTATGATAACGGTGACGAGCGTCAATACGTGCGTGAGTATTAGTTTCGAGTATTGGTTAAAGTTAAAGAGTAAAGAATTAGTCACTCTTTTAGGTCAAGGCACAAATTGAAACAGAAAAAAAATTTAATGGCATTTTGGAAAAGTCTGAAAGTTGAAGGAAAACTGATGACGAATTTAGGTATCATGAGGAAATAAGAAAGTAGATTGCTCGAATTTCGAGGGACACAGTTTTTTTATGCATAGAATTTTTTCAGAACTCCAAAATGTTCTTGAAGGTGGTTGTGTGGTGGGTGTCTGAAAAAATTTATTTGTCAATTTTTCTTGAATCCATAAAACTTATGAAGCATTCCAAATTTATCAGAAGCACGGTATGGTTCTAGAAGCTGAAAAGATGATGGTTGGGTCAAGATGCATAGCTCAGAAAAAATGTGTTTTGAACTTTTTGTTGTGAAATAAATACTGCCCGGGGCGTTGCAAGTATGGAAATACCGTTCTGAACCAGTTTTAGAAGTTTAGCTTCAGACTGACTGAGAATAACTGAAAATCAAAATTTCAATCAGACCACACTCTTCATAAATCGTTTCAAATTCAAAACAACTTTGCAATTATCAACACTCGTTCACTAAAAAGACCATCATTTCTGATCTCTGTCTGATCATTCAAACTACATGTTGTGTCTGTTGTTTTTGTTGCCTTTTCAGTGTGTAGATAACGTACCTAGAGGGTATATAAAACGAGTATAGTCTGATTGATGTTCAACATTTCACCATGTTTCTCTTACTATTGATTATTTCAATCATTGCCTGGCTATCAGCCAGACAGTATTTAAAATCAAAACGTCTTCCACCTGGACCAACGTCTTTTCCACTCATTGGAAATTTGCACCAAATTGGGTACCAACTATGGAAAACCGGAGGAATGGTCGCCACATTAAACCATTACCGAAAAGTAAGATGATCGATATTGACATGATATTATCGGAATTTTCAGCAATATGGTGATGTTTTCACGCTTTGGTTGGGTCCGATTCCCCATGTAAACATAACAAACTACGAGATTTCACATGAAGTTTTTGTGAAGAACGCAACAAAATATGCAGACAAACATATTCCTCCACTTTTCGATTTTATACGACGTATGTTGAAGAAACGAAATGAAGTTTTTTACTTTCGAAACCATTACAGAAGGAAACGGAGTCTTCTTTTCAAATGGAGACAAGTGGCAAGAACTGAGAAGGTTTTCAATGTTGACAATGAGAAATATGGGAATGGGAAGAGATTTAATGGAGGAGAAAATTATAGCTGAACTTAATACAAGGTAATCTTTATATTCTGAAAAATAGTTAACAAAAACCATATATGTATCCTCTCAGATGCTCAGAGCTTGATGCCAAGTCGGTCAACGGAACTGCTGTGGAAACTGTCAATGTATTTTTTGACTTGACAGTTGGAAGTATCATCAACAACATGCTCATGGGTTTTCGGTTTGATGAGGTACAGCTGGAATTTTTTGCAATATGCATTCAACTTATTTTTTCAGAGAAACAAGAATAGATTTTTGACTTTCAAGCATATGGTAGACAAATCCATGGAAAAGTTTTCAGCCACTTATTTGGTACTTCCAGTGTGGATTCTGAAAACATTATTTTCGAAAAGTTTCGATGAATTGATTTCCGACAACTTCAAACTATTAGACTATGTATCAGAAGACGCAGTTAAAAGATCCAGAGATTATATTAAAGGAACATATGAGATTGATCCTGACAACGTAGAAGACTTTGTGGATGCGTTCTTGCTGAAAATGAAGCAAGACCCAAAAAGTGAAGTTTACAAGTGAGGGATACTAATAGAACTTTTATTTATTTACCCCAGATTTGATTTCAGTGAAGAAAACCTGAAGATGTTAGTGTTAGATCTATGGATAACTGGTCAGGAGACTACAACAATGACGCTGATTTCTGCTTTTATCAGATTCCTTAACAATCCAGATGTGATGGATAAATTAAGAAACGAATTGATGAAAGTGACCAACGGAGCATCTCGACATCTATCACTGAAAGATAAAAATGAGACTCCATATTTGAATGCAACACTTGCTGAAGTCCAGAGACACGCATCGATTCTGAATGTCAACTTTTGGAGGCTCAATAAAGAGCCTACAGTAATCGGAGGGCATCCGGTGGATTCTGGATGCCTGATTGCTGCCCAACTGAGCGCTCTTCATACAAATGAAAAAGTGTTTGAGGATCCGGAGAAATTCGAGCCAGAAAGATTCTTGAAAAATGAGAATTTGATTCAACAAGTCATTCCATTTGGTATTGGAAAGCGATCGTGTCTGGGAGAGGCTCTGGCCAAAGCAGAGCTTTATTTGGTGAGATATGCAGGTTCATTGATTGGTTTATTACGTGGAGAACCCCTTTTAAATGTAACGACTTCAATAGGAAGTGATTACATACATTTCGACAGAGAATGTATTCAACAGTCGTAATTTGAATAGTTTTGCACTTTTGTTTTGGAAAAAGTTCATTTTTGCTATCTCGATTTTCTTCGGAAGCAAATTCGCACGTCATTTTTTCCGGAACGTCATCTAAATGCGCTCGAACGCCGATATTGTAGTAAAAGTTAGTTTCCAAGTCTTACAGTTTTGTGTCTGCATTCCATCGGAAAAGCGTGGGGGAAAATTTTATTTGAAAAACGTCCAAAACTCCATGTATTCGTAATATTATATCCGCTCTAGACTTACAACCTGATTAAAATTAATTTTGATCTCATTGCTGCCCGGCTTGCCATTTCCCGTGAAACGTCGGCTGCTTCAATCTAGTCGAGTATATACAGTACTGGCCATAAAGAATGCGACAACTTGTTTTTTGACGATAACTTTTTGAAAACTCAACTTTTCAACTCGAATTTTTTACTGTAGACACATTGGAAAGTTACGAAAACTTGCGTACTTGGAAATTGCATCATCTTGCAAACAAAATTTTTTTTCAATTGTTTTCATTTTTTTTTTCATTTTGCATATTTTTCATGATTTTTGGTTTTTTTAAATAAAGTTGAAAGACAACTAATTGGAATTAGTTTTAGTTATTGTTTTATTGTTTTTCAGATATGGTTAGACCATTCGGGAAAAAATCCTTCTCTGTGGACGAGCGAAAAAGCATTGTGCGTGGTCATGAACTCGGCGCGCATCCGAAGATACTTGCAACTCAGTTTAGTTGTTCTTCCAGCCAAATTTACCGTATTCTGAAGAAAAATCGAGATGATGTGAGGTTTCAATCAGCTTTCTCAACTAAATTTAACAATTTAGAATGGCGTTGTTCATCGCCAATCTCCAGGAAGACCCCGAACCACTTCCAGAAATATGGATCGGAACATTTTGCGCGCATGCCGAGAAGATCCTAGACGCACATCTACGGATATTCAACTTTCTGTGACGTCTCCAAATGAACCGGTACCATCGAGAAGAACTATTAGAAGACGTTTGCAAGTTGCTGGACTGCACGGACGAAGACCAGTCAAAAAACCACTCGTCAGTTTGAAAAACCGAAAAGCTCGCGTTGAATGGGCTAAACAGCACTTGTCCTGGGGCCCCCGTGAGTGGGCAAATCACATCTGGAGCGATGAATCGAAGTTCAATATGTTCGGAACTGATGGTATTCAGTGGATTCGACGTCCCATTGGCTCCAGGTATGCTCCACAGTACCAATGTCCAACTGTGAAACATGGAGGTGGATCTGTGATGGTTTGGGGATGCTTCTCCGACACTTCTATGGGACCATTGAAGAGAATCGTTGGAACCATGGATCGATATGTGTACGAAGACATCCTGGAGAACACAATGAGACCATGGGCAAGAGCAAATTTGGGCCGATCGTGGGTGTTCCAACAGGATAATGACCCGAAGCATACTTCGGGTCATGTCGCCAATTGGTTCAGACGTCACCGTGTGAACCTCCTAGAATGGCCAAGTCAATCTCCAGACTTGAATCCCATCGAGCATATGTGGGAGGAGCTGGAACGCCGCCTCAAAGGAGTCAGAGCATCCAATGCCAATCAAAAGTTTGCTCAACTCGAAGCTGCTTGGAAGAGTATCCCGATGACGGTGGTTCAGACGCTCCTGGAGTCGATGCCACGTAGATGCAAGGCTGTTATCAATGCGAAAGGATACCCAACGAAATATTAAGTCACTTTTTATTGTTACCTTTTTTTTTTTTTTGACCTCCGGTGTTTCTTGAGCTTCTTTGTATAGATCTCCAAAAATGTCATTTTCATGAATTTTCGAAAAAAATTAATTTTCAAAAAAATTGTAGCAGAATATTAAAACCAACTTAGCCTAAAAGTTTTTGATAGTGCTGAAAAAATCTTACCAAAAATTCGGATTGAAAAGTTGAGTTTTCAAAAAGTTATCTTCAAAAAACAAGTTGTCGCATTCTTTATGGCCAGTACTGTAAGCAAATTCAGTTTTCTACTCATTCTGCGGTCCGGAGTTGATGGGTTATCTATTATTATTATGGAAGCTCATCCTGCTCGCAGGTCGAGAATAAACGAAAACAAATTTCAAACAAAATTCCAACAAATAAAAAATCAAAACAACGCGTTCTTACATCAGAACAACCCCCGTCCTTCGGAACAACCCCCGTTTAAAAATTCCCATCAACACCAACTTGACCGCACTTTTTGGCTTTTTCTGACATTTATTTTTTTAGATCATCGGAAACCTTCTCCTTCGTTACAACTTCAAACCACACGGCGGATTACCGCCAACTAAAGAAGTTTTGCCGTTCACAATGGCCAAGAGATGCGCGGTCTATGACATGGAGTTTATAAAAATCTAATTCTGTAAAATTTTCTAGTTTTAAGAATAAAGTATACAATTTCTGTTCAAGTTTGGATTCATTATTGGGGAAAAAGAAACAAGATTCGTGTACATATTGTGTCATGAAATTGTCCACCTATAAATTATTATTGTGAAGCGAAAAAGAAGAAAAACGAGAATACATATTTAGAAGTGGAATGTGCAGTTATTATTGCAAAATCCTAGGAATTAGATAAATGTTAATGGCAGATAAAGTTAGAATAGATGGCAGGCAAGAACAGAAAAAGGAAATAATATGAATGAGTACAGGCAGAGACGATGGAAACGGCAATTACTCTTTTACTACACCACTCTTTGACTACACCTACTCTTTGACTCCACATTCTCTTTGACTACAAAGTCTCTTTGACTACATTTATCTCTTTGACTACACTTGTCTCTTTGACTACACTTTAAAAAATTTTAAATTTTCTGCAGTTTTTGTGTGCGTTCTTACAGAATATAAGAAGAATTTGAGCCTAAGCCTATAATTTTAAACAAAAAACTATCAATTCCAAAAATACATAACAGTGAAAAAAGTACTGAAATTCGCGAAAATCAGCAAAATTCTCACTTTTTTCGCTGAGATTTCCAAAATTTTGTTATTTTCTGTACAAACAAAGGCTTAGGCTGAAACGGTTACCGGAAAACTGGTGTTTTAGCCTAAGCCTATAATATGAGACAAAAATCGGAAACTCCAATAAATTCAGTCAAAAAAGACTATAAAACAAAAAAGTGTAGTCAAAGAGACAAGTGTAGTCGAAGAGATAAATGTAGTCAAAGAGAATGTGGAGTCAAAGAGTAGGTGTAGTCAAAGAGTGGTGTAGTCAAAGAGTAATTGCCGATGGAAACAGACAACAAGCGTAACATAACAAGCTAGAAGAAAAAGTTCCTAGTTACTCGTCAGTGATTTTCTTCCCGTAAAATGTGTTCGTTTCAGCACCGACTTGCTCGAGAGCTTCCAGAATCTATAAGAAAAAAGTTATAATAATGCATATAGCACAAGAAATGGCTTACATAATCTAAATGCTCTTTTGTGTGATCGGCACTTAAACAGAAGCGAACCCGTGCTTCCAACAGTGGAGTGGCTGGATATCCGACCGCCACTATTCCAATGTTATGTTTGAGCATTCGTCGTGAAAATTCGCTGAAAACAAAGAAACTGAATACGAACAGCTTTTCAGACATCACTTACACAACTTTAGTGATATAAAATGTCATTAATGGCACTACTGGACTATCATTATTTCCATAAACTAGAAATCCTCGTTTGCGAAGTTCCTTCCGGAAGTATCGGGAATTTTCGAGAAGTTGAATGGCTTTTTGACGGCCGATATCTGTGCCGTCTTGGCCGCACATAATCTGAACTGCTTTTTCGACTTGAGCGATGAGTGGAGGCGACATGGTCACTCCGTAACAAGTACCAGCGGAATAACGGCGAATGTGATCGATAGTTTTCTAAAAAAATCGTGAAACTCAAAAAATTTATCAAACTGCTGATAATACCTTCGCACCGCCCATATATCCTCCAGCCGAAGCGAAAGACTTTGTCAAAGTACCCATCATAATATCAATATCTTTGGGATCACATCCCCAATACTCGGCAACACCTCTTCCACTTGGACCGACTGCTCCGATACTGTGTGCTTCATCGAGAAAAAGATAACAATTATACTTTTTCTTGATAGCGATAAACGATGGCAAATCGACAATGGTTCCTTCCATGCTGAAATTTTTTTAACTGTTTTAACTGATGATGGAAAAATAATGAAACCTGTAGATTCCTTCAATGATAATCAGGACTTTGTTATATTTTTGTCCAGTCTTCGGGCTCACTCCAGACAAAGCATCTCGCAATTTTCGTTCACAATCTTTAGCGTTATTGTGACGAAAGACTAAAGTGTGTGCACCAGATAAACGGCATCCAGTGACCAGCGATGCGTGGTTCAGCCGATCAGAAAGAATAAGAGATCCTTTGTCGACAAGAGCCGGAATATTCATCGAATTAGTGGCGAAACCCATAGGGAAAACGACAGCATCCTCTACTCTCAGGTATTCAGCGATGGTACGATCGACTGATTTATGGGAAAGATGGTTTCCGCATTCCTGTCTCGATCCTCCACAATTTATTCCATATTTATCTATTTGAGCAGCAGCGGCATCGGCGCAAACACCCGATCGGTGAGAGAATCCGAGATAATTGTAAGATCCAAGATTGATGACTTCTGTTTCGCTACCCGAGTATCTGCAACAGTTGTTTGTATAGTTATAAATTAATGCTGATAAGAAAAGTTGCGGACAATTGTTTCAATATCACATGTTCTTCTCTGCTAATCTGTCCGAGACGAAACCAGATTGCAAGAGTTCTTGTAGTATTAAGTCTCCAGTCATCATAGAACATTTTCAACAACACTTACTTTTGTGTCCATCCGTGATCGTCACTATATCTATCTTTCAGCCTAACAATAGCTCCTGGAACACCGCTAATCGGCCTATTGACAACATCGGTTGATCGTCGATAAATATGATCTGTGTACGTGGCATCGAAGCTGTTTCCAAGTGGTGCAAAGTCCTGAAAAAAACCAAAATTTTCTAAGTGAATCATACAGCAACTCTGTGACTGATAAAGTTTTATGTGACGGTTGTCTAAAATAATTTCTAACCGCATTTCCGCATGTCAAGATTTCTTATCAAACTGTGATAAGTGACTGGAAAGAACAACACCAAATGAACAATTTTCGACGAACCTCCATTCTGGGATCTCCTTTTGCCCGTTTTGTCTTCACAATTCCCCATTTATCGAACAGTGTGGCGACCATTGCACCCAGAAGCATCATGGTGATGTTCAATTGAACCAGCCAGAACACATAAAATGCTGGTTTTGGGCATTCTTCCAATGGAATCGTGTCTTTCTCGGTTATCTTTCCGTTTTTCACTCTGAAAATTGAAAGTTGAAAATTTCAAATATATTCCGAAGAAGAAAGAAACCTTCCATTCGCCACGGCTTTCCCATTTTGAGTCCCACCCATTTTGTAGAATCTGAAAGTGTTAAAAATATATTGGTTTCGTTAACGAATTCGTTGAAACCATAAAAAAATTAACTGAACGATCGCCGGTGAAAATTACCCGAAAAAATTGTTTACTAGTAGAGCGATGGGGCGCGTTTGCATTCCCCTCGCATTTCGGGGGGATTTTGCAAGTTTTGGAGGACAAAGACAAGAGGAAACGGGTCAGGAAACGCGAGAAAAGTGAGAGATGATATACTTATCAATCAAGTAATCAGTGGTGGAGAAAAAAACTGATCGCGGGCAGAGCGCAAAGTACATGGGAAGATACGCGGGAGAGACATTCTTCGGGGCTACAAGAGACGGGGTGGGGGCAGAGAAGAGAAAACACAAAATATGGCATGATTCATGTTCACGTGCATCAATATGTATGGTGAGACCGGCTTCTGATGTCATGTAACATATACAAGTGGTTCGTATAGTAATAGGAACCGCTTGATATTCAATTTTAATGAGCCAAAAGGTGTTGCCGATCGTTGAAAAGAACGAGGCGACCTTTCACAAAACAAAAGATCGTCGGAAAGGTATTATCTTTGGAATTACCTAGAAAAGTGTTGCAATAGAGAACCAAAGGTTATTGAAATTGGAGAATTTTTCGAGGAACAGAAAGAGAAAAATATTTCAGCAGCTATTATTGTTAAATGCCGCGTTCAAAGTTGATTTCCAGGAGTAATTTCCTGGAAAAACGCTGTCCAAAGCTGCGATTGTTTTTCAGATTTACAGCAACAGTAAACTACTGTATCACTCGTTTTGACTGTGTTCTTCCTGTTGATTCATGTCGATTTACGGCGGGTCTCGAAGCGGAGGCATCTGGAAAACAATGGCTGCTTTGGACAGCGTTTTTCCAGCAATTAATTTCCTGGAAATCAACTTTGAACGCGCCAAAACCTAGGGTTGTTGCTGGCCGCCAGTGCTATGGGCCTTTCAATTTCACGTGATTTGCGTTGAAAGCCAGCGAAATTTTTAATATTTGCCTGTTTAAAATTTAAACCGGCGTCAAACGCCGCTTTCTTTTTGAGAATAGAATTTACCTTTTGATTCACTAATATCCCCTCACTGTAGCTTCAATTTTAATTATCTCAGTTCTTATAAAAGATAGCAACAAACCGTCAACTGATAAAATGCGCCAAATGTCAAGAAAAACATTTTGGCAGTTGACAGTTTGATCATATGTTTCACAAGAAGTCAGATAATTGAAGTTAAAGAGAGAGAATGGAAATTATAAAATGTTAGAACGAATTTGGTATTTGAGAAGTTACCACTAGTCTTCCATTAATAGTTATTGTGATTATGTCTGGATTAAGGTTTAGTTCAAAAGTAGTTGTTTAGCTTTTTAGAATTTAAAGTTGTAAACTTTGATTTTCGGGACTTCAGAATGCAGGTTTCAAAAAACTCAAAAAAAAACGAAGTTCGGAAACTTTCAGGAAAGTGTAGTTTCATGAAATCCATAAACTTTCAAAATCACACAAACCATAGACTTTTTAAAATTCGGAAATTCTGAAATTTCGGAAAACATTTTTCAAAAGCTTCAGACACCAGATTTTCAAAATTTCAAACAGAATTCCAGAAGTAATGAAATATTTCGAAGGACTAAAAATATCAATTTCATTCCATTTGACTGTTTCGATCATCTGTTGTTTTTTTTCTTTTTCAATCTTTCTCTATGAAGTATTTTCTATTGAAAAAGTCATCTTTTAAAAACCAGGCGTTTAATGCCTGTGAAAATTTTTGCTGGCACTGGTGGCCAGTGCAAAAATTAAAAGCGGCGTGGGTCGCCAGAAAACGCCATTTTGGCCAATCTAGTTATTAGGTTGGCGGGAAAGTCTTTGTCACTTTTTCAATAGTTTATTTCTCAAAGAAAAAATAACCGAATAATTAATTATATTGTCCATCATTATCAACAACATGTCTCCAACGTTCCCTCAATTTATGGATTCCATTGCGGTAGAATCCAGCCGGGCGTGAGGCAAAGTATTGTTTGAGTGCCGCTTCGACCGCTCCACGGGAATTGAAGCTTCTTCCTTCGAAGGCACGTGTCATATCGCCAAATAACCAATAGTCGGAAGGAGCAAGATCAGGAGAATACGGGGGGTGAGGGAGAACATTCCATCCATATCCCATCAGCTCCTGCTTCACTTGTTTCGAAACATGTGGGCGAGCGTTATCATGTTGATAGTACACTTTCTTGTCTTTCAGGGCCGAACGGTCGACTGCTTTCTTGAGGTTTCGTAGTTGAGTAGTGTAGAGGTCTCCAGTTATTGTTTTGCCCTCGGGCAGAAGTTCCCAGTAGATGGGGCCGTCCACTCCCCACCACACAGAGAGCATAACTTTTTTCGGATGAAGGTCGGGTTTGGGGACATCCTGTGGGCTCTCTCCTTCTCCAACCCACTGGGATTTCCTGTGGTGATTATCGTAGAAGACCCACTTCTCATCTCCGGTTATTAGCCGGTCCAGCCATCGATCGCCCGCGTGGAGAGTGAGAAGAGTAATCGAATCGTCGACTCGGCGGTCAAGGTTGGCTTGAGTCAGGTGATGAGGTATGAATCGACCAAAAAGTTTTCTCATTCCAAGAGACTTCAAACCTTCAAGGACTGTGCTATGGTGAACTCCGAATGTGACAGCTAGTTCACGGCTAGATTGAAATGGATCCGATTGCAATGCGTGCTTCAGCTTGTCCAAATCCAACTCACGGGGTCTCCAAGAGCGATCCTTTTCATCGAGCGAGAAGTCATCTTTTTCGAAACGATGGAACCAATTGCGAATAGTATTGTAGTGAGGGGCATGTGTGTTGTACACATTCTTCAAGAAAGTTTCCGAATCCTTCATCGTGGTGTGAGATAGGAAGAGGTAAATCAAAACATGTCTGATGTGAATAGCAGTGGGAACAAACATATCGTTTCAATTACAGATGAGGAGCAGGGAAGGAGATGGGGACTTGTTTATATGGAAGGTTCTTATCACCTTGTTATTCACTAAAGTCGATATCATACACAGCCTCCATATACGAGAACAGTGATTAAACAAACAGAGTGACAAAGACTTTCCCGCCAACCTAATAAACCCGATGCCGTGGCTGAAGGTCCTTCAATTGTGGGACCCTGTGCCACAACGACAACTACTGTAACCTTTCAAAAATTATATATACCGGATTTACTGTCTTGATTTGACTTTTCAGAAAAACGAGAAAATAAATACGGAAAATGAAAATATTTTTAGGTTACGGTAGTTGTCGTTGTGAAACTTTCGGTCTTCCACAACTCCGATTTTCTTGTACTAGAATGACAGTAAAAAGAGGAAAGAAGAAAGAGGGTATTCAAATGGTGGAGTTGATCGACATTCCAATTTTTAAGTGTAGTTTACCGGCTGTAATAAAATGTGTGGAGTTTGAAACGGAATGACAATAAAGAAAACAGAAAGAAAACAGAAATATGTCCTAGAAATGTGTTGCAGAAATACTTGGAAATTCGAATGTTCTGGTTTACCAGGAATGGATTGCTCCAGATGACATCGAGTTGCCCTGGTATGGCTCTGGGGCATTGGAACATCCTTGATCCAACAAACTCCACTCTGTCAACATCATCAGTTTAAAGTTCCATCATGAACTTCTGGATTCTTTTCCTCTCCATCAGTCTTCTTCTCGGATCATCCGATGCGAATGGTTTGAATACTGTAGAAGTATTCAACGCGGTGAAGAATATTTTGGATGAAGGGACAACTAGCTACAGAATTGTACCTCTTAATGAATACGAAAAAACTTCATTCCAAATTTTCAGACGACTGATATCTCCCTGGTATACTACGCAGAGGAAAAAGCAAAAGAATGCCCATCAAAAGGGGATTTGGAGACAGGAGAAGTCCTTATTAATAATGATGATCTCCAGAATCTTTTGATAGGTTCCAACTCCACGCAATACTTCTCCCTGGGTCCACTTCCCACTATTTCTACTCTACAAAACAAAACTGTTAGAATCTTTTTGAATATTGGCTCTCGAATGGGTTGTGCGCCTTTAAATTGCTCATCTGGTTTTGATCAGTATTGTGTTTTTGATAGCAGGTAGGGTCGTTCTAATCACGAGCCATTAAGAGCCAAGTATTTAAGAGAGTACGCATCGAGTCGGTTGGAAAAGTATGGATGTGTAAAATCTGAGAAGTACCCAAATCTTTGCGAAGAGCAACCTATTGATTATGTTTCCATGGATCCATCAAATTTTCAAGCTAAAATGATGAGCTGGAATCATGACAGACGGGCGGTCGCAAAGAAATTCGGTTACAGTAGGATGTATGAAATGGTAAGCAAGTTTTAAATCCATTTATTGCTGTTATTAAAAACGCAGAACTGGTCTAATGATGCAGCAATGATAGCAGAAGTACTTGGATTTGCTTGTGAGCCAAACTTTGCTGGATTCCTGGGGACACATTATTACATGCATCCGAGAACTTTGGATCCTCTCGGATCTTCATGGTTCTTTACACATGACACAATCGATGGATCTCAAATCCTTGGCAACACAACTTTTGAAATGTTTGCTCCAGATCGGAAAGAGTTTGGATGTGTCCCACTGGATACTGCTTGTTGTTCGAATTACTCGTATATTTGTGTGCTAGGTCCAGATTGGTTAGTAGTCAGCTGATGATCACACTTCAATGATCACCAATCATTTTCAGGCTCTCCACAGATCAACCAATATTCTCAAAAGGGACTCCTTGTGACCAGTGCCCTGATGGGTGTAACGATGGTCTTTGCGTGAATCCAAAGAAGGAAAATTCGTCAGAAAATTCTGCAGTGGTTCTTTCGGAAATTCCTCTTGCTGAAACTACAAGCATTTACCATGGAACAATTTGGGAAGACACTGGAAAATCTGTTGCTCTACTTGTTTGTTTTATTGGAGCAAGTATTGCAGCCTTGTTACTTGTTTATTATCTCTTCACAAATAATTATAACTTTTGATAAAATGTGATTTATAAAGAATTTTTATTGATCTGGTTACAGTAATCCTTGATTCTAAAGTAATCCTTGATTCACTTCACCTGTTCTTATCAACTCAGAACTTGGGAAAACTGGGATAAATTGAAGAAATGAAAATAGCACTCGGTACAGTAAGATTCGGTTCTAGACTTATTGTATACAGTCTGAGAGAGTGCCACCCAAACATTCAAATTTGAACCCTTATATCTCATTTCCTGCAAATGATATCAAAAAGTGTTTAACTGATAAAAAATTTCAAATATTATGATAAAAACTTTATCAGTTGGTGATTGTTTGATATCTTTTACAGAGAACGAGATATATGGGCTCGAAGTTGACGGTTTGGGTGGCCTTTATTAAAGTGTTTACAGTACCTAGAACTCAATCTAGAAGTGGAAGGCGATGATTCTATCAGAAATTTTCAGCTTTTTTAGTGATCGTAATTATCCTACAGTTCCTAAGAAAATTTTTGTAACATCTGCTGCTCTTAAAATTTTTTCCAGTTCCTCCAATTGTCCTAGAAACGTGGGTAATATCATTTTGCATCTTCTTTCCGCTCTTGAGGGTTATTTCAACTCCATAGGAATGTTGTTTCAACTATTCAGCATCATCTTTCTCGTTGGTAAATTACCCCCATCAAAATCTTCACTTGTATTCGATTCTCTCCTCTTTAGCACACTGTGCAGCCGTTACAACCATCACAATGGTGACAAAGAGTCCTAGTGAAACTGAAATGTTCACCGAAGTATTGCGACTGTTAAATGATCCCCGACGTTCGTTAATCTATGACCTAAATGTATCGGATCTGTACTGGTTGAAATGGGACATATCGTTGGCTTGGTTGGCATTCAAAACCACTGACACCTGTGAACCATTGGATGACTCCGACGGATTTGCGAAATTGCGGTTAACACTTTCTGATAAGGAAATTGTCACGACTACAAATAACCAAGAAACAAAAACTCAACACCGAATTGGTGATATATTAGGTGTCTAGTAGTAAAATATTGTATTTTTTTTTAGTTTCGGACCTCTGGGAAAATCTTGATGCATTTACGGAACACATCAAGGAATATGGATCCGAACTCAAGAATTCCAGAGAAGAATTTTCAAAGTTCTACGATTATTATAGAAGCGATTGGACACGAATCGGATGTGCTTTCAAAGTCTGCAAGGATGTGATGACTGGAGAGGAAAATAATCTTATTTGCTTCTTAGGACCAAAGTGAGAAAAAAAGTTCTGGGATAGGAAATATCTTGAATTTCCAGAGCGGATCAGAAGTCTGACCCGATATTCACAATGGAGACTTCCAAGGACGATCTGTGTAAAAACTGTGAATGTGAGAAGCTGGCGTGCAAGGAACCCCCATTCGATGGATCCAAATTGTCAGATGATGAGTTTCAGAAAAAGGTGTTGGATGAGTTTAATGGAGCCAGAAGCAAGTTTTCATTAGGAGCTAACGTTTCAGCGATGAGTAAATTGGTAGGCAGCAAATTAAAAAAAAACATTCTTTCATGTTTTGTTAAGGTTTGGGACGACACCCTTACCGCATCTGCTCTTGATGTTGCAAACAACTGCCCAGGCCAAGTGGCTCATGGTACTAATTATCGTGAAATTTTGGCAGATACGTTCCTAGATAAAGCGGCTGGATTGTCATCAATTGGTGAAATGTATGGATCCACAACCACGGAGCAGTCTTATACAGAAGTCTACAATTGGTCCGCAATTTACACGATTCTGTGGCCGAAAATGACCAAAGTCGGATGTGCTCGTGCTCCAAACACTTGTGCCAATAAGATTTGGTGTCATTTCGGAGATATGTAGGTTTTATAAAATTATTTTGACAAAAAGTAATTTTGAGTTTTCAGTGGCCTTCTAAATGGAAAAATGTACGAGAAAGGGACGCCATGCTCCAAGTGTACGGGTGGATGTGAAGATGGGTTTTGTACCTGAAAAAAGATATCATAAGAACTTTTCGTGAATAAAATCTTTGAATTGACTCGTTTTTTTGTTAACATTCAATGACCTAGTGGCAAAACAAAGGAAAAAACCCAGTCATCAAGAACACGTTGCAGTATGTCATGCGACGTGTTTTTTTTCTAGAGGCGCTGGTTTTTAACATTCACCAGCCGTCTAATCCCTAGAAGAGGTAAAAAATATGTCGAAAACTATCGCAGGTAATACTGATATACTTAAAAACCTGTAATAGAAGGGCTCCTAACTTTTAACTTTGAGCCAATTTATCTCGGTTCCTAAGGACATGAAAAAGTTGTCAACAGATAAATTGCGTATCATAAACTCACAAGCATTTTATTAGTTGACACATTTTTGATATCGTTTATAAGAGCCGGGATAATTGAGCTCAAAAATGACAGTGTGGGGGCCCTTCTATTACAGGTTTTACGGTAGGTAATTTAAAATTTCACAGATTACTACGAATTCGGACGTAACGAGTTTACATTTGACGTCAACGACATCGAAAAGTTGGATGGTACTGGACAGAATAGTCCACATTATGCAACTGGAGACATTGATTGGTAATTTTGATTCTTGCTATTCTTCTGAACCTATATGTTGTCTCAGGCACCTGAACGTCTGTATCAACTCCACGTACAAAGGAAAATACCTCTCTGCGTTCCTCTTCTGCTCTCCGGTTGACGTTGCGAGTGCTTGGAAAACATTCGGACAATTTCGTATCGTTTTGGAGAACATCGAGAGACCAAAACAATCGATCGCTCGTCAAATGGACTTCTCGTTCGAATCTGAAGAAGCCGAGAATCGTGGATGGAGAACATTCACCAAACTGGATGAAGTGTTGGACGAGGCTAATGGATTCTATAAAGACAAGAAGCTTACGTTCCGTGTCATTGTTGGAGTCAAGAAGGTGGAAGGTTTCGAGACAGCGAAATATTTCAACTTTTTGGAGAAGGGAGAATATTCTGATGGAACCATTACGGCCGGGAACACCAAATTCTATGCGAACAAAATGGTAAAAAATTTCAAACTTTCTGTCATAATAAGAAAAAAAATTTCAGATTCTCTCTGTCCATTCTCCAGTCATCTCAAATCTTTTTGCGAACACTGATGATATCAAAATTGAAGACGTTGACAGTCTGGAGTTCAACGAATTCCTCCAATTCCTTTACGCAGTTGCAATTCGTATTGAGAGTCAGTTCCTGTAAATCAGAATTTCTACTATAAATTACAAAACTTTGCAGAAGCCAACGTGGATATGATTCTGAGAATGTCCGCTCGGTTTGACACCTACGGGTTGAAATTATCGTGTAAACAGTACCTGACATACGCGTTGAACACCAAACAAATTGAACCAGAGTTTGCTATCCAGATGGCTGATAAGCATGAATTGAAGGATATTCTTACGAATGCTCTGGAGTCCGCGAAGAATGTGGATGACATAAAGGAGAGATTCAAGGGATACGAGGACTTGTCGGTTGGAACTCTCAAGCAAATGATTAATAAAACTCTTACTTTTGCTTGAATGAATCTTTTATTGTTTTTTCTTCTCTGTGTTCAAATTTTACCTTTTCAGTTTCCTATCATTTTTCAGCTCATTTGTCATCCTTGAGATATATGAAGAGGAAGGAGGTGATGAAGTCATCGGCCATAAAAACCCAGATCTTACATATCGCAGGCATTTGTCATCAATTCCAGACAAATAATCGACCCTATATTGTTCCTAGATGATGACTAAAAATGATGATTATTTCAGACGTTCTGGGGGCGGAGCCTAAAAAGTGTATATAAGGTCCAGGCTCATCCCGATATTTCACTCAGTCTGGTCTGATCTCCCATCGTGATACAGAATGTTTTCTTTCTATTCAGCTATTACCCTGCTCTTCTGTCTATTTTCCATGACCACGGCTACTGGACATCTACGTCTGGAACTCACGGCATCCAACTACCTGGAGCTTCATGTCAAGACCAATATCAGTGCTCAAACTGTTTTTCTCAATATGGGAGTCACCAGAATCGTCAGTTTCCATCCAAAAGTCGACCAGGAATCCATTGAAGTCACCTTCTCTCAAAGAGGAGGATATTCGCAAATGAACGTCTACAATTTGAATGCTGCTGGAGCAATGACTCAACAGACCATTCTTTTCTCGGATATCGTACTCATGATTCAATCGGTTTTTGAATGCGATGATGGATTCATTGGAGAGAATTGCCTAGAGGTTTCCACCACAACCACCACAACCACGACGTCATCCACAACCACTACGACTGAAGGACCAACGACTACCACCGCCCCAAGAACAACTTCATCGAAAAAATCGCCAGAAATGCCAACTGCCAGCGCTTTCACCGCCTCTTTTTCTACTGACACCATCATCTGTATCACTTTCTCGATCTTCATTGTTGTGCTTCTAATTCTCATTGTGACTCTTTACCTTCGACGCCGCCAACAAAGCATTTACATCCAACCTCATACACCAGCCAAAAAGACCTACATCGATCCCGAGGATTCCGGAATCTACTCCCCAGAAAGCAACCGATACACTGGATCTCCACATCTACAATGCTAAATGTCTATCTTTCTTTTTTAATTTCTTATGTTATTTTAATTGTATTATTTTACAGTCCCGATTTAATTACATAAATTTATTAACTTTCAAGAAGTGAGTTTTGAGTCGTCTTGTGAGAATAATAACTTGGGAAAGAGAGCATTGGCGTGAACTTCGGTGTGCCACTGAGCTCTGCTGACCTACCTACGTGGAGTCGACTGTAAACATCCGGATGTGTTGACTGACTACACCGTCATATATCAAGAATCTTAGAGTTACGATGAGTTGACTTCTATGGGGATCATCTCAAAAATTGACAGGTACTTTTTCTCAATTTCAAATCAGTTGTTTAGGCTAGAACCAGTTTTTTTCAGGCTCCTATCCTGGTGGCCAAAAACTGTTCCGATGTACTTTCTCAATGGATCAAATCGACATGGAGTCTCCGCACAGCAAATGGCAAACTTCTGGAAATGTTTCATGGTCAGTCGGCAATTCGTTGATTTTCTATAGAGCTATCTTTTAAGGACTATGGGGGTGGTTAATACAAAAAATGAGGAAGGATCGAAGACAGAAAAGCTGAAAGCATATATAAAGTGTCATCTTGAACCTCATATCGAGACTCTTGTTGAAGAGAATTGGCACCTTGAAGCTGATTACGTCATTCGTCTAAACAACCATTCGAATTCCAACAAGAACGTCTACACTCGTGGATCCACTAGTTTCAGCAAAACCAAGGAACAAAATATGTCGAGTTTGATAAAGATCTCTGACATTACTGATGACTTCTTGCTGAACGACGAACTCACTTTCGAAGTGGAAATCGGTGTGAAAAGTTCCGAAGGTCTTCCAAAATCTGTTGATTTCTTGGTCAAACGTACAGATTCGAATGCTATTTTGACTGTTGGCAAGGAGAAGTTTTATGTCGATAAAGAGGCAAGTTCTTTCTTTGAGCAAAGAGACTGAAACAAAAACCAATAGTTTCAGGTTCTCTCGAAAAATTCCACTGTCTTCGAGGATATGTTTAAATCTGATGGAACTGGAAAGGCAAAAAATGAGTATCCAGTTGACGACGTAAATCCAGAAACCTTCCATTTGTTTGTCAAGCTTGCCAGCGACGTCCCTATGCAGTTTGATTGCGAGTTTTTTGAGTATCTTAAAACTTTTAATAGAAGGGCCTGTCATACATTCAAGTTTAAGCTCAATCATCTCAATTCCTGCGCAAGATATCAAAAATGTGTCAATTGACAAAACATTTCTGATATTATGATCAACAATTTATCAGTTGACAACTTTTTGATATTTTTGACCGGAACCGAGAAAAGTTGGATCGAAATTTAGAGTTAAATTTAGAGTTAGTTCAAACCGTTGAAAACTATTCCGGAACTCAAGAAGGCGTTCAAATACTACAGAAGATTCACCAATGATTCGATGAGACTTTTACTCAAAAAGCTCATTCAAGTGGCATAACTCGAATCCAATGGCAGTCAGATTTTTAAATGTTAATTCTTGTGTAATGTCTTTTCAATTTTTTTGTTTGATGAATAAAATTTATTTGAATTAAACCCCACAAGCTCATCTAGCACAATTCAACATCCTTGCAAGTCTTATCTTCTGGAATATCCTTGTCGATTGCCTCCTGAATGTCGTGTTCGACCACTTTCAACTCCTTCAAACACTCTTTTGCGAGAAGAAGCATTGCCTTGCAGCGGGTTCCAATTTCTTCATCCAGCCAAACATCTAATGCAACGTCCCCAGCCTCCTTTCCGTCCTATTAAAATTTGTTATAGATCAACAAGTTAAAAAACTTTGCCTACCTTGATCAAATCTTCGCAAAGATGACAAAACGCTCCGTGAGCTTTCTTCAAGACAAGTGGGTTGGGTGGAAGAGCATAGATGGCCACCGACAATCCGAGAAGCACGATGAGAAGGGTTTTATTAAACATGATTGTTGCGATACATTCCGACAATTTGAACTAGCTTTTATACAAGTTTAAGTTCCGCATTGATAAGAGAATCATCGTTGTGAGACTGATTCGTAGGCAAAGTAGCCTACAACAGGACGCGACGATCAAACAAGAAAACTATAGGGAGCAAAATTTTCCGGGAATATAGAGAAATAATCAGGTGAGCATTTATTTATTTACAGATTGATAAGTATAATAAATCAAAATAGAAATGTCGTGAGATCGGTATCAGAAAGGTTAAAAGCTCAAAAATTGACATAAAAGAGTCGATTATTAGATCACTGTCCCTTCACATATCCTAACTGTTTTCCTGACTCCATTACTATTTTCTTTTGGTTTCTTCTCCACAGCTTCACTTATTGGCTGCTGATTTGTCGCACTGTCGGGTTTGCTTGTATTTTCCTTCGTCTCCGGTTGACTGAAGACGTCGCGGTACAAACATCCACAAGTGAGCCAATGAAAATGCTCTCTGTATGCCTTTCGGAATCTCGGAGACCGGAAATACGTGACAAAAAATGCTTGGCAGAAGTTGGGCATCGTGATGATGGCAAGGAATGGCATGTAGGGCACAATGTCTTGCTCATTCTCAAAGTAAGCAAACAGAACACGGAAGCAGATTGATGACATCATCCACGAGAAGATGTAAATGGCCATCATGTAGAATGTTGAACGGAATACCTGAAAATGGTCGGAGTTTATTGGGAGAAAAACTTTGGTTCAAGAGTTTCAAATTGCAACAAGGGTCCAAGGCCGAATAGAAACTAGATATTATTTTCCGGTAGTGCTTTTCTAGAGAGAGAGAGGAATCAAAAATCCTAAATGTGACCTACTTTTCTGCGTTCGTCAACGACACTATTTCTTCTGTTGACTGTTGAATGACGATGGTTTCTCATGTCTTGGGCTGGAAAATGAGGTTCTTAGACTGATCAATTTCAAGCTTGGAAGACGAAACTCACATTTTCTGATAGCCACAAAAACGGAGACAACTGTGATGAGAAGTGTTAGAATATTGCACGCCACCACCGACGTCGATATCGTTTCAAACACTCCGTCGTCCATAGCTGAATCATTATTGACCTCTTGTGTTTTTGGCGTTCGAACTATAAAATTGTGAGAAAGACGAAACACAATTCTACGATAGATGATCATGCGACTACAGACAGGTTTATTAGGCACTTACTCAACATGAATGCACAATACGGAGCGTTCTCATCGGTAACGAAAAGAAAGTTCAAGAAGAACACAATAAGGGCGAAACAGGTTGGCATTATGCACATTATCAGAATGTATTTTGTTTTTGGCCAGAGCATGTGTCTGAAAAAATTGGTTTAATCATGAAAATTTTTTCAGACTCACTTTATTGGAAGCATAATGCAAAAACACAAATCCAGAGCCATGGAAAGGAACAGTGCAGATTGGAACATGACACAAAACGAGTATGGAACATTGTACAAGAAACATTCTCTTCCTGTGAGTGATTGAAATCTGTAGTTTTGATTTTCATTTCAATTTCAGGTGATAGTCATTAAAGTTACCGGAGCCTGAATATAAGCACTTTGAGCTCTGAAATATTGCATATGAAGTGAGAAATTGCCAAGACAAACACGAGCATTGCTGGAAGAACATAAGTCAGATTAAATTTCAAATTCAGGGGTATACCTCCTTTTGTCCGGAGCACTTTTTTCCGGATCACGGCGACTATTACGTTGAGATTCCCAAATGCTCCGAGTACCATCATCGGACCAATTATGGATTCTATGAGATATTGGTCCATATTTTGATAACTGAAAATTAAAGAAAAAAGATCATTTAATCTATTCGGAACAAAAAGAGAGAAGATAAATTTTTTTCTTCTTGTTCCCACGAATTCAGTGAGAAGCGTTTGCAATATTGCAGAAGGAAAGAAAGAATCAAAACAGGAAACGCTGGAAATCCGGCTGAGAAAATTTGACAGAAATTTCGGAATCCAGAGAATCTGAAGACTAACAATCTGAAGACGACAAGATTAATGAGCAAAGGGGCGGGGCTGAAAAATAGTGTTAGAAGAATATGGAGGTGTTATGAGCTCCAAAAACCTTGACAATTTTGTAGTGGTCTGGCGATTCGGGATTATAATAAATAGTGGCAGATGTTTTTGCAGGGATTTCAAAGAAAAAAACGAACAAGATCTGTTTTCGAGCTAGTAAATGATAAAACAGGCTAGGAGTAGAAAGCAATCGTATAGTTTGGGAAACTATCCAGGGAACTGTTATTGGAGAATTTAGGTCAGATCTCAACGTTCGAAGTGAAACATGAAAAAAATTAGAAAAACAGCTCATGTCCGGAAAAAAATTGAAACTGAAAATATCAAAGCGCTATTTCGGACAAAACCTATTCGCCCGTAGGAAGTTAGACAAGAAAGTATGAAGTAATAGTGACACAAAAAATAAAGCAAAATAGCACATATGTATATGAGCAATCATTTTGAGAACAACGGGAAAATCCAACATTTCTTGGAAAGTAATAATGGGCATACGTTTTTGACTGCTGAGTTTCTGATGATCTCGGATTGAGTTCAATTCGAAATATTGTCGAATTAAAAAAAGTGACACCTGAGAATTTGAAAACTTTTGCTTTTTTTGATCTACGAAAAAGTGCGGCAAAAACGTAATATTTCAGAATTTCGGCTCGTTCGAGCTACTTTCGTGTTTAATTTTAGTTTTTTGCTCAAAAATAGATTCTAGAGATGCTAGCGATCATGTTTATACCAAGAAATCAACATTTTGTTCAGAAAATCCCACTAAATTCACATGAATAAATTTGTTATCAACAGTATCCGTTTTCGCTCCGCCCCCTCGTAAATCGACACGAGCGCCGTCTCCGAGATTTTCAGGTGTCACTTTTTTTAATCCGACAATACTGAAAAATTATATTTAAAGGAGGCGAGACAGCAAAAATTTCGGGGGACAGTTCGGGGGGGGGGGGCGAAATCGCGCCGCGCTTATGTAGGCCATCGGTCGTTAGGCGCCTTCGCGCCCCCGTAGCTCAGCCAGTAGCGGCGCTGTACCCCTGAGCTGCCTGTCATGAGTTCAACCCCTCATGGGGGTTCTCTATGCAAATTATCAGGAAAACTTTTTTTTTGGTGTCTGGCCTCCTTTAAAGGTGCCGAAATCAAAACCTGTAGTCCAGTATGTACAATTCAAAACTTCTTACTAATTATTCAAACTAGCCCCAATAAACCAACAAAACATCTCCTCCTACTTCTCAAGTTCAAAGTGATGAGAATTCAAAAAGCACGAGGAAGAGCCGAATGCCTTTTTCAGAGTAAAAAGAGACATCTTCCAGGAAAGAAGATTTCCCGAGCACAAGTGAGGGGGCTCTTGCTTTGTTTGTTGAAGGGCAGGAAATTGGGGTTAGGCCGAGAGCGATAGCTTGCACTCATTAGAATTGGGTTCCACTTGTGCTTGTGTGACCGCGACACATTTTTCATGAATTATTTGGATGGGTGACTTTTGGTGTGGGGCTGCTCGCTGGCGGCAGATTCAAAAATCAGAGAAATTGAAAAAAAACGAAGCGAGAAAAAAGACGACGACAACGGATGTAATGATTCTTCATTGTTGTCCATTTCTCAAATCCCAAAATAATTGCTTTATACTTTGCTACTCTCTTCAGAAGGAGAAAAGAAGACGAAGACGTAGTAAAATTGATCGAATTGTATTCAAAAGAATTGTGCTAGCGAATCTAACAGTTTCCCAAAAAAGTTTCCAGCACCTGACAAAATAGAGATGCGCTGGAAAAAAACGAACATTTTCAAATGTGTTTGCTATTGAAATATTCAAAAGGAGACCATCCAAAAACCGACATAACCTCCTACATACCAACATCAACAGCAAAAAAAAACATTCCCATGAAGAAAAAAAAAACATTGACAAAGAAAAAAAATTGGCCGAGTGAATCATTTCTGATGGTGCAATCTAATACAAGTATGTGTTATTATAAAAAAAACTCTAAAAACAAAGATGAATACAAACCACGTTTCGATGTCACAAACTATGTATTCTACAGGCAGAAATCTGCTGACTGAGGCTAAACGAGGATTAATTGGATGCTGAATGGAAGGGGCACGAACTTTGCCATGGGGAGAACATATGTGGCCTTGAAAAAGCTGGGCCATTTTTGAAACCTTTATTTTCTAGCTTGAAAAAAAAGGAAAAAAAATCACATTTGCTGAAATGCGAATTTTCAGTAAGTCTCTACCAGCAGTATAACATTCCAGATTCCGTAATTAGCTTGACGCGGCTTTTCAACAAGTCTTCTTGAATAGAAAATTTGATGAATAAGAATCTCTGCAAACTCGATTCTCTTCAACTTTCACAAAAATTTTCATTAAGAAAATGAAAACCAACTTTATAATTCATACGGACATAATATCATACATTGAATAATGCAAACCATAAATATTATAGACAATGGAAATATCTCTGCTTTCTTCAATCAGGTATATTGCCCTTTGGATTGTGTTCAACAACAGAAGAACTTCTCCAACTCGTAGGGATGAATCCATTTGAGTTTCTTTTTTCATCTCGTATTCAGATAATTCCTTCATTATTCTGCTTCTCATTATCTTGCAGGTATTCACATTTTCCTGAGATTGACCTTGTATACCTAAAAAGTGAACAAAAATTATACTGTACTCCTACCGATTTCTGTGTTTCTACCGTAATCCCAATAGAGAAGAGCAGTCAAAAATAAAAATTCTTGTATGTCAATTTGAGCTTTTCCAAAATCCGTCACCAAGCTTAAACCCATCCGATGCTAATACGTTTTCATTATTCTGAATTCACAAGTATGTGTTTTCTGAATCTAAAGTTTCCCATGCTCACCTAACAGCATTTTCCGGGTTTCCAAGGTTTTCGTGGGAATAAAAATAGTTGATATTCTCAAAAGTCATGTAATTCTTATTTGGCAGGTTCAGTTCATAATTTCCTTTTGGTATGAAGCCACTGTCCAATAAAAAGAATTTCAGCAGAAAATTTCGTTTCAATAGAATCTGAATCTTTTTTTCATTATTTGTCAGTCATTTTTCTAAATCTAAACCTTTTGTTCCATATCTAAAGGATTTGTTATTTCTTCAAAAAATTTCAATAAGGATGTCATCAAAATTTTAAAATCTGTATTCAAGACTTGATTCATTTCTTGATAGTTGAAAAATCTGCGGCTTGAACTCCCCTGAAACAAACATATTTTTCAGGTAGAATTAGGTGAAAGCAAGTTGACTGTCCGTTTTTTAATTAGCCAATAACATAATAGCAGTATGCAGACTTACGAAAAAAATGGACAGTTAACTTTCTTCCAACCTAGTACTACGTGCTCACCTCAATATTAAATGCCATGATTCTTCTGTTATTCAAATCCTCATAAGCCGTTTGAATCTGCTCCAAAAGAGTTAAAGGATTTGTTAGAAAAGGATTCTCTGATAGCCTTAAACATCCATATTTACCCAGATTTCTATAAACAGAACTGATCCCGACGTCCAGGCATTTTTGGAAACGGCATTTCGCACAAGATCCTCGTCTACTGGTGGTTATGTCGCATTTTCCATCACATCTCTGCCGTATTTCTCTACATTCTATCACTCGTCGACGGAAAAAAGAAGAACATGCTCTGGAAGATAATAATGATTTAATTATATCTTAGGACGAATTCTACAAACTAATAATATTCCCTAAAAAATGTAGAAACAACTTACCTACAAGATTCCACACCGTAATGTACGCAATCTGCTTTTCAACCACAAACGAGGCAAATCAGAGGCGACATTTTTGAAATTCTCAATTTCTAGAAAGAAGATCGCATTCTAGTTCGTATGGTGAAGAGGAAACGTGCGAGGTCTATCGGTATTTATTTCTCTCGCTGTCCACTTCCCACACTCTCTCATTTTCCTCTCACCAACTGATTGTGACCTGGTATACTACAGCGTTTGTAGTTTCTTCGCAATATTCTGAGTGTTAAGAAATTAGTGGTAGAGCAGATTGAGTATAAAAAAGAATGATTGGAGAAAGATCGATGTCTGAAAATGATTATTTCGATATTGCTAACAGCAATTGTTTTGTGGATTGTGATCCAACACTACAGGAGAGTGTCCAGACTCCCACCTGGTCCATTCTCTTTACCGATTCTTGGAAATATTCCGATGATTTTCTACTATGCGTGGAGAGCTGGTGGTGTTGTTCCAATGATGAGTATGATGAAGAGGGTAAGAATGTTCTAGAGCATCCTTCTTGGTTACTCTTTGATTCAGAAATACGGAAACGTTTTCACAATTTGGATTGGTACCATACCACATGTCAGCGTCACTGACTTCGAAACATGTCATGAAGTTTTTGCCAAATCTGGAAACCGATTCTCCGATAAGGCGTTTTCCCCCATTTTCAATGAAGCCAGAAGTTCGTGAGAGTAAAAAAATATTTTCGATATGTGTACTTCTTTCAGACGGCTTTGGTATGATAGCTATAAATGGGTCAATATGGCAGGAAATGAGACGATTCTCCCTTCAAACTTTCAGAAACATGGGAATTGGTAAAGATTTGATGGAATTGAGGATTATGAGTGAATTGGATCTTAGGTAAACTTTGAAAGAGATTTTTGCTAACTTGTGCACTTCCTATTCCAGATGCAGAGAAATCGACGAAGAATCTATTGATGGAGTTACTGAAGTCAATGCAACCGAGTTCTTTGATCTAATTGCAGGCAGTATAATTAACACACTTCCAATCGGCAGCAGATTTGAAAAAGGAAATTCCCATCATTTCCTCCGTTTAAAAATGTTGATCGAGGAATCGACCAAAGTGCTGAGCCCAATTGACGTTATGTTACCAATTTGGTTCTTGAAAATTTTCCTTAAAAGAAGGTACAGCTTAGTGATGAAAGCACATAGGGATATATTGGACTTCCTCGCAAAAGATGCAATCCAAAGAGTGGAAGATGTTTTGAATGGAAAAATCGAAATAAATCCGGAGAATCCTGCTGATTACATAGACAGCTTCATTCTTAAGATATTGCAAAAAGACTCCGACAAAAATACTTTCAGGTCAGTCTGCGATTCCAAAAAAATAATTATTTCTGTGAGAATACTTTCAGCATTCTGTCTCTGAAATCTGTGTTGACTGATCTATGGATTGCTGGTCAAGAAACCACTGCAACTACTCTTGTTTCAGGATTTTGCCAGCTTTTGAACCATCCGAATGTTATGGAAAAGATACGAAATGAGCTGCTACATGTTGTTGGATCCCGTCCACTAACTCTGAAAGATAAAAGTGAGACGCCATATTTGAATGCGGTGATTGCCGAAATTCAACGTCACGCTTCAATTTTGAATATCAATTTCTTCAAAATCAATCATGAAGTGACAGAAATCGGTGGACATCCTGTGGATGCAGGTGCTCTTGTAACTGCTCAACTCAGCTCACTACATTCAGATGAGACCACCTACAGTAATCCGAATGTGTTCGATCCAGAAAAATTTGTGAATGACAAAAATTTGTCACAGAAACTGATTCCCTTTGGAATCGGAAAGCGAGCATGTACTGGAGAGGCTCTAGCGAGAGCGGAGCTCTATTTGGTGGGTTCTGTTTATTGAGAAAACCATTTTCTTTTTTTAATCTTCAGATCATTGGAAATCTTTTGCTACGCTACAAATTCCAACCGTCCGGTCCGTTGGTTTCTAATATTGATGATGCTCCGTACAGTTTCGCGAAAAAGCCAAGAGGATATAAGATGCAGTTAATCAAGATTTGAATCATTCCATAATTATTTCTATAAATATTTTCATTTGTTGTGTGGATTGGAAAAATGTTTAGTTATAATTACAGGTCATTATTACTCCATTTCAGTCGAAATGCTCTTAACATCTGTGATCACCGGATTTGATTCGTTCCAAACAATAAAGCGGAAGATGTCGCTTTTTAAATGAGCAGTTGCAATTTTTCCATCATTTCTAACCAAATGTCGACCTTCGTATCCTTTGAATTCGTACTCCTCAAAATCTAAAAACTCGAATACTTTGTTGATTCTGGAAAAACAAAACTATTCATTTTCTAATGTTTTCTTACTTCAAACATACAGTTTTCTTTCTTTCTTGATCTCTTCGAAATTTTTTGAACCGATTCCATTCAGTATCTCATTCAAGTCTCCATCCGAAATATGAATTTTTACGGTTTCCAATTTCGAATCTTCTTCCTCCAACCACTTATTCAAAAGTGCATTTAAATCTTCGTTCTTCAAAACTGTGTTCTTTAAAAATACAGATTTAGACTTGATATTCAATAGATCTTCTCTGTTCAACCATCCTGAGAAACAAATCTCCAATTTCTGACAATCCAACGGAATTCTGCATCCATGATTCAAATTTTGATAGTGAACTAAATTGAAGCAGATCCCGTTTTTTGGATGAATCTTCTCTCGGAATAAATGGAACTCTCTGTCACTAATTGGAAAATAGACGATGAATGTGAGATGGTCCATTTGGTTCAGTTTCTCAAAGTTCAGGAGATGGGAGATATCTTGAACTCGAGAAATGTAATAGTTCAGTTTTTTAGGAATCCAGACATCAAGCATTACTTCGACCAGTCTCTGACACACGACAAGGTCATTCTCACAGTAAGAATAGATGACGTACTTGTCCCGTTTCTGGCTCCGTCTAACAAATTTCAGAATTGAAAGAGAAAGATAATAAACTTGAAAACTCACTTGCTTTCCATTCTTAACCCATCCAATTCAAAAATATCCGTCGTTTCGGCATTTTTCAAAACATCTCTACTTGATTTGATTCGCCAGTAAACTTCACTTCCATTTAAAAACCGAACGTTTATCACACAATCTTTTTCTTGAAAATTGACCCAAAGAAATGTAATTGGTTTTTTGAAATTCCGCACTACAATCCGTGATCTTTTTGAGGCGAGGCTTTGTTGGAGCCTATAAGAAATTGAAAAATGAAAAAAGAAATGAAGAAAAGAACTTACATTTGCCACTCATCTGCATATTTCACAGTCTCTCTCATCACGACGTAGTCGAAATCCATGATTGGAAAGGGCTTCATTTTATTAACAAAAAAAATACTATAAAGTTAAACAAAATATCACATATACTTATTCGGACAACGAATTATTTTGAATTCAAACTATCCGATAAGAGGGAGGGACGATATTCTTTGTTGTTCGATAGCGCGCGTTTGCAAATGTGTATAGGTGAGGCAGCCAGCGCGCGCACACACCAACATGCATTCCTTTGGGAAACTTCCCTTCTGGGAAAAAACGGAATGGAATACAAATAAGAGAATAAGAAAAGTAGAAAAAAAAAGAAGACAGGCACCACTCCATTTATTTATTATAAGAACGATTCAAAAGAAACAGTGGAAACAGAATATTTGAAAATATAATCCAATTCTTTAAAAAATTATACTTTTACAAACTCGCGACGGCAGATGACATCGCCACATTGAAGTGTCTGGAACATTCTTCCGTTTACCACTTCGCTTGTGAACACCGAGCTTTTATCCTGTTCTTTTATTTTATTCTGACGATGAACCAGCTTTCCGTCTTCTACAGTGACCACAGAGTTGAAGGTCCGATCATCTGGACTGATCTCGACGAATTCCTAAAAAAACTAAATTTTATTGACTTTTCTTGATTCATACAAACCTCTCCCAACTTGAAAGACAGTTTTGTATTCTTAAATGTCGAATATTGGTTGATATGCCACGTTTCACCATCGGAATAGACTTCGATTGTAGGTTGCATATGTGCTGCTAACTTTCTAATAATGAGCCCAACACCGATTACCTTCATGAATTCGTCAAAATTATCAGCTTTGACAAATTTCCAATGTCCAATGAAAGCATCGACAGAGGACATAGTTGTAATATTAGTAATTCAGAAAACTAGTTTAAAAATGGGAATTGGTATGACGTTCGTAACATGGTGCATCTGTTTATATAGAACCTGATGGATCATTACTATCAATTATAGAGGGTTTAGTGATGTGAAGCGGGGGATGACATAAATTTGTGTGCGGTTGTGTTTTGTGCTGGGTACATCAAACGTTCACAACTTTCCCCTGCAAGGTGCTTTGTCACTTTGTATGTTTTCATTGCGTTTGGTTTGACTTTTTCCAGCCTTATGTATTTTAAAAATTAAAAAGGCTATCTTATCAAGATAAAATCTATCTATTTTGATTTGTTGAGTTCTAAAATGTGAAATCTCTCGAATTTTTTCAACTTTCAATTTTGAGCCAACTTATTTTGGTTCCTGTGGGAGATATCAAAAAG